TATTTAATATTAATGTAAGATATAATAAGAAATAATAGTTTAATATATAATAAAGATATTATTTTCTATTATAATTAACGTAAAAAAATCTTAAAATATCTTATCTCTAATATATAATATAGGTTTATAAAATATATATCGATTATCTTTTCCTTATATATGATAGTAGCTTTATTAAATATATATATAAAAAATTTAGATATTATATTCTTTATATATTTTATATAACCATTATTTTTTTTTATTAATTTAACTTTAAAATATTAATTATATTAAATTTAATAATTTTTTTAAATTTATTATATTTATATATAATATTTATTAATAAATATTTTATTAATATTATTTATAAATTTTATCTGTAGATTATTAATAAATATTATAATTTTATTATTATTATTATTTATATTTTTTTATTAATTAATTTTATTTAAAAATTTCAAAATATAAATTTTAATTATATTTTTACCATTTTAAATAATTTATTATTTTTTTACTATTTAAAATTAAATTATAAAATTTATAATAATTAATATATAATTTATATTATATTTAATAAATATAAAAATTTATTATTTTATATTTATAATTTTTTTTTTACTATATTAATTTAACTTTTTAAATTAATATATTTTATTATTATTATTTTCTTTATTTATAATATTTTTAATTACTATTTATTTTAATAATTTGTTACATTTAATTTTAATATAAAATAAAATTTAAAATAAATATTAAACTAAAATATTATTTATTACTATATTATATAATTAATAAAATTAAATATTTAAATAAAATAAATTGATAAAAAATAATAATAAATTTTAAAATAATAGTTTTAAACTTACGAAAGATATTTAACCTTTACTACCAATTAATATTAAAAGCCTTAATAACTAAATAATTAATTTGTTATATTTATATTTTTGCTTTTAAATATTTAACTAACGTTAAATACTTAATAAATTTATTTCATTTATTAAAATTGTAATAAAATATATTTTTAACTATTTACCTAATTATATTTAATAATAACTAAATAATATTAATACCTTTTTCTTTTTTTTTAATTATAATATATAATTTTTAATAATATTTTATTAGTATTTTTATAATAAATTAATTAAAAATAATTTTAATTTATTATATCTACTATTTTATTTTAATCTAATATTTTTAATATAATTTTGTAATGGTTAGTATAAAATTAATTACTTATTAATATCCAAATCGGTATACCCTAATAACATTATAATATAAATTATATTTTAATTAAATAAAATAATATACTAATAATTTATTTTCATTTTTTAAAATAAAATTAGCTATATAAATATAGCATAATATTTTTTATTATCTTATTTATAAATTTTTAAAAGAATAAATCTCTAAGCTTAATATAATAAATTTATTTTAATTTATAATATAATTAAAAAAATCAAATAAAAAAAATATTAGTTAGGTTTTAAATTTTAACTATTTTTATATATTATTATAAGGGTTAATAATAGGTTATTATTTTGGATTTTTAATAATATAAATAAGATATTAAACCAAAATATTGTTATAAAATTAAATGTTAAAGATTTATTTACGATATATAATATAAAATTAATTATTTATTTTATTTATTTTTTTAATATCAATAATTATTATAAAATAATAATTTTTAATTTAAAAAATTAATATTAATTTTTTACTAATTTATTAAGTTATAAACGTAAGGTTTAGTTTTATATAATTACGCAATAATTATAACGGTAGTTTATTTTAAATAGTTTAATATATAAACTTTTTAATAATAATTTTATATAAATTTATAAAAAGATTGCCGATATTATGGTATAATATATAAAATAAATTTATAATTTAATAATTATTAATTTTATTAAAGCGTTTATAAAATAAAGGTTAAAAAATTAGGCTACGTTATATAATAAATTAAACTAGAAATAATTAATAATAAATTAATAGTTAATATAGTTTTATTATAAATTAAGCTATAAAACGAATATATTTATACAATATTTTATTATTCTCAAAATTATATATTAAAAATATATTTAAAACTATTAAAAAATAAAAATATTAATATTATTTAATAACTTTATAAAACAATTAAAATAAAGTTTTATTATATTATTATTTCTAAATATTCGAAATTTTTTAACGTTTTAAATATCTTTAACGATATAAAATTTTTCGGAAAAAACCTAGAATAATTTCTTAAATTTTATATATTAATTTTTTTAATAATAAAATTTACCGAGATTATATTATTATTTTATTAATCTTATTAAGCTATTATTACCATTTAAAAATCCATAAAATTAATTTATTAATTTACTAAATTATTTTTATTATTATAATATTATAATAATATAAACTTTAAAAATATAAAAATATATTATATTATATAATTATTATTTTATTAAAATTATATAAAATTTTTGTTTATATAAATAATTTATTTTAATAATTTTAATATACCTTTAACATTATTTTTTAATAAGTTTAAATTAATAGCTTATTAATATTAAAATAAAATAGCCTTAATTAAAATAAAATTTTAACTATTAACGTTAAAGTTTTGGTTTTGAAAGGTATTAATAAAATATTTATTTATTTAATATTATACGTTTTTTATAAGGTTTAAGTTTAAACTATTTTTAAGTAATAATAGATTATAAATCTTAAATTTATTAAAACGTTATTAAACGTCGGTATTGTTATAAATTGGTAAATCCTTTATTTAAAATATTAAGCCGGGAACTTTACGGGCATATTTATTTAAGAAAGATATAATATATTTATTAAATTTTTTTAGCGTTATACTTTTACTATTTCGAAGTTAAATAAAAAAAAATTCCGGTTTTTTATTAAAAAAAAAGCCTTAAAGTATTTAGCTATAGTTTTTTTGTGTTAGCAATTATTATTTTAATTTATAGTAGTTATATGAAATTACCCAATACTTTTTTTGTAAATTAGTATAAGCAAACATAAACTTATTAAAAAATATATTTCGTATAATATTTTAGCTTTAATTGTTAAGGTGCAACCTTTACTCCAAAACCATATAAATATATTTTATTTATACCTTACATAGCTATTATATAAATTTAATTTTATAATATAATATAGTAAATTTTTTATTAAAACATTTTAAAAACCAAATAATAGCTTTAATATTAGTATACCATAACGCACCAATAAAAAAACGCAACTTTTTCTACAATACGCTAAGATATTTATCAAAAAAACAATAAATATATAATTTAATTTAAATATAAAATCGCAAAATCTTACATCTAAATACACAAAGCAAATTTCTATTAAAAATGCGCTTAAAAAAGGTAAAAGGAACGTTTTAAAACTATATATTAAATAATTCAAATAAATAACCGATATAAGTTTTTATAACCTAATTTAAAAGATAATCTAATTTTTTTAATATTTCTTTACAGTTTTATTTTATTATATAACGTAATATATAAATAACTATACGCTAATTTTTATTAAAACATAACTTAAAAAATTCTTATACTTAACTAAAGGTTTAATAAAAAATATATCAACCATTTTTAAAAATAAAATAAATATGTTAAGATTATTAAGAATTTAAAAAGTTTACATATATTTTAAGGCAGGTATTTACATTTTAAATTAGAATTAAATTACCTAAAAAATAAAATATATTAGGCTAATATTTTATTATAAAAATAAAATTATATGTTAGTTTATTTAATAATAAATAAAATATAAAAAATATATAATAAATATTTAATTATAAAATCGAATATAAATAAAAATATTAAATTATCCAATAATATTTATTAAAATATATAAAAAATTAATAAAATAATTACAAAAAAGAAAATAATATTATAAAATAAAATGGTTTTATAATTTTAAAACGGTAATTTTAAAGTAAGTTCCAAAATTTTAAATTTGAATTTATTTATTTTAAATTTTAACCAATTATATTACTTAAAAATTAAAAACGTTCTACCCTATAAAACCATTTCGTAAGTAAAATCATTCCTCCAAACCCCCTACCTCTGTTATGGTAATGAAAAGGATCTAAAACTGATAGGATTTAGAGGAATACTTAGTTCTATGAAGGCTTTGGTATATTGATAAAATGGAAGGAGCTTGTACGCATGGACTTTCATATTATAGTAAGCAAATTCGTTGCAGTATGGAGAAAGAGAAGTTAGCTATAATTAGTCTTTGTCTTGCCTCGAATTCTCATGGCTTAAATCTCCAACTCTTATAAACACGAGTAAGACCTTCTATTACTTCAATTTATAGTTCCTCATGATATCTCTTCTACTCAGGCAGATGCTTTTAAAGATGTTCTATAGTGAGACTCTTAACAATTTGAATCATGATCAATTAGAGTCAATATTTAAATTAACAAAGTTTCTTTCTCCTTTAACCCATATAATACTCCTAGAGAAACATAAGCTCCTGCCATTGGGTGGCTTATACGTAATAATACGAAGTGAAATACTAGATTGGGGCTGAGATTTTGAGATAATGAAGAGAACTATAAGTAAAGAGCATCTCCCTTAATCTTTCACGGAGTAAAAATCCCTTTTTAGGCCACCTCTTTACTATTTTAACTATGCATCTATATAAGATATAATCTATCTGATATATAGTGTATTAGTATCTACTACTGCCAAAGGTAATTTCTTTCCTCGAACACCATCAATTTAATGCACTACGTTGGGTACACATTCTAATATTTAACATCCTGATAGCAATCTTCAAAGTATCATAAATTCATCTAATCACGTATACCCCTGACTACTCTCTCTTATCCTACTCGAGTTGAAGCTGCGTACTAACTTAATAACCCCAATATAAAGCTTTCATTTTTTTCAAACATTCAATATTCGGACTCAAATTTCTCTCTCCTATAGATAGAATTCATATAATAACTAACAAGAGCAGGATAAAACACGAAACCATTGCACACTCCACCCATAATAAATTTACACCTTCTCCGTCGTAATACCCTTCAAACTGTCCCGGTCACGCTCATCCCAAATAGCCCTCTCTAAGGAAGGATACACAATATCAGCATCGCCATCAAGCAGGTCATCCGCGTCCGCAAGTTTCCAGCTAGCGCGTTTGAAGCGACGGCGCACGCCCTTCGTCATGCCCACGATCCGTATTTGCACGCCGAACCCGAGCTGGCGGCGGATATCATCCTTGAGCTCTGCTAAGGCTGTAATGCCTGTCGCGTCGATGAACGGCACCATGCCGAAGTCCAAAATCACAACAGCTAGAGGCATCTGGCGCATGACGACACCTCGCGCCGTGCGAAGACGCTCTAGCCGTTGCTCAGCTGCTACGCTCCATAGGCGCTCCGCATCCGCGCTGTAAGTTGGGTTCTGAACCGACGGGTACACGAGCTGGATAGCCTCGAGCGCATTGATCTTGTTGCGGTTCGCGTTCGGGAAGAACAGCGAATCCGCGAAGCGCACTACCACTGTGTCATCGGGGATAACTGGGCCTCCGATATTCTCCGTCGCCCCGTTCTGCGGTATCTGCGTCGAGACCCGCGCGAGCGGCTGCAGCGTGCCCGAGTTGTCTGCTGTTTTGCTGGCGTGAATCGACGGTGTTACGAATGCGGATCGGAGAAGCGTCCATGCTACGCTCCATCCTGCAGCGGCGCCGATACCGATCTCGGCCGAGACGAAGATGGTAACCCAGAAGGCCACCATGCAGGCGATGAAGTCGGCGAGGGAGATGCGCCAGTAGCGCCAGATTAGGGAGACCGGTCCGAAGAGGTGTATTACGGCCATGATCTGTTTAGAGGGGAAACGTTAGCAATGTATTTTATATGGAAGCTCGGTGTCGTTGGCAAAACCCAGGGGGAGACTTACGATGATAGCAGCTAAGCTAGACTTAGGTAACCAATAAAGAGCTGGCGAGAACACGTATAGAGTCAAGATGATGAAACCCGCAGTAACGACGCCGTTCAGGGGGCTCCTGACGTGACACTCCGAGTTGACGGCCGTTCTAGATATAGCTCCGCCGACGGGCATTGCGCCAAAGAATGAGTTGACAATATTGGTAACACCGAGGTAGTTGAACTCCTGAGTTTGATCGATGGAGTAGTGGTTCCGGCGGGCGAATGCCTTGCCAACTGCTTGGTGTTCGAGGGTACATGCGACTAAGGGAGCGATGGATCGAGCCGCGACCTTTGCGAGAAGGTCGCCGCCTGGGGCTTTCGGGTGTTGAATTCCATGGGTATTAACTTCACTAATAGACCACAGGTAGTCATCACGATCTTTGTTAACGAGGTACGAGATCAAAGTGAAGATTACCATCACAATGATCGCCCTGCTGCTCGATATGTACCTGATGGCGAAGTGCTTGTTACCCCATGTCTTGCCTAACTTCTCGAGGGCTAGTAGGACAACTACGGTTCCGAACCCGATTCCGCAAGTCGGACCGTCCCAATGCGGAAGACGTCGTAGGATGTCAGCTAGCTGGTTGAAGGCACCGTCTGGTACGTTGCTGAGTCCGACTAGGGAGCCGACTTGGCCCATGCCGATGACGAAGGCTGTTGCAGATATGAATCCGGTAAGGACGGGGATCGAAACGTAATCGAGGAGGAATCCGAGCCCAAGCAAGCCTATAAGGAGAGACCAGATACCCACCATCATGGCCACGGCTGATGAGATATCGGCGCTGGAGTACTCGTTCTTAAGATCGCGGATAATTTCTGCAGTTAGTAGACCCAGGATCGAAGTTGGTCCCGTCGATAGATCTATGCTTCTTTGTAAGTGTCTTTCATTACACTGTTGTGCATAGTTCTAATTTTGGGAACATCTTACCCTTTGATGTCCCCATAAACACCATCACGGCAGCAGGAACCCAACAAGAGTAAAGACCATTCTCAATAGGAATTGTTGCGATCTTAGCATAAGCTAAACCTTGAGGAATGAGTAAGACCCCGATCGTGAGACCAGCCATGAAGTCCTGGAGGAGCCATGGCGGGGAATATCGTGGCAACCACTGGACGATAGGAAGCTTGTCGGCAAGGTACTGTTTAGCAGCTGATGGGAAGTGCCTGGGTGCAGTGCGGGCGAACTTCGCCACCCGGTTGAGGGTAACGTCCGTCCGGAACTCCTCCTTAACAGCGTTTTTGACAGCTGTGGTTTGTCTCTCCATGGTTAAGAAGAAGGAACATAAAAGACTGAAACTGATGAATTATGTCTTCTAATTAATGCGGCTGATCTCAACATAGATATTAATATAGACTTTAAACCCAAGTCTATAGAGAGCCAGTATCTACCTTACATTACGCTCCAATCAATATACTTCACCGGGTGGCTTCCGTAAACAGAAGGTTCCATGAAGATACTCAATCATGGAGACAACAACGCCCTCGACTCAGAGAACCTATCACCTCCGTAGCGATCATACCCCCCTTCGGCACATTCTCGCCACTCTGTCGGTATTATAGAGACTCTCCTCGAGTATCAACCTCCTTTTCCTGCTCATGTAAACAGCAGTGCGAGGGAGCACAGCATCAGTCACACTCCATAGACCACGCGGGGGCCCAGGGTACGACCCGGGCTTCAGGGGGGGAAGCAAAAGAGTCTCCCGTCTTCACTGCTATACAAAGAAACCGCACAGACGAATCTGAGATACAGGATTAGGCGCCATTTCGTGGCTAAATGCAACTGTATGCCAGTGTTAATAGTCGATCATAACTTTGGGTGACAGTGCCGTCTGGGAAGTGATATAGAGACGCGGGGTAGTTGACCGTATGTGGGACGTTGGAGCATGTATATGGAACAGGATGTCCTCTAAAATAGAAACAGAAGATTCGTGATCTGGGTACCTATCTTGGGTCGTTCAGCGAACCAATCAGTGCCAAGAAATGTTGTTCGTCCAGCGGTTAGCATCGCCGTCACACAGCTGTTTTGTGATTATAACGGGATTATAACATATGAATGGACTCATCTTCGGTATAACTTCATCATGAGCTTCAACAGCTCCTTGTGCGGATCTCTAGAAATAGAAAATATATCTAAAGGTATAATTTTCTTCTATTTAGTTACTGTGCTGATAGTGCCCCATTGTATATCAAGATACTTATCTACCGTTGTAGCAATTGTACAATAACTCGGTTCAATTCTGCAGATATAATATGCACATCTCGATCAACTTTATACGAATACTAAGCAGCGATCTATAGTCTTGATCAGATCTCTTGGCGGTCTATAAGTTTCAAAAAACAAAAAAAAAAGCATTCCGAGTCCTCGGATCGCGGCCGCGATAGTAGGCTAAGCCCAAAGGATTGACATGCTTGTAGTCACGCTTCGCAATGCAATTGCGTGGTAGTTAAGCATACCTAGGTAATGCCTAGAGTCTTGGATTCTTGGAACTGCGTCCGTAGGAAACAAACAGGTCACTTAATACGTTGCCGTATAACCGGGGTATATTTCTACTGCCGGAGATTTTAGTTGGACGATGCGGCCAAGCACTGTTGAACAGCGCCACGGGTTCTAAAGTTTCCCCTCTCGGTTAAGTTACAAGGGTAAGAGAAAGCTTGACACGTACCAAGCTTTGGGTGTAACGGTCACATTGCATGGACAAGACCTTGGTAACGCGGCATGTTCTTAATGCCAAGTGATAGGCGTACTGACCTCTATCAATTCCATCACGATTAGACAAATTCTTTTCTTTTTTTACTTCCTGCGAAGTGATATCTCTATTCAAGATTTTTTTAAAATAGAAATAAGACTTGTGCAAATGTGAAATATCGACGATCCTAGTTAGGGGTATGAACGACAAGGATTCTGATAGGTTGGTGAGTATCAATTGCGACACAGCTACCTTTACTTACATACCCGTCCCTACTGGATACCGCAGTTACTTTCCTAACTGGTAGATAGTATAAACCGGTATGCTGCCGTGACACGGGGGGAACAACGGAACGAGATATGATTGAACAGTTCGTACTACTACAATTGGTGCCGTAATCCGGAATTCGTAAGCGCCATTCGGGGGGTATTGCCAATTTAATGCTACCCTCGTGGGGTTCACCAGTTATTTGAGAAGATTAGGTACGCGAGGCGAGAAGTCAAAAGGTATCTTGATTCTTATTGATCCAAACTAGGACAACGTTGCGATTGGATACCTTCCTAGTTGTTGCTTGGAGGTACGTAACCCTACTGCGGAAGAGACAACATATTAGTCGTAGAAGCTGCCTTATCCTTTTCGAGAACAGACTATAACATAGTTTAGCATAACCTTTTTCTCGTAGTGACGATGAGACCGTTTATATTCAAGGGTTATACTCTTACCATATAAGTAGACTATATACAGGCGCATAAATTCTTTTTTCTGCTGTGTTACGAGACCTCTTAGACTGTTACGAAACGAATAACGTACTTTTCCATGTTTATATGTACGAAGGATTTCTAAAGATGATTATTGCTATTAATCCTTCTCAGAGCTGAAGCCGTGTGGAAACTAAACCTAGGACATATGATCAGACGAAAATATTAGCGTGGAGCCCATAAGCCAGCCCCCAGACTCCCCCACAGCGGACTAGGAAACCGCCTTGCCGTGTTTCCGCAGCCTTAGTCTCGATCTTTGAAATAGGGAGGCTCTCAAAATTGCTTCATCTCGGGATTAGCGGCATGGTCAGCTGGACATTTCTCGGCGGTATAGCATGTTTCGCTGGTCTAACGTTACAGGATATATCTACACGGTGAGCTTGGAAGGCTTTTTCATGATAGCTGTGTCACCTCCATACTGGAATCATAAATCTAGAAATTACATGCATAATGCCGTGTGTATTCCGAGCTCTGGGCAGACGAAAGCCGACCTGCCGAACGCGATCCCAGGTAGGAAGGCAGTTTCAAAGAGAAAGCGAGACGACTATCTAGAGATGGCTTCATTATTTTATTCCGAGTGGCTGATTGTAATGAGTGTTTTGGTCGGCGATTATACTTGGCAATTATATACTCTGTGTTCCCTATCACTTTATAGATTCTACGCAAGATATCGCCTCATTTCGGTATTCGGCGGCTTTACCACGTCCTCTTTTTCGACCAAGGAATACTAAACGAAACAAGGATCTCGCATAATAGGCCGAATACATTTCCTAAGAGGGTCAGAGGCGTTCATCCTACCAATATGCCCCCAAATGTTGAGTTGACCATTTTCCTGTAGGTGCAGGCTGACGAGGAAGCTCACAATAATGTGTTACATACCGAGGAATAAACACGATACTAAGTCTGGGCACCTATACAGAAATATAACCTAGAAGCGCGAATATTGTGGGTGGAAGTTTTTACAAGGGAAGACTTGAGGTTTCTATAACTGTAATTGAAAAGTGCACCTATTTGTTGTCGATATTCTAGGCCGACAACAGGGTTTTATTAAAGGCATCTTGCTTAAAATGATTAGATTTTTGTATAGGCATGTAAATAATTGCTCTTTTAATCATTACTAACAAATACCTAACATATGCCTTTTTCTATTTCATAGGTACAATTCATAGGTAGAAGCTAACGCTGGTTCATAACCACTCTATTAGTGGTTAATATGTATAACGTGTTAGAAATAAGGAACTATGATGCTTTCGGCACGTTATTTTCTAATATCGCTAAATATTCAATCTAAATAGTACTAATAAATATCTGAGAAGTAATAAAGGTGGTTTAGAATACAGAATAATCGCCATAGAAAACATTGAAACTGAAACATCGAGGACAAATTTACAACTCGCGTTCTTCCGACATTTCTTTGTTGTCAGAACCGGGAAGAGTGACTTCATCTTTCTCTGCGCTCTTGATCCTGTTCCAGAAGATTTCACCATTCTCTGGGTCGTCCTTGAATAAATGATCGACGACCATCTTCTTAGGTGTCTCGCCCAACCACTGGAAGAGAGAGAAGTCTCTAAATTCATCCGCACGGAATACCTCTAGCATTTCGATCGGCTCATCACCGATATTCTCGACGAAATGGCCATTGTTTGCGGGCACGATGCCGACGTCGCCCTGTACATAATCGAAGGTCCGAGCTGTTCCTTCTGCGGCGAAGACAGTAACTCGTGCTCGACCTCTAATAAAGAAGCTCCATTCGTCAGCGTTAGGATGCCAGTGCATCTCACGTATGGCGCCGGGCTCGATAGTGACGTGGGCTGCTGCTACGGTTTTTGAAATCTCAAAGTTCTTCGAATCTGTAATCCGGACGTCACCTCCACTAGTTTTATGGGGTTCCTGGTCAAGCATCCTATGGACGAAGTTGTACTTGGATTTCTTGATATTTTTACCTGTGGGCTTCTCATCGTCGATTGAACCTGGCTCGCGGCCCTGGAAAATGTATTTTTCTCCTTCGGGGAGGTGCTTGAACACTTCGGGTGCCAGGTTGAAATTCTTCGAGATGACCGACTTGGGAGTATGCGCTTATAATATATCAGCTTCGAGAATCTACACGATGGCATTGTAATACACACCTAGCCAGTCAGATATAATGAAGGTGGATTCCTCAGAGAAGTTTCCGTCGTCAAATATTAAGAGGAATTCGGTACCGTTGTCTCCGAGTCCTTGAAGGGAATGAGGTACGCCGCTTGGGAAATACCACAGGTCGCCTCTCTTGAGGTCGTCTATGAAGTTGCCACCTTCGTAGTCGATAGCAGTGACACGAACTTCGCCATCTAGGACGAATGCCCATTCGGCTTCTTTATGCCAATGTAACTCGCGAATTACACCTTTATCAAGGCGCATGTTCACAGCAGCCAGTTCAACACTAGCGCCTAATTCGCGGACGGTGGTTTGTCTTGTCCACCCCCCTTCCTAGATAAAATTTGGTTAGGTCGAACGCGGGGAAAGCTATATTAAAACCTTATTCATACCTCAATGCGTATATGGGAATCAGCAAAACTCCAGCGCAGATTTTGTATATTTCCATGATCCGTACTGGGTGGTCGGACTAAATCCGGAGACTGGCGTGACCTCTCTCGGTTCCAGGGACCAAGAACAGATGTTCCCAGTCCATTGCGGTAGGGGAGAGGATCTAATCCCTCGCCTATAGCATCGACGGCATGGTCATAAGGGTCCTTGTAGCCAGGAGTATAAGGCGACTTTGACTTTTTACTATATTTCGGCGGTAGATCAAGACCAGCTGCGAGGTACCGGCGAGGGCTATCATCTACAGGAACAGCGAGGCCGGGATTGCTCAATGCGAGGCCAGTGAGTAATAACTGCCATGTAGAAATACCGCGATAGCTTCGGGACTGCATTTTAAAGAATGGCCGGTAAACTTATAAGTCGTTGGTCAAATTGTCAATTAGTTAACGAAGCTAAGATCTAGAAATCAGCTAAGAGGCAATTGAACCTCATCTGAAGTTAGATATGAAGATAGTGGAATAGAAGAAGGTAAATAAAGTATAAGTAAAAGTAAATGGGATGGGCGTCATAGTTAAGCAATCTTCTTGGAGAGCTTCGTTACCCATTCAAGCTTCAAGGTCTCATTTACACTAAGCTACGTAACAAGTACCTGGTAAATCTACTACCCGATTGCAAACGGGGGTCAATGCCGAGTAAATACCGAATGTATATACTTCAGTACATTCCAGCTCGGCTCTAGAACGCCCTATAGGGCCTTTACAAGGCAAGCGCTGGGTGATGGGTGTGATTGTGCCTGCATTCCTGGATCAACTATTATGTCCGTGGTACTTACCAAAGTCCATTGGTTGCTGCTATGGAAGTACCTTCAGTATTATGTCAAATTAAGGTATAGAGTATAGAGAAGTGGGTACCTCTTAGGTGCCGTAAGCCGATAGAGAATGAGCTAAACATGAACAAGCATCATTAGTTAAGTTAAAAAAGTGGTTTTCTTTTGCTAACGAAACTTATAAACCTTACAATACATGTATGCACCTATGCACCTTCGCGCTTACACGGCCCAAGATCTAGGGTCGCTTTACACAAGGTTGATTGCAGATACATATCTGGTAGGTACCTGGGCAGTGAAACCACATCGGACACTGCCTAATGTTGCTCTATATATTCCTGCCTATCTAGGATTCACAGCCCGACATCGTCGTCAACTTCCCCCTGTCAAATAACCGTTGAGCTGTTAAATATCAGCCTTGGCAAATAGTGCTATGTAGAGGATGGGAGGTAACTTCGGCGCTTTCTTCTATGACGTTAGGGATCTCCCTAAAATAGTTCAACTGGTGTCACACGGACGTTGATGCACACAGCCCGGGACGGGGACGCGGCAGCCCTCATTTCTATATTGGAGGCAGCAAACGCCCCGAATATTTCACTCATCCAATCCTATTATATATTTTACGCACGTCCCTACGTTGTTAAGAGAAATAATTTCTCATAAAATATATACTTAGATTGTGTTCTGTTATAGATACTCGGATCGACTCCCAGATGGCTACCAATGGTAATAACACACTACCTACCAACTCGAGGATAAATGGAAATGGAGATGAGGAGCAGCAACCTCTGCTTAATAGTAGTTATGTGACGTCCAAATCAGCAAGATGGCGAAAGAGCTTAACGACAGACGTTCGTCGCGACTGGGCTGACTTAGTCCTGCTCGCTTGTTATATCATTACTGGCATGCTTGATAGCGCATCGATATCCACCTGGGGTTCGTTCGTGTCGATGCAGACAGGTTTGTCACTTATTACCACGAATACTACTACTAAGTCTTGCTAAAATAGTATCTACTTAGGAAATACGGTGTATTTCGGTCTCGGTATTGCCGCGCCGCACGAGTCAACACGGTGGATTAAGTCAGGGACCTCACTCGGTTGCTTCTGCATCGGGTCCGTCTTCTTCAGTTCCTTTCACCGGATGCTATCACCGTCACCTAAGCGGCGTTGGGTGCTCTGCGCGTCCTTCACTATCCAGATGCTGTTTGTTGCCGGTGCTGCGGCGATTCTTACCTTCGGCCCCCAGTCCGACAGTGAGTCCAAGAAAGAGGCTATCGACTGGCCGGTGCTTGTCCCAATCGCCCTAATCGCTTTTCAAAGCTGTGGCCAGGCGGTTGCCAGTCGTGCGCTCAAATATAACGCGCTTACCAGCGTTGTCCTGACTAGCATTTACTGCGACTTATTCTCCGATGCTGCGCTGCTCGCGCCGCAAAATCCCGAGCGCAATCGTAGAGTCGGTGCCCCTGTTTTGCTTCTCATCGGTGCTGTGCTTGGTGGGTTGCTGGCTAGGAGCGCAGTTGGTACTGCTGGTGTACTATGGATTGCTGCGGGTTTGAAGCTGTTTGTCGTCGTGTCGTGGCTCCTGTGGCCCGCGGAAAAGGAATAACGGTCGCACATAGATGATAATCCTAGATATACATGGTAAAGACTTAGATATAGACTGCGACTTTTGTTAGCAAATGCTTCCGAACTGTTAGGTCATAGACATTTCCAATCTGCTACCCAGATGGGCGAATAAATAAATAAATAAATAGGTAGCAATAGATTCCGCTTCCAAATCCAACAACACTCAACTGGGACTGATTGATTGTGTTGCTAGTTAAAATAGCGACAACTTGAAAATGTCCACGATATGCGGAATCTATCTATGGGCAGCATCTTGATTTATTGTACCTTCTTGTCGGAGCATCCTCACCGGTTGTTGTGACTTCTTCTCAATCTTGCCAACGATACCAGTACCGCGGAAATACACAGCGACAACAACTGCGCAGCATAGTCCGAGTGCGAAATTGAACCAAATGCCAGCTCTTAGCCCGGCTAAAGATGCGGGTTCCCAGGGCAAGATCTTGCCAGACGCTTCCACCGGAACACCCCTGTCCCTTGCCATAACAGCAGTTTGAATAGCTGTAGTGATGGCTAACCCAATAGCTCTTCCGATTTGACCCATCGAATTGATAAGTGCGCCTCCTAACGCCTGGTCGTCCTGGGGCAAAGATTTTGAGGTAAACAAAGTCAGGGTTGGCCAAGTAATATCAGCACCAATTACCGAAAGGATAAAAGCAGGAAAGCCGTACGCAAAATAAGACGTGTCAGGTGGAATAGGTATTGAAAATAGCAAGCAGGACACCGATACGCTTAGATTACCGAAAAGGAGCAATATCCAAGTAGGTATTCGTGAAATGAGGTGGCTCACGACGAACGCGGTGATAACCCCAGAGGCACCGGTTGGGATAAACCGATAGGTTGTCTGCAACGCACCAAGGGCCTGGTAGTCCTGGAAGATGAACGTGGCGGAGACGATGAGATCGTTGAAGGCAGCGAAGAATAGGGCCATGATCACCATAGCGGCACTAAATCGGGCGTTCTTGAACATAGACACCTTCATGAGCGGCTTGCTTGTCATATGCTTTTCTTGATACCACTGCCATGTGATGAAGATGCCAAGAAGCAACACGGAAATGACAATTAGCATATAGATCCAGATAGTATTCCAGCCCACGATATTGCCTTCCGTTAAGGCAAACAGCAATGCTAGGATCGAAACGGTGACGAGTGCACCACCTATCCAATCTACAGACTTTAGTGATGCGAAGCTGGATTTCTTAGCCGTTAGATGTTGTGGCGGCGGAGGTATGAATAGTATACCCGCAAGCGTGACAGCAATTGCGAGTCCACCAGTGGCCCCGAATACCCATCTCCAATTAGCAAACGCAGAGATGAAGCCACTAATCAGGTTACCAAAGACGCTGCCAAGGGGTGCACCAGCAGCTAAGCATGATATTAGCAAAAAATCCTGTTAAATCCATAGCATTATTTGAACTAGAGATAACTTACCGTATGCGCTAAAAGCATAATTCTTCGCCTTGCCAGGTGGAAAAGTCACGCCTAGGATCCCAATAGCTGTAGGAACATTGGCGGCAGCACCCTGAGGATTCGTCAGCTATGCTAGACTGCTCTGGATGTCATACCGTATACTCACAAGTCCTTGTAAGCCTCGAAACAAGTTAAATCCTATTTCATTTGGTATGAATGGATTAATGATCATCGTTACTGCTACGAAGGCACTCCCCAAGATGAAAATAGAGCGTTTGCCGTAGATGTCCGCTATGCGACCCCACAGAAGCAAGAAACATCCGAATGTGAGCGCATAAGACGACACAATCCATTGCAATCTACTTTCGGGAATGCTTAAATCCTCGCCAATTGTTGGTAGGATAATGACAACAGACTGGATCGAGAGAGTCTGGACTTAATTAGCTAGAATACATCATAGGCTTTAATGACGATGCTACCTACATTCAAGAAGCTAGCGCCGGTGACCGTTGCGACCAATGCAATACATCTTGCTTTAGAAAATGGTAAGTCCGATTTAGTCGTGCCGTCGTCTTCCTCAGGTCCGCTTTCTACAGCCTGGCGTGATGGCGGTGAGTCTTCCGTCTCGATAATATCGAAATCCTGCCGTTCTTTCTCTTTTTCTTCGTTCTCAACCTCCGCTGTAGGGTTCTGGCCAATCTCTAAGTCCTTTGCCATCTTTGCGGAGGCAATAATAGTCTTCACAACAATCCGGCCGAAATACCACGGAAGAAATCAGTAGGATTAGCCCCGGGCCGGGTCACGCTCATATACGTCTGCAGGTGTTCCGCCATCGCGTGCGGATAAGATGCAATGCCATTAGGATTGCAGATTCCGTGAAAATTAAACAGACAACTCGGGACGGCTTTTCCGAAACAAGCAATACTATAACCTGGGGATGATAGCATGTCCCCTTACTTGACCAATCAACACTGGGTATCATTAGAGCAATCCCCCAGTTTGAGAAGAACGGCGTGCTGCAGGGTCCTCGCCGCCCTTCTTCCGGGACCCGGTATCGGTTCACTAGGGGGGTACGTTTTCCCGTACAAACGGTAGATTTGCTGATTTGCTGAACCATAGATCTAACTAAACGGCTATCATCTCAAATTGTTTGCGCGCCAAGATTGAGCTTGGCCAGATATGAAAAGAGACAGTTGCCGTTAAACAGGTATCTAATGGTGCACCATATTACGTAACGAAAGGCTTACCCAATAGTCAGTTCAAGGCTCAATAATTATAAGTCAAATGATCATATCTCCAATATCTACGTTCACTTTACATACATACAGAATAACAACTCTTAGATCTTAGAAATTTATTATTCTAGAAGGAAATCTAATTTGCGCAGCCAATGTATTAAGTAACGACTATGTTTAACTTGGTATATCGAGTCGAATTATTGTAAGTTGTGTAAGAGGGACAATCCATCAACTATCAAATCACACTAAGTTCTTTTACCCACATCTAATAGTTATATGGACGTTCAATTTCTAGTATACTAAGTCAATCCAAGTTCATTTATTTCGAAAGCATACCTTTGAGAATTTTCGGTGATTTAGGCTACCAATATCAAATGTTAATTGTCGATTATCGACCAGCCACCTTGAATATGAATGTACTTTGTGGACTCCATAGGTCATTCCCGTCTTGGGCCATCTCCAATTTCGTATGCAACTAAACGAACTAACTGCCCCCATTGATACATATAAAATTCTAATAGAGCAACGATTCATCAAATTAGAAAAAAAAACGATTGACAATTAAACATTTTTACCTACAGAATCGAAGCATCTCTCAAAAAGACTTTCAAATAGGCCATCGACAAGAGACATTGTTACCTCTCTCGTTAGAAAGACATTTGTACCATTTATATGTATGTAGGTAATACCTTAGGTATGTACTTAGGCACTTACCAAGGTACATGGTAGCTGCCTTTAATAGATCTTCAGCTCCAAGCTCCGCTCTTTAGGCATAGAAGCTCAAAGCTAGAAAAAAGGCGGCGCTGCTGCCTTGGGAAGTCACGTTAAGACGCGCTATGGTGGCATCAATTAGCATCCATCTTTCCTTCTCGGCGTCGGTTGCCTAGAGGGAAAGTGTTACTGAGCGCGCTCATTGTCAATATTTATTCGACCTCAATTGCTCCCAAATTCCTTTTCGATTCTCTCTCATTAACTCTCTTACTTATCCTCAAAACTCACATCTTCCAATTCTTACCTCGACAATCCAATTCGATATTAATTATTTCATTTTATTTAATTGAATTCAATTAAATTATCGCACCTTGTGTTTCAATATAATAAGAGCATAGCCCCTATAAAGGTTAAACAATGCCACCTAGAAAGAAGGCCGCAGTAGCTAAACCACCTCCGCCACCATTGGAAGGTTACAGTATAGCTATTAGTGGTACAATACCCGGCCACACTCAAGCCGCCATCGAGCGAGACTTTATCAATGTTCTTGGTGCATCTCTAGCCAAGTCTGTTACGGCAACCACTACACACCTTATCAGTACCGATTCAGACTACAGCAAGCCTTCTATCAAGGTTAAGGCTGCGCAATCTCTTGGCGTACCCATTGTCACCTTCCAATGGCTTGAGGACTCCCTTAACCAAACAGCTCGTATGGCTGAGAGCTCATATGGCATCGGTTCCTCTCAGTCACAATCACTACCCCAGCCTCAATCTCAGCCGCAATCTCAGTCGCAATCTCTACCTATACAGACCCGTGGCACTAGAAAGCGATCGGCGGCACAGAAACTTACACCTGAAGAAGAAGATAACGATAAGCAGGAAGTAAAACCTCAAGCTAAAAAGAAGGTTAAGACTTCGAAAACTGAAGCACAGAGCCAAGAAGAGAAAGGCGTCAAGGCTGAGGAAAAAAAGGTCATTATTGCTGATGGTCAGATTGCCAAATCTCGAGACGCCAGAATTCCACTCGACGAGGGCGCTGACAGCAAATACAATAATTATGAAGTCTATATTGATGACGACGGTGTCATTTTTGATGCCTCGCTCAACCAGACCAACTCGACAGCCAACAACAATAAATTCTACCGTGTCCAGGTGAAAATCCCGTCTCGTATATTTGAATGGATTGGATGATGTACTGATGGTTTTCCCTAGTTGCTTCGCTCTGTCAAGGATCATTTCATATGCTGGACTCGTTGGGGCCGAGTAGGTGAACATGGCCAATCCAAAGCCGTCGGTAATGGAACACTTGAAAACGCTCTTCATGAATTCAACAATAAATTTAAGTCGAAGACTGGTCTTTCATGGGTCGACCGCGGGGAGTCTCCGAAATCTGGGAAATACGCTTTCATCGAGAAAAGCGTAAGTATTTTTCCATGCTACTTATTATCCGTCTTGCATCTTATTCTGGATCAACCAAGTATGGTTAAGCCAGCGACGAATTCCGAATATAGAGAAATCTTATCCTACAGATCCTTAACTTGTTTCTTTAGATAGCTCCCTTTGCAAAAGCAATTGCTAACTCGAAGTCCTTTAGTATGAACCGGACTCAGAAGATGAAGAAGATACGAAAGATACGAAAGACACGAATGATGGTACTGTTAAAATTGAGGATGTCGAGGAGCCCGACTCAAAACTATCTAAGCCGGTTCAGGAGTTGATGCAGCTCATTTTCAATCAGCAGTACTTTGCAGCGACTATGCGCGATCTTAATTACGATGCTGTGAAGCTACCTCTAGGAAAACTCAGCAAAACCACAATTTCTCGAGGTTTTCAGGCTTTGAAAGATCTCTCGGCCGTCATAAATAATCCAGCATTGGCAACTTCTCAGTATCAGACTAGCTATATTTCGGCAACAGAGCAACTTTCGAATTTGTACTTCACTTTGATTCCACATGCGTTTGGGAGGAATAAGCCTCCCGTCATTCGAGATACGACACTACTCAAAAAAGAAATAGAACTTCTTGAGAGCTTATCAGATATGAAGGACGCATCGTTACTCATGAAGAGCGATCAGAAAGAAGAGATTAATAAGCTTGATCAACAGTTCCAGAGCTTAGGAATGGATGAGATGACTCCGCTTGACCAGGAGAGTCCAGAGTTCACCCAGTTGGTGGATTACTTGATGGATACGCGAGGAGCAACTCATAGCGCCAACTACCAGGTATCGCAAATTTTCAGAGTCGAGCGCGGCGGCGAAAAAGATCGCTTAGAAGCCGTACACGAGGCATACCAAGACAGACGACTTTTGTGGCACGGCTCTCGCTGTACCAATTTTGGTGGTATCCTCTCACAGGGATTACGTATCGCGCCTCCCGAGGCTCCGGTTACAGGTTACAGGTATGCATTTCAATATTACACGCCGAGATCTCACTTTCTTCATTGGGCTCGCTTTGCTATCCCAACGTTAATTTTAATGAAGCTAACATATTTGTAGTATGTTATCATATTTTTCTCTATATACTAGACAAATCATATTGCTAGGAATGATATCTTAGACTGTATTATGATGTTAACGTATAACAGTGTTCGGAAAAGGCATCTATTTGGCGGATATGTCCAGCAAGGTGAGTATTCTGACTCAAGTTTGTGAAGCTCAACATTGACCTCTCACATAGTCTGCCAACTACTGCTACCCATCGATCAGCAACGGGCATGCGCTGCTGCTTCTTTGCGAAGCAGAACTTGGTGACCCAATGCAAACACTCACCGACGCCTCATATAGCGCTGCCGAAGATGCTAAGTCAAAGGGAATGTTATCAACTTGGGGCCAGGGGTGCACAGGCCCGAGCCAATGGAAAGATGCCGAATGCGTTCACCCATCATTAAAAGGAGTGAAAATGGTAGGAACAATCTAATCCCGATCTTGACGCTTTGTTTATCTTGATGCTAACTAACTTCTCCCCCTAGCCTGATACTAACGTGAAGCCCGGTGCTACCGGCGTTCCTAATGCCTACCTTCTCTACAATGAGTACATTTGCTACGATATCTCTCAAGTTCGCTTGCGGTACCTCCTTCGGGTCAGAATGTAGAACCCTCAGACCTAGTGGTAACTGCGCTCGGGATCCTCGTAGTTGGTAAAGGTATATGTATGAGTGATTTTTGCTACTGTATCCATCTACTCCTTGATCTGGACTCGACTTCTTTGCTTTTAAGGTCATGTAGTAGCTGAACTATGGGGCTTCAGGTGGTGTTACTAGAGCGGGTACTATCAACGGCTAATTTATATCGCCTATAAAATATGATGGATTTGGGAGGGGACATGGTCGGCTTCGCCCGGGAAGATATGAATGGATGATCCTTTATAGTCCTCAGATATTAATCAATGCTTAAATATAGACTTAACAGATTCTTCATATAATTACTTATATTCTTGGGGAGCATTCAATTAACCAACCTCTAAACTCAACACTGTTATTACAAGCAGAAAAGCCTCAGTTAGGATATTTTATTTTAGATATAGAGTAAACGCTATCTAGGACAAGCTCACTACGCAACGAAATACGTATGCCCGTATGGCGATTATTCCTGCCTATAATCTGATTCCTTAGTAAGATATCAAGTAGAGAAAGCTCTGGCTCAGACATGCCTTTAAGACGTCATTGTCGGTGATAGACCAATATTCCAAATCCCAAGAGGGTTACTGTAAATGCAGAAACACGCATGATGAGATTTGAACTGGGAACCGACTCGGAAGTATCTGATGTAATCATCATCACCAGAGCATCTAACTCTACTCACTTCTTATATCAATGACCGACCGGACTATACAAGTTCAGTAATCGCTGCAGTGCCCCGGCGCTTGCCGGTACGGCTTTCGATATTTGCTGTTCTTGAGCCGAATTGAATCTGCCATGCTATTAGTATGTTTTCACGCTGGCTCCTTGGATGTTATCATACCGCTCTTTTCTTCTCCCTGGCGATTACGGATAGGCCGAGCTTATCGGCCATGAGCCTCAATACTCGTTTGGCAGGGTCGATAACGGCTGGATGAAACTGGTTCTGAAAGTCACATTTCTCCCAAACTGGGGTGCTGATAGCAAACCTGACAAGTTCCTCATCCAAGAAAGGATGGCGAATCTCCTTACCCCAGTGAGACATGGCTCTATCGTCACGACCTAGATTTCTCTGTCCGATACGACCTATGTCTAGCTTTAGTTCGTCAAGGAGGCGGGAGTATCCACCAGTCTTGAACGCTATCTCATGCCGTGAATAACCACCGAAGAGTTCATCTGCGCCAAGACCAGACAGCAAGACTCTAGCAGGCGAGGTTACGCTTGGCGGATCTGGCTGCCATTCGCACTTGTCTGTGTAGGCGTAACCTATACCTCGTGCAGAAAAATAAAGTGCGAGAGCAATGGATAGGTCCATCTCGGTGCTATGCGGATACATGAGAGAAACGACTCTTGCCTTATGACTCATTGCTTCCTCAAATGAAACATTCACCTATCGGGGAGGTTAGTTTAATATCCAACCCTGAGCAAGGTGACCCGAAAACGAACCGCAATGAAGCGCCAGTAGCGTGTAGGGCAGGTGGTTTTCAGTTCGGAAAATGCTTTGCGGCCAGTCTTCCTGTCCGGACATGCCTCATATATGTCCCTTACATCTTGATGAGGCAGTGTCTTATCTACAGAGACTTGGCGCGGGTTTTCGAAGGCAACGTTAATGAGATCTATTCCCTGATCAGGAGGGACTAAGTCGTGAGCAATCCTCGCAAGGGTGGTACTATCGAGACCACCGGAGAAAAGAACCGCGACGCGAACGTCGGTGTCAGATAACGAGTTCGGTGGCTCTGGAATTTCTAAGACCCGCAGCTTGAGAGATTCGCACAGCCAGTGTCTAAGAAGATCAACTGAGAAGGAATTAAAGTCCAGCTTGTGATCAGGTGGCGGTAGCGTCATGTTGAAATTTCCAATACTTGAAACCTGTCATGTAAATTTTATAGCAAAGATCGCACACGTAATTTCAGATTCTGGACCACCACTTACCATGTTATCCCCTCCTAATGTCACCCAGTCGTACCTAGTGAGATGAGTATCAAGCTTCATTCCACTAGGCGTCGCAAGACGTGTAGCGAGGTTCAAAGAATATATCCCATCTGCATTAACCTCTTTCCAACCAGTAGTAGGCACATCCGCGATACTCGAGAAAGAAATCGAGTCACCATCCTCGGCTTGGTTAAATAGGAGCGATCGTCGGCCAAGACGATCTCGACCAAAGTAAAGGCGCTTATCCTGAGTATCATAAAACAGAAAGGCAAACGGACCATCAATGCTGCGCAAAACGCTTAGAATATGTGACTCTCGGGTCTCAGCCGAAGGTGCATCGGCGACATCAAGCTTGGCTAAAATAAGTTCGCCATCATTTTTACTACTGATAGGCTGGCCTTCAATCCTCCAAGCCTCTCCATTCCAGCACAGGACAGACCCAGTTGCAGGCGATTCCAACGGCTGTTTTGCAATATGGTCTCCCCGTAAGGCTAGCACAGTAGAGGTGAGATTGAGATTGATTAGCGAATTCCCATTTTCGAAGGGAAGCTCGCGAGAGACCTGGCCGAAGTGGTCGGGTCCACGATTTGACAAGAGGTTCTTCAACTCTTGGGAAATATCCGGTATAGCAGTCGTGGAGACTACACCATGGATGCCACACATATTTTCAATGTCCAAGGCAATTTCAGATGATGCCGAGGAGAAGAACCTGTCAAGAATCGAGGCAACAATCCAAAGGAATGATAAGAAAAAAAGTAATCCTATCACTTTCGCGTCTTGTTTTGCCTTAGCACAGCCACATGACGCCACTTGTCCAAGAGTTTAACTCGTATTAGATACGTGCGTGAATTTCTAAGGAAATTTTTCATTTCCTCCCAAGTAGAAATTCTATTGTAAAATGTACAAATGTACGAGTCTATGTGAATGGCGTAAAAAGTGGTGCAAGAAAAATTAAAAGAGATTAAAAAAATAAAAGAAGGAAAGAACTGTCCAGGTTTGCAAAAATGCAAAAATAGAACGAGATAGCACCTCTCCGTTTCGATCGGAGGACCTCCGGGTTATGAGCCCGGCGCGCTTCCACTGCGCCAAGGTGCTTTTTAAAATCTCATAGTCAGTTGAGTCGGTGGTTGATGTAAGGGTCTGTTTTTACGCTATATAACCATAGCAGCAGCGCTGGGTGGAACAGTACTATGGAATCTACCTAAATGATGGGGCTAACCAGGTTCTATGCGGCTCTTAAGCTTTTAGCGCTGCCAGTCTAGAAACTTAACTTATTTACCCATGCAAACGCCTCCTAACTCCGCCACTTGATTCACGTAAATGGACAATAGGTACATAAGACAGCACCTACCTAAGCATCATAGGAGATACAAATGCATATGCAGCTGTCGTAGCTCTTGTTCGTTATTATCCCGAAATTCAGCCATCTATCGATAAGCGTATAAGTCCTTGGTTTATGAGTTCACCTACATACACATCTCGAGGTAGACGATTACATACATACATACCTAAATACCTACCTAGATATCTATGACCCAGGTATATACTCATACAGACAAGTCATGCGGAAATATATAATTTAACAGGGATATAACATGGGGTCTAAGTAGGATTTAGTAAGATTCGTGTAACTTTCTATTGGTGTGCCCTCCACCTACACACCTGCATGCAGAAGCTCTTGAAGAGGTTTAGACGGCCTTGATAAGTTACAAGAACCTCTCTACTCCGACGTATTAATGGAAACCTCCTCGTCTTGCCAAGACAGGTATATACCCCCAAGTTACGTTATCCTGTCGTAGGTATACCTCTCATAAATCGGAAATGATTCCCGTGTTACACAAGAGCTCCCATTGTGATCAATTAAAATGGTCTAATTCAAGTTTTTTTTTTCCCTGGGTACTACCGGGCGCTGAGGGCGGTTATATTTCCGTTATAAGAAGGCATATTCAACAGTTTTCTCCCTAATCAAAGTCAACTATCCAGCGCTAGCGCTAACCAAGTAGAGTGGTGCTATAGGCAGGTAAAGGTTGGGGATAGGAAATGGAAGATCTTTCATATTAGGCGAAACTCTGGCTCTACCTCCCTGGAAAGAGGTACACTAAACGTCTAAAAGTGCCATGGATACGCCCGCTATAGCTACCTAGGTAGCTTATAGCCACTAATAGACGTAAACATTATCATTATCATCATTACACAAAGAGCTATGGAAGACCATATGTAGTCCATCTCGCCACCCTAAAATGGCAACACGGATTCTGCGTTGATACGTGTGATCCCTGCGGTATAACACATCTCATAATTTAAGATGTGAGGGGTTTATGTAACCGGTGTCTGGCACTTACTTCTTATACGATTACGATGATTGTGTTACAATGTAACTATTATAAACTCGATAATAGGCATTATAAAAGAGGGGTATCTCTCGAGAAAGTCAGCTTGATCAAGGACTTGTTGCTAAAGTATAGGTAAGCTATCGATCAGCATAAGAATCTATTGCTGCTATCCTCAAGTTTTATGCCATGGCGCTCCGGGATATTTTGCTCTCCATGCTACCATCCCGTGAAAGCGGATTCGGGATCATGGCAGCCTGCTATATGCTCGTTCTTGTTTTCAGTTGGATAACTTACCAGTTCGTTCGTGCTTTGTGGAATATCTCCCCTTTCCACCCTCTCAGCCGCATCCCTGGTCCGAAACTGGCAGCTGCAACATATCTTCCCGAATTTTACCATGACGTAGTAAAGTTCGGACGATACACACATGAAATAAGGAGAATGCATGAAATATACGGTACTGATATTCCCACGCGTTCTTGCGGACATGATACGTGCTTGCATACGTCAAACTAACATCATCAAGGCCCCCTAGTTCGTATTAACCCCGACGAGGTTCACTGCAACGACTTCCGATTCATAGACGAGATATATGCAGTAGGTGGTAGGAAGCGCGACAAGTCACTGCACCAAGTGAACGGCTCAGCGTAAGACTTTCGTATAACTTGTTAGGCGGTTGAAGCTTATAGGAGCTTAGTATGGGCACCTCTTCTTTTGGAACCTCCGACCATAATCTACACCGTATACGCCGTGCTCCAGTAGCAAAATTCTTCTCCAGGGCTCAGCTCGCGCAGCTCGAGCCGTTGATCCAGCGCCTGGCCCAACGTCTCTGCAATAAGATGCTAGCACAAACGGGCCCCTTCAACATTGCGAGTATGTAGCATAGAGAATTCCTTATCTCCCCCTTATATCTTGTCTCCGGAACTGGTGTTTTCTTATAGCAACGAGCAGGGAGTTCCTAATCCCAAGAAATATCTGGACCACTGTTTTTCCTATAGAGAAGTTATTATTGACTTTCGTTGCCGTAGTGGCTTATAGTTGCTTCACCGCGGATGCAATCTCAGACTATAGTTTTGGTGAAAGCACGGGATATCTCGACCAAGAATCGTGGGAGCCCAATTACCTACGGTCGCAAATCTCGATCCTAAACACAGTTCACCTCTTCCGATTCTTTCCCTCCCTAAACTACATCGCAGAGGTAGCTCCATGGTAGGTTACCACTCAGGAGTACTGTACTGTATCTTAGCTAGTTACTGACAAAATCTAGGTTCTTAAACTACCTACCTCAAGACACTGCGTTGATGATCCGGACGCTAAATGTGCGTGGTAAGAATATTACCGAGTCATAGGCCCAAACTGACAAATATAGACCATCCTACCAAATATGGTTAAGAAAGCCAAGCTCAGCATGGAAGCCGGCATCAAGCGCGAGCGCCCAACCGTCTTTGCCGAGTTACTCAAGTCAGACCTACCGGAGCAAGAAAAAACCATGACGCGACTCGTAAACGAGGCCACGGCCATGATGGGTGGCGGCACCGGGACCGCAAGCTGGACCCTCAGCGTCATTACATACCACCTCCTAACGAAACCGAAGCTCCTGAGCAAGTTAACCGATGAACTACGCGGAGCCGTGTCCGATCCGCAGAACCTGCCCCCTTGGACGACGCTGGAGAAATTGCCGTACCTCGGCGCAGTGCTCCAGGAGGGCTTGCGACTGGCATACGGTGCATCCGGGCGCACCGCCCGCGTGGCACCCGAGGAAGACCTGGTGTACCGCGGGGAATGGAAACCAAAGGGCAGCAAGAAGAGCGTGCCACTTGCGTATATTATCCCCCGGGGCTACGCCATTGGCATGTCAACACCCCTAGTTCACCACGACGAGACCCTATTCCCGAACTCATATGAATTCATACCCGAGCGGTGGCTTGACGAGAACCTAGAAAAAAGAAGGGAGATCGAGCAGCATAACCTCTCTTTTGGGAAGGGCAGCAGGATGTGCTTTGGTATGAAGTATGTAAATCCCGACGTCTGGAGGTTGCTTTGGTGTGCCGCTACTAATGAAATACTTCAATATAGTCTTGCGCTCTGCGAGCTGCATCTCGGTCTTACTGCGTTGGTGTTACGCGTGTTTCCGCATATGCGCCTATTCGAAACCACCGAGGAGGATATTCGATATGATTATGATATAGTTATACCTATGACTAGAGCCGATAGCAAGGGCGTAAGGGCGGTTATTGTATAACTCTTAAGCTATAGTATGCTATGTCACTGCATGATGGCCATATGAAGGTTCGTAATGATTTTTAGGCGGATTTAAATGTGGCTTATGTTTTTCTCCTGGCACTTGGCCGCTAGTTTCTTTGGGCGATACTGGCAGAATGAACTATAGGAGTAATGAAAGGGAAACCGAGGGAGTTTCGACAGACTCATTACGACATGCCTCTTTTTTGTTTTATATCAGATGAACTATATAAGGTCTAATAGCCGCAGTGAAGTGTTTTTTACTAGCTGGTTTGATTGATATCGACTTGAAGTCTACCTCATGGTATATGACTATGGTCTAGTGTTCTACCGACTTGGAGGGTCTCAAGGAGCCCTCAACGCCCCGTATGGTGGCCAGCGGGGCGACTTAGTGTCAGTAAATGTACTGCACATACCATCCTTACGTGAGATTATTCGTCCCGTGGATTCAGGGTATATCGCTTTCAAGACTCTCCAACTCAACTCCGTCGTATAAGGTACAACTAGTTCCTTATGTAAAGGGATGCCGATGTTTTCCACCGTATAAAATTACTCTTAGTCCTATCAATGCTTGCTCTGAAGCCGACGGTGATATAGTTTGCTCCCCGCGTCATGGTGCGTAAAAAAATATATCACGAGACTAGCTCATAGATGCATGCCACCTTCGGGGTCCTCGTCATCTTCAGGCGGCATTCGACTTTGGAGCTGCCGTAGAAGTTCCCGCTCTTCATCTCCTAGTTGACTTAGCGTTCCCGTTTGGAACGTGCCATCTCGCCATGCTGGGTGTTGGGTTTCTCCGTTTACTCCATGACCATTTACTCCGTTTGTCAAGTTGCCGGTCTCTGCGTTGGCGTTATCGGTTGCGGCGGGAGTAACATACTCATCGTCGACCTTCCCTTGGAGTTCGCGCCAGCTAAGTCCGCGGCCCTCAACTTCGGTGCGTATCAACTCGATGCGCTCTTGCATGCGCGCGATGACAGCCTCATTCTCTGCGATGGCGTCGATACAATCTTGGTCTGGCTCCGTAGTATTGTCCTGCTGATCTAGAGTCGGCACTCGCCCTTCGGCATAGGGCTTAAGTTCAGCATTGGAGTAATCTAGATGGGCTATCGAATTACGTAGCTCGAAGACTTTAAGGGCGAGATTCTCAGCGGATAAGTCTTTTAATGCTTCGGCGAAGCGTGCTGGGTTTATGGGCTGTGCTTCGGAAGACATATTGCAAAAGAGGTCTAATTTCCTACTAATTGGTCTTCCGGTAGGTATATGTTAAGAAGTCCAACTTATGTAGGTACCTAGGTAAGTTCAAGGCTCTTAATTTGACGTTATTCAAAGTTGTCGCAATGCTGAAAGTTGCCTGGAGGGAAGCTGTACATGTATGTATAAAAGAGGTACTTACCTTAGGTACCTATCTACTACATCAGCGCCATCGATAAGCCATTCCGGAAACTTTTTAGCGGGGCTTTGAAAGGAGCTTGGGCCATATAAATATGGATACCGAGGGGCATGCGGGGCATTTATATACCTTGTCAGTTTGTACATATTATTTACCTTACTTAACATTATCACGACCGTTATCGCAACTCTCTCCACCTTGAACCATTGGAGTTTCGGCTGTCTGAGGAAATTTAGATGATGTGATAAGAGCCCTGTATCTCGGCATCCTACTCGGCATCTTATTACGTATAGTGCGAACCTCCTTATCTTCCTAAGAGTCGTATCCGCTCGAATTGACCATTCAGAGTTGATACTCTCTACAAGATGGAGCTCCTATCGTCACATTCGGGAATTGGAGTAGCTATCAGAGCTGGGGAGGTGAAAGTGTTATATTTACCATCTGTCTCTGTCTCTAGTTTCCGGGAAACTTGGCCATTTTGTGTATATAACGGGACGCTAATTATAATTTGCATTATTGTTGGTATCCTTGAGACATTGCCATGATCGTGTTTAAGTTGGCTCTTGTAGCCAGTACCTTAACGGGGGCTACTATAGCTCGATCAGTTCACCAAGATGGGCCTCAACAGGTACTTGACGATGTAAGACCGGCATCTTTCAAATGCGATATCCCGCCAGTGGTTGACCCTTCGAAAGACGGACTACCGGCTGCTCGTGATATCTTCTCTGATCAAGAGGCCTTGCTGCTTCAGGTTAAGAGGCATGGTACCATTGTAAAGATACCTTCCATCTCGTACGATGATAACGGAGAACCGGGCGAAGACTCTAGATGGGATGTATTCTATGATTTACACAGGGCCCTGGCTGCTTTATATCCTAATATGTAAGTGTCTATAACATTGTAATCTTCTAGTATCATTAAGAAAATCGTGGTATCCCACTAACCTTTCGAACTAACCGCGATTCGTAGTCACCTTCGGGCAGCCCGCGAGACAGTGAATACGTTCGGTTTAGTATATACGATTGAGGGAACAGAGCCCGCCCTTAAACCACTCCTGTTAGCTGCGCACCAAGATGTGGTACCAGTTGCCGACGCCTCAACTTGGAAATATCCACCATTCTCGGCCCATTTTGATGGGCAATGGCTATGGGGACGGGGCGCATCAGACGACAAGAATAGTTTGACTGGCCTGTTTTCTGCTCTGGAGGCCCTGCTATCAAACCCTCGCTGGGTGCCAAGGAGAACCATAATACTCGCACTTGGATTTGATGAGGAGTGTTCAGGTCGTAGAGGAGCTGGCCATATTGGGCCATACCTAGAAAAGCGGTATGGTCCTAAGTCGGTGGCCCTAATCCTCGATGAAGGAGGAATGGGATTACAACTCCTTGGCAACGACACTTTGTGTGAGTACCTAATACAAGAATACGCTTTCCGTATTTCTGGGCTAATTATATACTATAGACGCTCTTCCTGCTGTTATGGAAAAGGGCCATGTTGATATCTGGTTGGAACTTTACGTAAATGGAGGCCACTCATCAGCACCGTTTCCGCATACAGGTATTGGTATAATGGCTGAGTTTGTTAATCATCTGGAATCTAACCCATGGAAGCCCAAACTCATTGAGGGCTCGCCCATCTACAATCACTTTGTCTGCCAGGCAAAATATTCCCCTGATGTGTCACCGAACATCACCAAGCTAATAAACAAAGGGGACTTGGAATCATTGACCGAAGAACTGGCGACGATCGATCGGCCGACTCAGTATCGTATACAGACTTCTCAAGCTGTTGACTATTTCTTCGGAGGGGTAAAAATCAACGCTATGCCGGAGTATATCAAGATTGGTGTCAACCACCGCATCGCGCCTCAGGATTCCATATCAGCAGTGAAGGCCAACATCCTGAAACAGATCAAGCCAATCGTGAAAAAATTCGGGTTGACAGTCAGCGCCTTCAAAGGGGAGGAACACAATCCAGATATTGAACTGGATGAGAACCTCAGCGACGGAGCTGTAGACCCGATGTATGAGGTGGAATACAATGGAACACTTGTCCTTACATCGTCTCAATCTACTTTGGTTGCTCCGATCTCACCAACGTCAGGGCCAATCTGGGATGTTTTCTCGGGAACGATCCAGCATAGCTTTGCTTTTGAAGGCGGAAAGGTAATTCCCGTGGGAGAGCTCATGACAGGTAACACGGACACTCGCCATTATCTGAGTAAGTAAAGCTCTAGATTCATTTAGAACCCCGATAATAGTTACTAATTTTCGATTTCCAAGACTTGACCAACCACATTTATCGGTGGACACCGACTCGTCAGGGACGCAACGCCAATGCTCATACGGTCGATGAAAGAGTAGATATGTACGCTCATCTAGAAATCGTCAGGTTCTATTACGACTTAATTAGGAACTTTGATGCGTCTCCTGTTGCGGCTTTTGAGGAACAAGTGGATATTGGAGAATTGTGACTTGGATAAGTCATACCCAAATAGAGGTAATTCTTCTATTTCTTGCCGTTGAAGATGATGGTTATCTCCTTAAGTGGTATCAACGAAAAATGTACATAGCAAAGGTATTCATATGATTGTAAGTTGATAAGTTGATGATTGATAGATACCTAGCGGGGGATAGGGGGGTCTACCAAACGGTATATATACTGTATATATACTATTTAAAAAATTAAACCGCACTAATACTTATATGGAAAAGTTGCAGCTGGAATTTTAAACCGTTAAACCTAATTGAGTAGTTCAAAAAATTATAAACGTTTTAAAAAGAAAACGCTAAACCAAAATAAGCCGCTTATATAATAAGCCGTGTTTATACGGTATAAATACGGCTCATTATAGCTAAACCGCTTAAAATCTAAACGGTTCATATAGTGTATAGGCATATATAACAAAAAGGAGGTACAGCCTTATACTAATTATATGGTGCTATACTTTTTATTATTTACATGTTACATATTTATTTTTTTACTTAGGTAAATATTACAGTCACAAAGTCACAGGATCTAATTTTTCAATTGGTTAAGTTATAGACATCATTCAAATAGACCAATCAATATCAGTAGTCACGTTACGCGCGCACGTACATAATATTCTTAGTATGGTATATATGTATCTAACAGGGCAGGTACGCACACACCACATACCACATACCACATACCACATATAAGGCCACATACAAAGCCACATACAAGGCTACACATACTAAATCAATTAAATCTATTTGATTAAGTCTATTTAATTAAGTCTATTTAATTGGTATGTCTATTCAATTGAATCTATTATATACCATTTATATTAAGCTATAAGTATACGGCTTATTTAATTGGTCGGTTCATATCCCTAAACGGTTCAAAAATTGAACCGCTCATTCTAATTAAACGATATTTATACCGCTTATTCAATTGAACAGTATAAGTATGGCTCTATCACATATACGTTTAAAAATAATAGCACGTGCAGCGGAGGAGCCGTACCAATACTATTCAACTAATAAATGGTAAAAATAGGGATACGTAAATAATTTAAGCGGTATATTGTAAAAAACAATATATATACAGATTAGAATAATTGAGCCGAATATATACAGACGCTAAGGTAGTAAGGGGCTCATGTACCTATCATATTTAAGAGTTCCACTGAATTGAGTTGAAGTTAGCGCGGGGTTCCCCTTTAGCCAATCATATTAGCATGATACAACTAACCATGCAGCTGGCGCAAACGTTAAACCTTATGGGTCCATTGAAAATCGGATGCGGTAAAAAAGTATCAAATCTATCCGGCAACATGCTCAAGACCTAGATCTCTTTCGCCCGTATAAGTCTTATGGATCTCGCAGGGTTAAAAATGATATAGCGGCATGATGGTATAATCACTATACCATGCCTATTCTCCCCTCACTCTCTCCCCCGTCAAGTTTTCGGCTTGGCCTGCGGGCTATCACTGGTAACTCCGGGAGTTCGCTGATTTCTTATGCGGCTCGCTCGTTTTTAACGAGGCACCATTCCACAACGCCATGTTGTCGATATAACAACAGAGGGGCTATGAGCCCTTCAACAATTCCGAGAAATTACCGTTCAAATAACCTGTCACCTCGAATGTCCGTTCGAATGCTGTCTAGATTCCGCGCGATTACACATTACTTGAAATTACCTGATTCCTACGAAGATAGCAAGGGCTTGCCATTCCGAAAAGAAGATCTCAACCAAAGAGAGGTTAACCAGATATTTGGTGGAGGGCACCTCCCTGCTTCGTTGGCAAACAAGCTTCTTCGAATTTTACATGGTCGTCGAGTAGCAGGAACTCTAGATGACCCGAATCTTCGAACGAACACGGCCCAGTTCAGCGCTGCGGATCAAAGGAAAGCATTGGGATATCTACGTGCTAATATTCCCGTAGACGAGGTTATTAATGCTGGCCTACGAGCTGAGGACGAACTCAAATACTTGGAACAAGAAGATGAGAGTGGCGAACAGCAAACCGGAGAAAGTAGCCCGCAAGGCCCCTCTTCCGACACCGTAACGAATGAATACTTAACTCCAACCGGACGACTCCCGAAAATAGATAAAACCGATTCACCTTATGGAGTAAGTCCTCTCGACCGAATTCGCGCCCATAACATTGCGAAACGCGAGGCGGAAGAGAAGAGGTTGGAGGAAGAACGGAAGAAGCGCGAGGAAGAGGAGGCGTCAAAGAACATCGGCACTCTCCAGACTGAGCAGCATAAGCCGAAAGAGTTGAGCCCGTTCGTGAAGAAGTGGGCAGCGCGCGCATCATCCGACCTCAAGGCACCTCCTGAAATGAAGACCTGGGAACGTCTACTTCCACAATTCGCTATGACCATTATAGTCTTGGCGGGATGCGTCGCGTATGCTATCATGTATACGCCGCCTAGACGATCTGAAAGATTGTGGCCGACTATTCCGCCTGCAGCTGCAACTTGTCTTGCTATCATCGGAATTAACTTGACAGTTTGGATCGCCTGGAAATTACCACCGCTATGGGCACTCCTGAACCGATACTTTATAGTTATTCCTGCGACACCACGGCCCCTCCAGTTGGTTGGAGCGATTTTTTCTCATCATAACTTCAGCCACGTAGCCTTAAACATGGTAGCGTTTTGGTTCTTCGGCATTCGGCTTCACGACGAGATTGGAAGGGGCAATTTTCTCGCCTTGTGGTTTGCTTCTGGAACTTTAGGGTTCATAAGTAGTCTGTCACGTTTAGTTCTCTCTGGGGGCTTAACATATACGACACTTGGGGCTTCGGGGGCGATTTACGGAATCATCGGTGCGTATTTCTGGCTACACAGGTACGACGAGTTTAAACTATTTGGGTACCCCCCTGATCCGATGTCTGGCCCGCAGGGCTTAGCCTTTATCGGCCTAATATTGGGTCTACATGTGCTCCCCCTATTCTCGAAGAGGGCACATAACCTCGACATTGCATCGCATTTAGGAGGTATGTTAGCGGGCGTAGCCGGGGCGGACCTTGTCAAGAGACACATGGATGAGAAGGCGAGGGTTAGGGCCGAAAGGTTAAAGACTATGGGCGCGCTGGAGAAGATTGTTCAAGTAAAGGAGAAGGACTCCCAGGGGACGCTCCAAACGACTGTCGGGCGTTAAGCGTTGACCAAAATTACTAGTGACATACATGTACTTAGTCTCTATTCTCCCTGTACATATTTACAGGTCTTGAAGTTGAAAGGCGGCGGCCATGTAAATCTTGTATAATATACTAACTGATATGATAGAGCTTGTATGTAGGTATATAGAAAGACTCCATTTCAAGATATCAGATAGTACGTACCTGTTAAGAACCCAGCATGACCTTTGTGGAGTATTCGTCCTACCCACATGAGACGTACGTCATTTCTTAGGGTAGCAGTTCTAATTAGGGGAATAATTTATGTGCAGCAGATGCGTGCGGTTAAACCAACGAATAGCCTCGAAGTGAAAACGTGTAAGACATGTATATAAGGTATACTTTCATGGCTTAGCCTGTCACCTGCCCCAACGGTTTCATACTCAACGTGCGTCGGCGTATGACACTACATATGTAGAAAACACCCATGGTTAAGAGAGTAAGTTATAAGATTATTTTATCGCATCCTCAAGCGAAGCCAAGGTCAAAGCCGACGAGGCTGCGATGCAGGCGATGCAGCTGCGAGGCCTCCCTTGCTGATATACATACAGCGGTCTACAATATCCCCGTAGGGCATTTCTATGGTACACATATGTCGTGGGATGGGTCGAAACAAGATGACCAATGAGAGCAAATATGTATTGATCTGTAATCGACTTTACACAAAGCATCTCATCTTGGATTTATAAATTTAGACACAGGTTTCTATGCATAATATATGGGTATACATATTTCAACCTGTAAAACACCTTAGTATAAATCTAGAAAAAAAAAACCCCCTTTATCGCACTTAGAATTAGGATCAAGTATGCTATGTAAAGCAGCCATACCAACATTGAACATCAAGTGTACGTACCTAGGTAAATATTGACCTAATTAGCCCATACCCTAAATTAAGATAGGCTTCCCTGGCGCAAGCCCTGGTTACAGTAGCCACGAGGAATCTAACCAGTGACCATTCACCATCGACGTAACATCACTCCCGTGCTCCACTCTTGATACTGCCTGCCTGCCTGCATGCTATAGCGGGCCCAGCTGCCTACCTGGTAGCTCTTTAGCTAGTAGCTGACTGGTTAGGAAGGATCATCACTGCTGACAACGGAAACTGCTGATCGTGAGATTTTATTCTTGTTATGATTTTCATTGTTCGGAATCGGCACACGCTTGTCTCACAAATTTCATCCAAATTTCCACACCCTCTCTTTTCCTCATTTCGCCAATTTTTGTTTCCTTTCTCTCCCCTGGGGGCTGAACTTGAATGTAATTATTAATTACCGTATATCGGCAGAATTGAATCTCAATTGTTACTTTTTCGCTTCTTATTGTTCGACTCGTGTTCGAGTACTCGGTTTCTTGGCATACATTTGAGTCCCTGTTTTGTTAGTTTATTAGGTGATACCCTGATCTGTCGAATTTGTTGTAACTCGTTATCGACGCCTCTTTCGTGCTCTGCATCCAACCGAAATTTGAATTTGTCTACAATACTTTCCAATTGTGCCACGGCGCGATCTCTGTAGACCTCGTCTAAATAAAGCAACTTGTCGCGTTTCACCGTTCTTCGTGCCTTGCATCGAGGACTCTCAACACTGATACGCTCTTATCAGCGCCGTCAGCTACACCGACTAGCAAGTCCTTTTCGAGCCTACATTACTAGAGTAGAAGCAATACTTAAAACAAGTTGAAGCTAAAGCAACTGTCGGTCCGTCGTATTAGAAAGCACCATGGCCACGCCTGAGAACGTTGATCATATCGAAGAAGATCCGCGCAATCCTTACGCCTCAGCCAATAAATGGAGACATCAAGAGTCGTCCTCCTACGCTCGCGCCGCACTTGCACGAGATGCTCAATCGTCTAGTGCAGACACAAAGGATCTGTCCAACTTTTTCAACTCCGCGCGTGTCGAGGGCGACGGGTCTGCCGGAAATTATAAACCAATTGTTGTCAGTAACGCTGATGGCGCACACGACGGAGGAATCGTCGACGACGGGAAAGAGGTGGTGTGTGGACCTCTACTGAATTACCGACGTATGGAAGACAGGACGTGGCACGGAAGCGTTTTGATTGTTATCAAGGGTGGTGGCAAGACCCAAGCCTTTCAGCCTACCTTAAGCCTCAGTCGTGTCGAGGCAGCCCCCGGGCAGCAAGGTTTACTTCATCCGGAATCTAGCGTTAACGGCTCCGAGGCGCTAGGGACGAGCAGTTCCAGTGCCGCTCGGAACGGCGCCGACGTATCAGGTATCTGTCTCTATTCTGATCCTAGGAACACATTTTGGCAATTTCCTATTGCTTGTGAAATCGGCAATACCGAAACGAAATGGGCGTACTCGATTGCCAATATGCGCTACAAAAGCGCTACGAAGCCAAAGACGAACTACTTCTTCGTTCCAGCCATCGACGAGTCGATGCGAATCATGTTCCATTCGTGCAATGGCTTCAGCGTGGGCACGGACGAAGACGCCTGGAGCGGACCGGCGCTATGGAATGACGTAGTGAGAAATCATGCCAAAGCTCCATTCCACGTAATGATAGGAGGTGGCGACCAAATCTATAACGATGGTATTCGAGTAAGCGGGCCTCTTCGTGAATGGACCGATATAGGGAACCCGAAGAAACGACGCGATTTCCCTTTCCCGGAAAGCTTGCGAGCAGCTTGTGATGATTACTACCTAAATAATTATATTCGGTGGTATTCAACGGAACCGTTCGCCGCTGCCAATGGACAAATACCCCAGCTAAACATTTGGGACGACCATGATATTATTGATGGTTTCGGATCCTATGTTAACGAGTTCATGAAGTGCGATGTATTCCGAGGTATTGGTGGCACTGCTCACAAATACTATATGCTTTTCCAGCATCATCTAGCACCACCTCCTTCGACATACACGTCGGATATTCCCGCAACCCCAGAGCATGGGTTAGAGCAACAGGATCCGGTGCAACTCGTAGATACCTTTGTGAAAGAGCAATCGTTTGACTCGTCTTATATCATCGGTAGCAGTCCCGGACCATATGTCGCCGAACACTCGATGAACATGTTTTCCAAGCTCGGCGCCAGAATTGCATTCCTTGGCATTGACGCTCGTACCGAACGTACACGACACCAGGTTAACTATCCTGAGACGTACGACCTCATTTTTGGTCGCGTGAAGGATGAACTAGGAGCAGCGGCAGCAGCTGGTAGACCTTTTAGGCATTTGATTTTGTTGTTAGGTATTCCGATTGCGTATCCGGTAAGGTATTTGTGTTCTTTGAAGTATCGCACTTTGCTAATAGTACTAGCGACTCACTTGGCTGGAGAACGTGTTCAGCAGCCCCCTTATTGCTCCTGTTAAATTCTTGAACCGAAGATTCGGATTCGGTAAGTACTGCCTTGATTTGTCTAACTATCGCGGTTATTCATGATTATCACAGGTGGCGGCGTGTTTAATCACTTCGACGGTAGTGTGGATCTCCTAGATGATTTGGACGACCACTATACCGCCAGGACCCATAAGAAAGAGCGAAACGCTCTAATAAAGCGGCTTCAGACTGTCTGCTCAGAGTTTTCGGTCCGCCTCACCATTCTCGGAGGAGACGTTCATTTGGCAGCTCTCGGACGGTTTTACTCAAACCCAAACCTGCACATTCCAGTTGAAGCCGATCATCGTTACATAGTCAACGTGGTATCTTCCGCGATCGTGAATAAACCCCCACCGGCGGCAATTGCCAACCTCCTGGCAAGCCGTAACAAAATCCATCATCTCGATGCGGATACGGATGAAACGCTCATGGCACTCTTCGATAAAGACCCAGGGAATTCTAGCAAGACACGGTCTTCGAACAATGTCACGATGCCTAGCCGAAATTACGCTGTTCTCACAGAAAACTCGCCAAACAATAGGGGTGGGGCTACTAATGGCCACGCAGAACCGGCGGAAGCCAATCCGTCGGAGAATCAGTTCGATGGTAAGGATGGACATTCATTCCTATCCAAAGGTGAATTCGGCGCGGGCACTAAGCACAAGGCCGCGAATTTCGAGACGCATGGCAAAGACAACGATGGTGGTCTCGACGTCTGCATTCGAGTAGAGATTGACCAGCATGATAATGAGGGTAAGACGGAACCGTACGGCCTAACGATTCCAGTTCTTAACTACGAAGCTGGAAAGTTTGGTACCAACGCGCACACTCATCATCTTCGCCACCACCGAAGCCGACCAGACACGGCTGGAGCTGCGAGCTCTTTTGCTCCAAGTACTGCACCCTCGTTACCTGTCTCGGCGCCTGAAGCCACTCACTAGAGACAAGCCTAGCTAGTGAGTATGATTGGCATGCAACTATAGACCGTAACCGAGATAAGGGCGTATATACTACGCGGTCTATCATACCGTCTACGTGTCGGATATATTTCAAGAGTGGATTAGGAATACACAAGGTCGTATTTAAAAGAATGGACGAAGGATAATACCCCAGAAAGTGGATTGCTATAACTAATTAGTTTTTGAATCCCCTTCGATAGTTATGTACTTTATACTCCACTACTGATATCACGATTGGCAGCTTGTTATAGTGTGCAAAGAAGCGTTTTCGCATCGTTCGCTATCCCATTATCCAGGAAGCCTAGCCTAAGTTCCATATGCCGAGATTACCTCTCCACAGTTCACGAGTCGATAGTAACAGTTATTGAAGAATTGATAAGATCCAGCGGGTCCGACGCCGAGATACGAATCTAGCCGTTCTCCGTTCTAATCGAATGTTAGCTTCCAGTTTATAAGTTAAACTAGGATTAGCAAGGCGGCTCAAGAAGCTCATGCCGAATTCGGCTCGTCTGCAGTAAATATCAAGCTCCTAATTGGTGCTTCCCTTCAATTGGAACTTTGCGCTTCTTTGCCCCGCATAGTCGTTCGTTTATGCCGTAACAAAGCGAGCTCATACATCATAATCATCGGAGGTGAAGCGCCGATGAAGCATCGTCTGTTAATTTCTGTTATTTGATAAGTAGCTACGTTGCACACAATATCCAGTGATGAGATTTCATTGATCTATAATAACATACTAAGATACCCATTCCCTTCCTTCGTATATTCGATATGGCGTCTACACCCAGAGGCTATGGCCTTATGAGGGCAATTCAGAGCCCTACTCTGTCTTCGAGGGTTTGTTCTAAATGTCTACCAGCTCTTCAATCTCCTAGAAATATAAGGGCTTTGAGTACGACGAGCGCCAGAACAACGTCGCTAGCTACTTTCAAGATACCCAAAGTTACAAATGAACCTAATGTACGTTTATTTATTATACATGCTTTTCAGTCTCACCAATCATCAGCCAAGTAATTAACAAGAGACATAGCACATATATGCGAAGGGCTCGGCGCAAAGAGCAGGACTCCTTTCTGCAATCGAGACTCAACAGAAGAAGGGCACAATAGAAATTCCGCTCGTGATAGGGGGCAAGGAGGTATGTATAATACGAAATACGAACCCCAATATCCTCTTAAGCTCCGTAGATTAATCTCCTATACAGGTCAAAACATCACAAAAATCTACACAACACAACCCTTCCGACCACAACACGCCGGTAGCCAATTATTCCACAGCTAGTCCCTCTGATGTTAATAAAGCTATCGAAGCAGCCTTGGCTGCAAAGCCAGCATGGGAGTCGCTCCCTTTCGCAGACAGGGCCGCCGTCTTCCTCAAGGCAGCAGATCTCATAGCTACTAAGTATCGATATGAAATTATGGCCACTACAATTCTCGGCCAGGGTAAAAATGCTTGGCAAGCCGAGATCGACTCTGCAGCGGAGCTATGCGACTTCTTACGCTTCAATGTCCAATATGCAGAAGAATTGTACGCACAACAACCTGCCCACAACTCGCCTGGGTTATGGAACCGTATCGAATACCGACCGCTGGAGGGCTTTGTCTACGCCGTCAGCCCCTTTAACTTCACTGCTATCGGAGGCAATCTGGCAGGAACACCTGCGCTTCTGGGTAACGTGGTTATCTGGAAGCCATCTGACTCTGCGGTTGCAGCGGGTCATTTGCTACATAAGATCCTGCTCGAGGCGGGACTACCTGAGAATGTAATTCAGTTCGTGCCCGGAAACCCCGAAGAGGTGACCAAGGCGGTACTCGCGCACAAGCAGTTCGCTGCGCTACACTACACCGGCAGCACAGCCGTATTCCGCAAGCTGTACGGTCAAATCGGACAGGGCATCGCCGAGGCCCGGTACGTAGGATACCCGCGTATCGTAGGTGAGACCGGCGGCAAAAACTTCCACCTGGTCCACTCATCCGCCGACATCCAAAATGCCGTAGTCCAGACTATCCGCGGCGCCTTCGAATACTCCGGTCAGAAGTGCAGCGCTACGAGCCGTGCATATGTCGCCAAGTCGATCTGGCCCGAGTTCAAGGAGAAGCTAGTCAAAGAGACCAGCGCGCTCAAGGTTGGCGCGCCGTGGAAACCCGAGAACTTCATCGGGCCCGTGATCCACGAGCCCAGCTTTAAAAAGCTGACCCAAGTCATCGACGAAGCAAAGAACGACCCTGAACTGGAGCTCCTAACTGGCGGCAAGTATGATGGGTCGAAGGGGTACTTCGTCCATCCTACCATCTATCAGGCCAGCACCCCGACGCATAAGCTGCTATCGACGGAGCTCTTCGGTCCGATATTGACGGTGTACATGTACGACGATACGACCGGCGACGCGGAGAAGGCGTTCGCCGACGCGTGTAAGCTGGTGGACAGCACGAGCGAGTACGGCCTCACGGGATCCGTGTTCGCGTCGGACAGGCATGCGATCCGCGCTGCGGAGGACGCGCTACGCAACGCGGCGGGCAACTTCTATGTCAACTGCAAGAGCACGGGCGCGGTTGTGGGCCAGCAGCCGTTCGGTGGCGCGCGGGCTAGCGGGACGAATGATAAGGCGGGTAGCATCAATATTATCAGCAGATTTGTCAGTCTGAGGAGCATTAAGGAGGAGTTTTTGCCTAGTAATACGGTAGAGTATCCTAGTAATGAGGTCTAGTTTGGTGGGGAGTTATTAAGGAGGTAGCTAGGGTTGTGGTTTGGCGGTCGATGGTTGTGATCGCTTGATATCAAGTATGATATGGCTCTCTATATGGAGTACGGCACGTAGGATGTCGAATAAAAGTTACCTACCTGCTTAAGATCGAATATACAGGTGTTTATCCTATTAAATTCCTATGGGCAATTTCTCCTTTATTTCTATTGTGAATGATATTTGTTATATCCTCTACGTAGGTTACGGCGACGTGGTTTTATGTCAACAAGACCCTTTTACGGGCAACAGAGCGATATCACCATACAAAAATGTGCTTGGGTGCTACTAATCAGATCTCGTAGTTTGCCTGTCGTATTCGCGTTACCTTTCACTTTATCTGGGGTTGGGAACGGTGTTTATTTGTTTACTTTGTGTCCGTATTGTCGTTGTGCTCCAGGTTTATCTTTTGTTAAGAGTATGCTGACGGCGGACCTACACTTATATTGTTTTCACAGGGAATCCGGTGTGAAATGCGGCGACGGTATGTTATATTGTGGTATTATGGGAAATTCCATACGTGGGCGATGTTCTTGTTTCATCACCAATTAGAAGTAAAAATACCCAATACACTTACGAATTCTAGTACCTTTTTTAAAGTATACCGCAAGAAGAGGATAGTTATCGTACATGGAGACACCGTGGATATAATTTACGGGGGGACTATTAAGTATTAAAAAGAGATGATTTGGCGAATATATACTATATACCTAATAATAATATCAGCCACGACTCTGTATCGTATCGTTCCGAAGCCAGTGCTTAAAACTTGTTGACTTCATCGTTGACGACGTTGTTGATCATCGGGTCGGCTCCGCTAGGAACGCCCTTCTTCTGCGCCTCTCGGTCCACCACTAATGGTATGTTTTTAGTTAACTGTACGATACTGGAGCAAATACTATAACATACTGGAATCGACCATGGTGTCCTTGGTGGCATGTTTACCGGGCTGTTGGGAAGTCTGGTTGGCCGCACTTTTCCAATTGTGAGTTATTTCGCATATCAGGGAGTCATGTTGGGAGATGCAACATACGTCTGGCCGGTTACGGCGTCCTTTGCCTTCTTCAGCTTGTCCATGTTGATTGAATAATATTTATATATGGCTTGAGTTATATGATATTTTTTTTGTAATTCACGTTTTTCGATTAAAAGTAAACAGGTGACCGAGGGGGCTACTCGATCTTTAAGTAAATATCAAGAAACAAAAGACAGAGAGCCTTTTTCGGGAATGGTTTATGATTCATTACTCTTGGTATCATACCGCCCGAATAAATACGCAATACTTCATCGGGCTACATGTGATAAGAGGTAATAAAAAGTCTCGATTGGATTAAACCGTTATATCCAAAGTTTCCGCATCTCCACACATAGGTACTTATCTGAGCCTCACTTGATATTCTCTTGCTGTGGCCCTCAAACTCGAGAAACTACAGGATGGGATGTCCCTGTCATATATCTCATGAAGTTACCATGACTTCAAATCAAGCTTTTTTAGTCAGGGAATAAACATCACTTACGTCAACTCAATAGAAACCACGCAGTAGTTCTGTGGGTTTAGAGGTACTAAGATTGCAGACGTTCCTCGCATGTAAATAAAGATCTTCACCCAGCCGATGCGTTCAGATAAACCTAATCTAACTAGCTAATGTTTCTAGACTTGGCTAGCTTGTACTGGTGCTGCTATAAAGGCTTGAGACTGATGTCTCCCTAATCTTTACGTTGTAGTCAGTTCAACACACAAAACAGATGAGCTGAAAACTACGAAACTAACTCTGACTAGGCCAACAGGAGCATTAACCTTAGAGCTTACTATGATGCGAAATCCTAATGTGACCCACGTTGTGACCTAGTCGATGCTAAGCTCTTGTGAATTCCTTGAGTCACATTAAACTTGATATTGTCTTCAGCTCGTTCGGCTAATGATTCCAATGCAACTATCCCGACGCACCTATTAGTCGTTCGATATGTACGCTGGGAATGGTTTAGTAAGTGTTTCTTGTGATCGAGCTAGCCAAGCTCAAATGTATAGATCTGCTCTATAAGGCTTTTAGGAGTTATGATCAAATGATGATATTATGTACACCGGCCCTGAAAATATACGCCTCGCTCTGAATTCAATAGACCAGAACCTTCCACAACGATGAAACGTCACTACTCCGCGCAGTGGTTTTTTACTTCTTTATGCTAAATTCGAACGGTATAACTTTATGCAGGTAATTCCCATGCCATTGGTTTGTTGGGTCCCTGGGGGTTATGTTCGCTCCACGTGGGCATCTCCGACTGACTATGTGGTTCATGGAGCTCGTAAAGCGCGTTTGACTCCGGCATCTCTGGGGGTCTGGACTTATCGTGCAGTTCATGTATAGCTAATTCGGGGTTTCGAGGCGGAAGAACAGGTGGTGACGGGGACGAGGATGGGGATGAAGGCGGCGGGTTACTCGCTAACCTTCGACGCATGTAGAAAAAGGTACACGCAGCTCCGAGTATCAAGGCGCCTACAACTCCCACTACGATCCCCGCAATAGCTCCATTTCCCAATATTCGAACACCTGAGCTTGAAGAGTCCGAATCATTTTGTGTAGAGGTGTCTACGGCAGAAATATCCGAGGGAGAAGTTCCCACACCGGGGTTGGCTGTATTCGAGGTGGATAGGTCCGAGTTGATCGTGTTCGTTGAGCCGGTCGGTATCACTCCGCTGGATGTTACCGATCCAGTAGGTCTTGACCCTCGAGAAGAAGTAGACCCTGTAAGACTATCTGTATCACTCGCTGCATTCAATATTTGGATACTGGGAGCTAAGATATTCGCGAACTCGCCCCCTTGAAAAGTAGTGTAATATCCACATCCATAGCTGCCAAGTTTCACCCCTGGATAACATTGAAAGTAGTCGAAACTATAGAAGTTTAGTTAGTTAACTAGTTTCTGTGAAAGAACGGAGTCCAGATTAATACTCAACGTACTGGTAATATGGACAACAGACTGTTGTCACGACATTGTCACCTGGTGCCTCGCAAACCTCCGTGTAACCGCTTGGGCATATTCCTGGGGAGTAATAACCGTTGACGACCCAGTCTGGAGGTAAACAACCATCGTCCGCACTCACAGTACCTACCTTGTAGATTTGTGTGCCATCTACTGTGTCCGTATATGGGCTGAGTGGAAAACACGACGAAGGCGGCGAGAACGTTGTGGTTAACGGACCGAGTGAGGTCGCGGCTGTGATACCGTCGGTGTAGGTCGGCGTAGTCATCGTTTTCGTATCTGATATGACAATGGCATCCCCTATTATGTGGGTGTGAACGGGAATGACAGATGATGGTGATGCCCCAAGATCGACTCTGTGCCTAATTCTTCTCCAGCCCCCTACGCGCAGCACGGGCTACGCGGTACATCGATGGGTTAGAGGGACAAGTACCATTATGAGGACAATGCCGCACATCTCGTCTCAGATTATTATTTATGTAAAACTGCTACAGCTAATTGTGTACCCACTACCCTATTAGATGGGGCATTTTACCGCTGGGAAATGCGTATCATATTGATGTTGGTTGTCAAGTTGTCTATACCCTTGGCTGTGCCAGAGAGCTGCGTTAATATGCGCCCCACAAGGCTATATACGAAGTATCATTTGGTTCTACATACAGAAAAGATAGCCATCAACTAGGAATAACAGCAAGTTATGATAGAGTTTTATGCTGTATAATTTCCGTATTCATATACATATGTTGGATATTGTAGTAAAGAAGAGCCAGACGCGTTCAGTGACTTATTTCAAATACATTATTAGTGAATGCTTCGCCTTGAAGCTTGGCTTATTACATAAATCATCTCAATATATGCTAGGGATGTTACATTAGAGCCCCTATATAAAAGCTCCGAAAGGCATAAGCGAAGATGATCCCGAGTCCGAAGTTACGGCGAAAGCTCCATGGTACAGAGGTAGTTAGAGACTCTTTACATATAGGACAATGATCGTAGCGTTCTGAATATCGCTATGGCAAAAACAGTAGGCAATATTACTACGGAGATTCCGAGATAGATATTTCGGTAGATAATAGGTCATCTCAGATACATAATGACCGAGATAGATAATTTACAAAAATGATATCTATCAATTGTTGTACGTGATGAGATCCGGGGTCCCTCAAGCGCTTTGACACGGATCTTCAAGCGGCGCGGGAGCAGAAGATCCCGGTGGGGCACACGGCTGGATGCCAGACTTCTTCGAGATGTTAAAGGATGATCGCGAACAAGTAATATGTCGAGTCTTGGAAATGACTTATCCATCGTTCCTCGATGGTTAATTCGATCCTACTAGGTTAGTCCTTTTCGAAAGCACGTGTATTCAAGCATTAAGGTGTATAACAGAAATACTTCCAACAAGATTTCTAAGGGAGCTTCTGGAATCTTGCAAATAAATAAACCCTCAATAATCCCTGGACTAACCCGTTTCCCCGGTGACTGAAATATGATGGAACGCCATATCTTATAGCCTTTTAAGATCGTTCATTACTATTATATATCTGCCATTGCTCGAATCTCTTAACTCACTCTTCGATGAAATAAAATGTCGGCCGAAACTATCTCACAAGGCGTTAGGAAAGGCACATACCTCTGCCAATTAGTTAATTGAAGACATGAAAGGCTTAGTTACTCGGACTTAGATGGAGTATGTATCTGTACCTTTCACACACCTTGAGATGAAGTTCTACGAATCATTATCTAGAATAAGAGTACATAAGTAAACTCATACTGAGCTAATATGTATGACTATTAAAATATACCGATATATCTTCTATACATTCACTTGGACAGCTTACCGCCTGGCCGAGCGACAGAAAAATAATTATATAAGATAACTGATATATATGCAGAGATATTCGTGTAAACGAGGGCTGACATCGCTCTACGAGTATTAACGGCTGACCTTGGTCCTTAACGACACTCTCATTTATAAAAGAAAGAAAATAAATGGTTACCATATGTAAGGCTACACGATATATTGTCATAATATATGTAAACTTACCCTTCTATACTACAGTATTGCTTCAACATAACCCTATTGGTTACTATTAGGCCTAGTTTATCGGTATATTGACTAGGTACATTTGTACATAGCGTGTTCTGATAGAAGAGCTTCCTTATGCGGGGAAGCGGGGATGATATCTCATCAAGAAACCAACAATCCTATGATATGGTCCTTCTCTAGAACCTGGGCTAGTGTAATACTGCTGTATAGAGTATAACCATGTCTCGTCGTCCAGTTATCGCCATCGCCGGTTTGGCCTGCGAAACATCAACTTTCACGCCGTCGAGGACCCTCGCACCGGCATTTCACCCCCGGCGTGGCACAGAGATCATAGACAAATACCCCTTCATTCAAGCTGGTACACTGCTAGGCGATGCTGTTGAGTGGCGCGGTGCACTCATTGGCCATGCCTTACCAGGTGGTATCGTGACTAGAGATGCCTTTGAGTCGCTCTCTTCGGAGATACTCAGCCGTCTTACAGAGATAGTGGCTACAGTTAAACTTGACGGGTTTTGGTTCGATATACACGGTGCGATGTGTGTCGAGGGGCTCGACGATGCAGAATACGAATTACTAAGGCGCTGCCGCGAAGTCATCGGTTCTGATGTTTTAGTATCGGCGTCGATGGACCTGCACGGTAACATCTCACGGGAACTAGCGCATCAAACGGATCTAATTACTTGCTACCGCACGGCACCTCATGTAGATGTTGCGGAAACAAAAGAGAGGGCTTGCAGGAACTTGCTTAAGCTGCTTCGGCGACGAGCGAATGGCGAGGAAACTATCCGCCCGTTCAAGGCTTGGGTTCCGATTCCGATTCTACTCCCTGGCGAACAGACTTCCACGAGGGATGAGCCGGCTACACATATCTACGCCGCGGTGCCTGAGGTTGAGGCTACGGAAGGGGTATTGGATGCGGCTATATGGGTTGGCTACGCTTGGGCTGACGAGCCAAGAAACCGCGCTGCAGTTGTAGTAACCGGTTGGAACAGAGAGGCGACTACTAAGGGTGCAGAGCGGCTAGCACGGCTATTTTGGGATTCGCATAAGGACTTTACCTTCGTTGCACCAACGGGGTCATTTAATGAATGTTTAGACACAGCATTGGCATCGGATAAGCGCCCGTATTTTATTTCAGACTCGGGCGACAATCCTACGGCCGGAGGTTCTGGAGATGTGACATGGGGCTTAACGCAGCTCCTCGCGCGTTCGGAATTTAAGTCGGAATCAGGCCTGAAAGTCATCTATGCTAGTGTACCGGGCCCCGAAGCAGTCCAAAAGGCGGTCGAAGCGGGCGTAGGGGCGACTGTGACGGTGACAGTTGGGGCAGAAGTAGATGATATTCATGCTGGACCTATCACTATGACAGGACGGGTGCATTCGATAAAACATGGCGACAGCCACGCAGAGATTGAGATCGTGCTGCAGGTTGGTAGCGTCTTCGCGATCCTGACTAAACTGCGTAAACCGTACCACCATGAAAGCGATTTTACGGAATTAAACCTCGTACCCCGGTCCGCAGATATCGTCATCGTCAAGATAGGATACTTAGAGCCGGAATTATATGATATGGCTGACGATTGGATGCTTGGTCTTACGCCTGGTGGTGTTGACCAAGATCTAGAACGATTAGGACATAAGCGGATCAGTCGTCCGATGTGGCCATTCGACCGCCAGTTTGAGGACCCTGACCTTTCTGCAAGGTTGATTTCAATGTCTAATGAGCCATTATAGAGCTTGGGTGAATAATTTCTAGCTACGATAATGTTAATAGGTAGAATTCGTGATATTTACCGAGATGTATGAGGCATCTTTCGTTTGCGCTTTATGGACACCTTAGGTGAAGATATAGACAACTGCATAAGAGAGGGGGGGGAGGGGGAGGGGGACTTAGATGCAACCCAGTCAGCCTTATCAGCTACATAGTTATTATTAGCTTACATACAGGTAAGTAGGTACCTCCTAATGGACCTAGAAAAAGTAATGGTCAGGGGTAACTCCGCCAGTACTTATCCCTCCGCCGTCCATGTAGTAAGGGACTTAACTCATGTTAGTTAGGCCCTTTAGTTAAGCAAGTATTGTAACCCCCTTATGCAAAGCTCATGTGGTAGAAGGTAGTTACGTGTAACCTACATCATTAACCTAATAGGTACATAACGTACTACCTAATATATTAGTAACAGCTAATGCATCTAATACCGTTTACACGAAGCTCTCCATTTTGGAACTCCAACCATGACTGAAATATGCGGCATGTTCTTACTACGTACATATCCAAACACCCCAGCCAAGTCGCCAAGTAAGATTTGCCTGCCTTATTAGGATCTAGGTACCTCATAAGATGGAAGAATTGACCAGAGATCGACAATTCAAGTTTGGATGCGGCTGAAGGTACCCGATATGTCGTGCCTACATACATGTCGTATCGTGTGAACTGTAGGATTTAGGGAACTATTCAGCCCTGGAGAATTGCGTCACATTGGTCTACTTGAACGTTTCAGCTGGACTATTTTGGTATCACGATACTTGTCAAGTTGGGAGACACGTGGGTGAGCACTATCTACATACATATTGCATCTCGGCCCCCAATCTACCTAGACCTAACCTAACTCTTTGATTACCGCGCTCACTAGTTTTATATTGGAGAAAATACACGTGTAACACAAGTACCGACAGGGCAGCGCTAGTTTGGTCCGGGCTCCTTCATGTCCCATTCAGGTCTTCAGGCTGTTCAAAGTTCTGCTACATACACTATCCCTTACAGGCTTGCAGGGCCCAGCCGTACCCAGCCGTACCTAAGATAATCACTCAGCCATGCGATACAACCGGATTCCGACGAATAACTACTCCTTATCTTCTTCATACCATTTCTATCCAATACTTAAAGTAATGATGATAGATTGGTAGGAAGTCTTACGACGACGCTAGAACGGGATCCGTTAACGTGCTTTTGCCAAGCATTTACCTCTCTCGGCCGTCTATGTTACGCCTTAAACCCCCACGGAGCCACCGTCAATTTCCTCATTTATTGGTCTACTATTCCTCACCTTGTGCTTCCTCTAGCATAATCGCCCGTCTACTCTTCAAGTCCCTTTGGCCGGTTCAAACTTAGAAAACGTGGTATAGGACATGTAGCTTCTTTACCAAGTTCTGTCGGTTGTCCAAGTACCTCACGCGTTGATGCATCACATGAGGCCAGCATTTCATTATCAATCAGCGGGGCCGGATTTGAAACCCGCGGTGAAGCCAGATGAACCGCGCCAAACTCTAGAGGGCGCCGATCACGATGGCGTTACTATCGATGGTTCCTCTCCGAGTTATAGCGTGAAGATTGAGAGTCCGAGTTCCAGTGCTGCTTTAGCTCAGTACAGTGGAACGATCGGCTCTTCTTTAACCCCTTCGGAGTCGTATAGTACCGGGGAGGATCAGCCGGATACAACTGCTAGCCGCCGCAGTTCGGATTCATTATTACCATATAGAAGCCTAGCTACGGCAAAGCAGGAGGGAAAATATGCAATTGAGGATGGAAGCTGTTCGCCAGGCCCTTTGGCTGTTGCCGTTCGCCCGGCGAAACCGGTACAGTACAGCAAAATCCCAACACGCCACCATCTCCAGCCGGAGATATGGGAACGATATAAGGAGGAGATACATGAACTCTACATCGAAGAAAATAAATCATTAAATGAACTAATGGACATAATGCAAGCAAAGGGGTTCGGAGCAACGTCAGTATATATATACCGGCAAACTACTCGCGTATTGGAGTTGTATGCTAATTTATTCATAGTCCCCGTATGTACAAGGTAATGAAGAAAGCAACTGGATAATACTACGGAAAACAAAGCTGATCGTGTATAGGCTAAGTTTGCGCAATGGGGATTTGTTAAGAATAATAAGAAGAAGGACGTGGCGATGATGTTGCGACTACAACGCGAGCGCGGCGCTGTGGGCAAGCCTACTGCTTTTCGTCGCCACGGAAGGTCGGTTGACATTGAAACATACATGAAGCGAAAAGGGATTTCAAGTTTTGAACTTGTAACACCTGTCGCCGGCGTCGACTTACCCGAATATCTACGAGCACTCACGCCTCCACCCGTTGAACCCCAACATATGACCTTACCATCTCACCTTCACGCCCAGGAAGTCCTCGTCTCATGTTTTAAGGATCTTACCTTGGGTTGGCGAGATTCGTTAGAATCACCCGCATCATTCGAGAAAGATTTCAATACTTATTTCGATGGTGAGTTATGCGAGGCTACTAGAGACTTTAGTAGGGCTTGTTGGTTCTTCTCGAGGAACCATTATCCTCTCGGCGCTCTACTCGGTCAGCGCGCTTTCAACTCGTTACATTTACTCATCAAATCACCCTCCGCCCTTGGCCTGTTTGACTTACTAATAGCCAGCGTGATATCTCCCGATTATGGGCTAGCGAAGGAATTATGGAGGTATTTAGCTGGGTACGCAGAAGCCGTCTTGGGGCGATCGAGTACCTTCTGCCGATTATTTACTGCAATACACGAGGTTTTCCGTAATAACACGTTGGAAACTGGTGTTGATTTCATCTTTAGCTGTATGGAGAGCATATTGGACATGTTGCTCGAGACGAATGATTTCTCGCAGACTATCGCACCGTCTATTAGTTTTTTTCTGCTGGGAGATTTAATCTCCTCTAACTCGACAAGAACTAACTTGCCATCCCTTCAGAAAGCAGTAGCATCAGCGTCAGCAATATTTGACTCTCACGGCAGGTCTCACTCATCGGATCTAATGACGCTCATTGAGCCAGTGGCGTACCTTTGGCAGAAAGGACCGCTCGATGAACGTTCAGTTAAATTGGCTCGCGTTGCCCTTCGGCTCGATGTATCCGGTCAGTACGACTGGACGAACTGGGTGGCGTGGCGCGTCATTGCTCAATTTCATAGAAGCCGATGTGACGTGGATAACTCCGCGGTAAAAGACCATCCACGGCACGCGCTGGCTCGATATGCTTTAGAAAGAGCTATCGACACCGCCGAGGCTGGACGTGGCTTTAGCGAGTTGCAGGTATTTGAGAATATGCAGCTGCTAGAAGCCTGGCATCGCGAAGCCGGGGATACAGAGCAGGAATTAGTTGTACGACGGCGAAGAGAGAAGGGCTTGCAGGATTATCTAGAATCGCTACAGCGAAGTCGTGGAGTAGAGATGCCCAATACCCCGACTTCACAATGAATACTTCAAGCACTTCGAGTTGTAAGATTCTAATGGGGGTGCTTCTCCTAATATGGATGGAGGCTTATTCTTGTCGAATTACTTTGAGAGGCACGATGCCTCGGGTTTGTACGAGTACATTGGGACAAACATGTATTATAGCAGGCCAGTGCGCCCGGTATACGGTATAAGTAACAAATCAAGCGTGCTGTTGTATTTCTAAGCGTTCATAATTTTCACAATCTAATGAACTCGAGAATTCATATCATCATAACCATATCTTGACTCGTTCCATGCCAATGTGATACACAGCAAAAACGCCAAAACGACCAGAGCTCCACGCATAGCTAGATTAGGAGGTACATATGCAACTAGGAACTTCGTTGAAATGCTTAAAGGAGTAACCGGAATGTAGCAAAAAAAGTATCGGTCTAATATGCTGCTATGGCAGCGATGTCCTTCTCAGCGCACCAATCCTTAAAATCAACGTACTTGCGCCCTCTCCGTGAATCCTCAGCAGCGAACACTATGGCATGGCTGCGGATAATCTCTTCTAAACTACACCCGATGAACTCGCTCTGGGCGCGCGGAGCTTCCCAACCGTGATTCTTGACGCGGTCGACGGCCAGGATGAACTGGCGTGTAATGCCGTGGTCACCACCACCGTGGCCCCCGCTCTCGAGCTTCGGGGTGTACGTCTGCGTCGTGCCGGTCTTGTAGTCCTCGACGGTGATCTTGTATGAGTCCGCGTAGATCTCGCCCGTCGTTCCGTATATGTTGGTGAAGCGCTCGCATTGCTTCTTCGTCTGCGCGATCATGTGGAAGGTTGCTTGCTTGGCGCCCCGGTTACCGACGGAGTTAGTGGAGGAGGAGGAGGCGGCGGCGGAGGGGAGGGGGTCGTCGTCCCATTTTATGTTGACGACTTGCTCGTCGCACACGTCGTTGTCGGACTCGAACACGCACCGCCCGAACCAGTTTTTCGCGTCGATTTCTTCTTGCGGCGTCGACTCGTCGTAGTCTTCGGCTAAACGGCTGAGGAGCGCTGGGCGTGCACGCTCAATGTTGCCACCGAAGCTTTCGATATCTGGGAGCACGATGCTGATGGGCCAGGACCTGTTACCTGTTTCTAGGCCGTAGTGCCGTGGGCTTTCGTATATTCGCTTGCTCGAGTATATGCACTCCGACTCGACGGGGCAACTAAGACAGTTTGTCGCGGCGCCAGCGGCCTTGGGCTTCCGGCTTTTCCGGAAGAATTGCAATGAGCCCATAGATGTGACTTCGGAGGGGATATGCGGAGGTTCATCAGATCCAGGACGTGTCGGCGAGCACATCAGCCACAGCAGGATATCCATATCATGGCAACTCTTGGCTAGTAGAGACGGCGCTGTGGTGGACTCTTTACGCCAGTTGCCACGGACATATGAGTGTGCGAAATGCCAATATCCAACAGGCTCGGTATGTGCGATACTTAAGACATCACCGATAGCGCGGTCCTCGAGCAGCAGCTTGCGGAGTTGTATGTTATGCGGCGAGTATCGCAGTACGTGACCGACGGAGAAGACTTTGTGAGACTGCAAAGGAGCTAAGGCCTGATACATGGCGATGCACTCAGCTAGGTTTCCGGCGAGTGGTTTCTCACACATGATATGCAGGCCCAACGGGGCGAGAGCAACGACAACGTCGTGATGCATCTCATCGCGAACACACACGAAAGCAGCATCGACACCCTCAGGCACATCATTATCTCCAGCAGCTTCGCGCTCACGACGGCGTACCTCCCATTCAACGAAATCGCGCCAGTCGTTAAAGCTAGAGCCCTCAGGTAGCTTTTTGCCGTCGCGCTGGATGTAGTTCTGTACGAACTCCTCGCGCTTGTACTGATCTGGCTCACAAATGGCGACTACGACGCCATTGCTGGATTCGCCAATACAGCGGCTATAGGTGTGACCCCGCGACCCCGCGCCGATAATCACGACTCGGGGTGGACTTGCGGACATAGGTGGTGGCGTGGGCGGCCGTGGTTGGGTTGCCACAGGTCCATCGTTGAATTCCGACGGCGTCTCGTCTTGAATATTATGAGGAGCCATAGTGATTTGCGAAGATATAGATAGTACCTCGAAGATGGTTGAGTATGGTTTAGTATGTCTAACCTACCTAATGCTTAAGTTGATAGCTAGAAGATATATACTAAAATATATACTTTAGATAAGACTCCAAATCTCGAAATGTCATATACCCCACATGAGTAACGTAGCGAAGAGATTCTGTGCTACACTATAGCGAATCCCTAAGAGGCTGAGAACCTTGTATGTTATGTCGGGCAAGATGTCGTCCGATGCGGACATAGGAACGAAAGGGACCCCGTTAGCTTCCGGTAATCTTCAGTAACGTAACGGCGCCCTGTCAAACTGGCACGGGTCCGTCGTTCCCTCCGTATAAGGTGGCCAGTAAGAGTACAACAGTGACAAATCAGTAATGGTCTGATAGGCTAACCTAAATCCCCAAGTCTTATAATTCGACCCACTACCTCAGGTACCTCAGGTACATATCACTAAGTTCGTTAGTACATGTAGAATCAATACCAGCACTTGCTTTGCATTATCGCATCCCTCGGGTACCGAAGATGTCAATAATGATGATAACGAATTTGTTTTATGAACAAAGGTTAAACAAAGAAAGTAAAGCATAAACAGCAACGTTGCCTTTGAAGCGTCTCTTTGTTTGCATTTTGTGAAATTTAATGTTCAACGGGTGACGTCATGAGCCACCTTTTCATAAACTATATAATGCAAACTAAGTCACACATTACCAATCAGCTAGTTTGTAGTCTAGTTTATTTCTAAGGGCGTGTAACTCAGTGGTAGAGTGCTCGCTTTGCATGCGAGAAGCCCAGGGTTCGACTCCCTGCTCGTCCAACCTTTTTGATTTCAATCCAAATAGTCTCTCCTACACCTCTTTTCATGCGAAGACATTGATGTAGGTATTTTTTAATCGATATAGAGATATTCCCAATTTCTTTAGTCTTCAATTCAATATCATACAATTAGAAAACATGTTTGATCCCTTCTTATTTGAATTCCATAGGTGACAGAGACTTGTATCTGTGTTGAAATAGAGAATTCGTGACATGACGGTAGCAGATAGACACCAAGGCTTTGTAACATACAGAATAATAATGATATGATTCAAAAAATTATCTAGTATAAAGGAAGTATTGGGTAGTAGTTACCTACATATATTATCAACAACCTCTTTGTTACTCGCGTTAGTAACCGACACGTTCCGTGATAGTTACGCTTTCTCGATATCTATATAAAGCGCCCTATCCCCTCACAAAATGCCTTCATGTTTTTGAGCCATCGCTATAATATCGGCGTACTTAGCAGCGTTATCTCCCGACGAAAAATTCACATAGTCTACAACAATTTCTGAGTGAACATTTCTTGAGCAATTACTTACATCCTAAGACCTAGAAACGCGTCAAAATGTCGTATAGCAGTACTGAATCGAGCAAGCCCCTTCCATGGGGTTGCATAATGAAGTTTGACAATCTTGGACTTCCAGTGTATGAAAAGTTTGAACACGTGCCCGCGAAATGCGAGTGTGAAACCCGTCTAGCCGATATACTGATCGATCATCTGAAAGTTTGGGAGGGTGTTGACGCGGAGCTCTTAGAGATCGACGATAATATCATAGCCCTTATTATACTCGATCGAGTCGACAGATGGAATATAGGCGAGCAGATAAGTGAGTCAAACCGAGACTGGATTGCCTATCTACGGGCGCATGTTCAAGAGGACGATGAAAAATGCCTTTGCATGAGCTGTATTTTCACGTCTTCAGGAACATGGGTAGGTGCCTAGTTAAATTTTTGGACGAGCGGTAGACGCCAAAAGGCTAAATGTAAGTAGTTTACCTTGGGGGACAACATGGTCAGGATGCGGCTAAAGGTTCTCCTGTTCTTCCTATGGGATACGAAGATATCTAAATTTGTAGTGTCCCTACAATGGATATTGTCCGCTACATACCGATGAAAACGCAAAAAAAAAAAAAAAAAAAAAAAAAAAAAAGATTTTATGCTACTTTAAATACGGTGTTGTCAATAAAGAAATAGTACTTACGTATTTGGGGGGTATAATAAATAAAAAAACGATAAAAAAAATAGTTAGTAAAAGTTGAAAGAAAACAAGAAAAAAAAGGGGGGAGTGAGGCAGTTTATAATTAACTTAAAAAAAAAAATTTAATAAATTTGTTTTATCACAATTGAAGAACAGGGGGAAAACAATGAAATGAAAATGCTATTCCAACCTTTAATACCTACCTAAATAGGCAATCAACAGCTAATCATCGTAATCCGCGAGTATTGATCATGAAGGTTTATATTCTCAACTGTGATTTTGACTGAACTAAACTCAGTTTCTACTTAATCAACCCCTCCTGCTTCCACCATCTCCGGCACAACTCTCTATCCAAATCCTTTAGGCCGGGCGACCATTATTGCAGCGAGGCGTGCAGGGTTGGCCTTCAGGGCAGATGGGCTGGCAGTCCCCATCGCAAGTGTACTTAGTAGCGCGACCGCCGACGCAGACGACGTATAAGCCGTTGAGCTCGCAGTAGTTCCAGTTGCCGCCGTAGGGGCAGTCTTCGCGGGGGAATAGAGCGGATGCGGGCGCAGGTGAGGGGGCCGCTGCCGCAAAGCCGCAGAAGGCGGCGATGATGGAGATGGTAGTGGTGAACTTCATTTTGGCACGTTGAAGTTGGATTAAGTGGCTATTATGTACCTAGGTATTATATTATAGTATAGTGAATAACTGATAGCTTAACGAAAGACTGGCCCGAACAATCCGATAAGTGAAACGAGTGGATGAAACTGCGGGTAAGGAGCAAAAGAGAATGGCCAGGTTGAAGGAAGTCTTGGTGGATTTTATAGAATTCTACGAAGGCATCCTCGAGCCTGTAAGACATGCTGTTGGTTCTCTATATCATGGGTGAAGCCATACCATGTTCTGTATGTTTAGCGCGATACCAGAAACGGGAAATATACTCAAGGGGATAGATGAATTAATTGCCTTGACCCAACAATTTGGGAATCTCCTCATCTGATTAAACATGCACGTTTGATAAGGACTTGAGATACAGGACAATTGTGGTTTTCTGTTGGAATGCAATGCTCAAACCCGTAGATAAATATTCCTACCTAGCCTGTTTGCCTGTGCCCCTGAGGAGATCAAGATCGGCATTCACTTGTCTATATTAGTTTAAGCCTAAGACTAGGGCTGTTTAGCTAGAATGGGACCGTACTGCTAACGTATCAGGCGACAGTATTCAGCTACTCCTTACCGCATTTGTCTGCAGCTAGCTGGTTAGGCGAATCCACGCGCAGCCCTATGGAATAAGTGGAGTATAGTAATCGTGTAATTAATCATAATTTTATAATTGAATATAACCATTAATTTCCACGCGTTTATTCAGATACGAATAGGGCTAGATGGAGAGACTGAAAGGTTCCCAAGTTTGACAGGCATTATAAGATAGGTAAGTCACCTATGATAGAGCTTTCTCGGATTTTGAAGCGGAAGATCTTAAGCGAAAATAAAGCAACGATTTACGCTATAATCTCAGAAGTTTCAATAACCGCTAGTTAAGCATATAGTTGGCTTAAGAATTCAGGAAATCTTTACTAGGATTAAGATCCTAAGTAGAGATAAAAGCCCAAGTATTGGGATAAGATAAGTTCCATTAAAAGTCAACTCTCCTCAAGCAACGATACTGCGTGTTAGGTACTTTTTAACACTTGTTTTACCTAATATCAGGCTTTATATAACGCAAATAACCCGAGTCGACCACGAAGCGAAAAATGATCACACGACTATCGTCTTCAATATTATCGGTTCATGGCCGTAGAAACAGCAAGCTTTACACGCTTTGAGTACATAAAACGGCGTAGCAACTGAAATACCCTTGTCATACCCTGGTTCGATGGGGCTCTCCAAATTGGCATCTACCATCAATAACAGCCGGTATGCATGGTTTTACGGCATGATTTTCTTCGGAGATCCGGTGATACGATATCTACAGCTTCGGCGATACTTAAAGAGTTAGGTAGTTTAGTGAAAGGTTTTGGTCTAGTGAAAGATTACGCCTCAATGCAGTAACCGGTCGCCTTTTTTGTTCAATTATTATTAAGAGTAACTACTCCGAAATCAATCATTGTTATTTGAGATGCATCACCTTTAGCACTGATGTTCTTTGAAGGGAAAAGAAAATCTAGCCTTCGAAGCAGATGCTCCTTGGGCACTACAGAAACTAAAACCATTCATTCATTGCCACGCAAATTTAGATTAGTATAATATCTCTCCCCAATATGTCATCGTATATGTACCTAAACTTTGTAGTTGGGTTACCTACTATTAGGGTAATATTTGCACTATCCCTGCTTCAGTGTATCAACAGCTAACCTGACTTAACACACATTGCTTGAAATAAGAACGAAACTGCGCAATTGGTAGTATATTTTACGACAGGAGTTGATTTCTGTGCCGGCATCCTCCAGAACGTATGGTACTAGAGGACATCTCAAGAAGTATACATGTATAAATGAACTTCTGTCATATCTTCCAGTCCAATCCAATTAATGAGTAAGCTGTACCCTCGTAAAATAACCACTTTCTGCAATACTCAATTCGCCTCCACATATGCTTTGCGAAAGGTTATTGCATATTCTGCTTGCGTATCTGATAATTGGTATCTATCAGATCACTAGGAATTGATGGTCTCGGGCGAGCCATGCTAACTTTATTATACATGAGAATGCTGAAGTCGACGATTGAGCGGACATTGGAAGTTTCAACTGCTTGCTAATGAATTATTAGTTAACTTAAAACCTGGTATGAATTCTAGATATTAGGAATGGATGGAAATACCGAAGAAACGACCATTGAAGCCTTACAGACCGAGGTTTTTGGAGCTTCCTTGTTTCATGCTTTGGCTGGTCTATATTGCGCCGGCTTCATGTCCCTTTTGTTTTGCCCAGGCGTCTTGCTAGAGTGGTAAACCACATCGAATTCGTCGCGATTTTCTGGGTCAGGGTTGATAACAACCCGCGCCGGCCCTGATCTGTCCGTTGACATCTGGTTCCATGTGCCCTTTCCGAGAACTATAGGGTATTCTGTTCTTGGCTCTTTACTTTGTAGACCCTGAATTCCTTCTCTGTTCCAGAAGGCTTGAGGGTACTTCGTCTTTCCTTTAATTTGTGTGGGATCTTCTGCCTTCTCGCTAGGTGCATCTTTGGCCTGGCGCCGTACTTCTGCTGCGTTTAAATAGTGATATGGGTGGTCCCTATCTAAATCGGTACACGAATACTAGGTAAAGCAAATGTTAGTGGTGTTTTAATGTTTGTGATCCTGTGTTTGAATTGCATATTTAACACTTACTACCGAACTTCCGGTGTTAGGGCCATCTTCAACATTCGCCTGAGCTGCGATGGAAGTGTTGATGGGAGCCGGTTTCTTCTTGTCCTTGCTATTGCCTTTGCTAGCCATGGCTGCTGCTCAGGGATCTTAAGCTAAAAATAGAAACGATCTGCATTAGCAAGGGAACGTACATAGTAGATCTGGACCACTTTTACCCGCGGATTAGGGTATGGGGAAGCATGGGAAGTAGTAATTGACATACCTAGGTCGGAACCTAACTTAAGAGAGAAGCTGACGGTAACTTCCAGTTGGGTTTGAAGTGAAGGGAGCTACACTTCAATTTGGAGGGCATACTATTGAGGAGAAAAAGAATTAAATATCGTTATTAAAAATGAGCATATATCTTTTCCTACCTACATGTACTTAGGTACGCACTACTAACGACTTATTATGGGGTTTCATCTAATTGGTGACAATGTTAGTGACAATGTTAGTTACGGGAAGTTGATGTATTCGGGGACGGGGTCACATGGCTCCTTCTATGAAGCTCTATTATATTTGAGGTGACAGGGAAGTCTCTACACATTGATAGACATCTTCTAATAAGGTGAGTCATTGCCTTCCATTCAAACGTACATGATTCAGGTACATGATGCAGGTACACATGCATACCTAGGTACCTAAGTGACATTAGCAGTATGTACCTGCCAATATATAAGATACTACCTCATAATGTAATTGCTCTGATGTTAGGTACATACATGTACGTACTGTATTTAGAGTATGTATCCACCTAGTTTGCTCTATTCGTGAGTCATCCCTGCACATGTCCCCACAAACCCCACAGCGTAGATTTCCCATATCCACTCTCCATCTTTTACATTCACCAAGACAAACATTATGATCTAAAACGATACAAAAACACTACCATCTTCCCAATTCTCTTTAGTAAAAAACTCGGTCGCCTTTTACTATCTAGATTGGCCATCTCACTTCTCAAAAATTATTGCCAAAATGGTGGGAACCAATGAAGTCGATTTTCACCACTTAAAAACACATGGGAGCAGATACCTGGGAACGATTGGCGTTCGTGTCCTTGAACTTTTGGAGTCTGCACTGAAGCTCTCACCTCCAACTAGCCCAGAAAGCAAAGCCGCACACTTTGTTCATAACTTAATGAAGTTCTCATCCATAGAGGAATCGGGACTAGAACCAGAAGATTTTGTGTGGCAATTTTGGGATTACCTCATCAACATAGCGAGCCAAGTTCCACCTTGCAGTCCTGAGCAAGATGTCCTCGTTGAGACTGTGATCTTATTAGAAGTTATCGGAGAGGGAGATAAGGTAAGATGGATTTATATTCGCGCGTATAACCACCAATTAACTTATTCCAGCCTAAAAACCAATTATGGAAGGACCTCGGTGACTTCGATATTGCGGTGAGGGAAACCTGGAATCTTTGTAAGTACCTTTCAGTCTTTGCCTAATTAAATACGTCCCTGACCTTGCCGGTAGCCCCAACGGTTCAGAATAAAAAGGACTCCTACGAGCTCACTGAATCAGAATGGCTGAATCTAAACTCGTTTATGGCGAGAATTCATGATAACCAGACGGGATGGGGAAAATTTCCGATCTGGGAACTTCATGATGGCCTAGAGTCCCCTCTATCTCCCCAGGAATACAAGCCGACGCCAGATACTAGAGTCCGAGTTGCGATTGAGTGGATTTTGCGGAGTTCCTGCCGCCTCCTCCTTGACTCTCTGTTGCATAGCTATTCGGATTATCCCGAAGGTCCGGACAAAGGTTATCCATACCGTTGTGGGCCATTATATTCTGGTGTGAGTGGCTGCAGTCTTGAGCGATGGTGTTTCTGGAAACGTCGACTTTCAGAAATCAAAGCCGAGGTCAGCGAGGACCTACATTCGGCCATTGACGAGGCGATAGAAACTATGATACGAACTGAGAAAGACCTAGGAGAAAGGGCTAAACTTTCCATTACCCAAACCATATCTCGAGCCGAGTCAAAAGCCGAGATAGAAGCCAAGACTAGTTCCACACCCGCCAGTGACGAGCCTAAGGAGAACACCATGGACAAGGGTGGCTTACCAAACAATGATACTGTGGTTGATGAGGGCTACGTGGAAGAGGATGGTGATGAGAAATGCAATGGGCGTATAGAATAAGGAGGCCGTGGGTGTCTTGTATTAGGAAATAATTTGAACTGGTATTTGGTGTTTTTCGTTGGTAGCTCTAGCGAATTTTTGTCTTGCTTTGCTTGCTCAGCAAGCAGTCTAAATAGCTAAACACTACCAAATACCAGCATTATAAACCATAGCGTTCTTATTACTACCTGGTCGGCAGGAACTGTTTGACGGTGGTCACAGTCCAAATAAACTACAGTTTGATTGCTCTCTTCTTATCAAAAGATTATCGTGTGGTTAGGACATAACTTTTCCGTTTAAAGTATATTCGGATTATAATATGGAAACGAGTTTATTGGAATATCTAATTTAACGTATGGCAAATAAGAGGGTAAGCATCAAATTATAACTGATGTACGAAGAATAAGACTATTTATTGCCAACATGAATCTTGCAGCCAAAACATCCCGATGGCCTTTTAACTAAAATACTAAGAATTAACGTTAAAATCAGTACTAATCTTGCTATTTGCCAAGTCTCTAATTAACTAACGAATATAAAATAAAATGTTTGGATCGAGGCGCTGTACTAGTTTTAATAGCAAATCTACCTAAGGCAACTTTCTTTTCATTCCGAAACTATCATCCGTGCCACTTCTAGATCCTTAGTTATCGACCGGGGTGAAGATCATTAACAAAATCATTAAGATAATATCAAGGCCCTTGGCTGAATAAAATGCCCAATGAACAATATATGTATATTAAAAGCTGTTTTTCTTTATGCTAGTTGGTAGGCAGCCAATGATTGCCTAGTTGAGATCCTAGTTGAGATCATGGTTGATGTTGGCTCTATTGTAAAAGTCTAGGTGTAGAAGCTGGTAGCGAGTTTAACTCTTCTAATTCATTGGGTATATAAATGGAGTCATTCCGTATCCTTGTCTGGTGATCAAATCATGTAACATAAGTGCTACGGAATGTTGGATGATCACGAAGTCAATTCTAGTATTTATACCTCAAAAGCTCTTTTCATTGAAACTATTCTCTTTTCCTACCATCTTCAGTTCAATCAATAGAGGCCTACTAGGGATTGTGTGACCCATTGCGATCAAAACCACTATACATACCTACCTAGTAACGAAAACATATCAACAGCAGAGACAGTCACTGTTGAAGCGACAGGCATAGTTAAAAACGATGCAACCTTCCGAAGATGAGATTCTCGCAGCTCTAGCGCATTATCGTGCCAGCGTGTTGCAACATAATCATACCGCCTTCCAACGCTTTGTACAGCATATTGAGGCAGCAGCTCTCGCAATAGAAAACGCGTCGATAACTCCCGACCGCATCTCCGAAGTGTGTCAGCAGCTCTTCTATGATATGCTCTACGTTTCGCGACCAGAGAACCTAGATCCGTCGCTCCAAATCAATATGCCCGCCGACGTGATGACCAAATGGGATGCCATGGTGCGAGCTTTCGTCCTAGACGGCGCACACATCGGATCCGATGCCAACCGCCGAGAGCTACTCCGGCAAAATTATAAGAACGGCATAGAAACGGAACTGCGCAAGATAGACCCCGAGCTTAAGTTTCCTGTTGACTTTGAAGTACTTATGGGCCAGGTAGATAGTCTCGAGGGTCATGGATGGCCGCAATATCGAGAGGAGGGCCAGCAGGTGCGTTTCTGGGACGGGCTGGGCGAGAGCGAGGAAGAGGCTGGTTGTCGCGTGTTTGGTCCTGATGGTCAATTGGCTAAACAGTTTCTCGTTGATGGTTGGGAGGCCAAGGCTGGATGGGAGTGCGGTAGGGGCCCCGAGACAACATGCTTTATCGCCTACTGCCGGCAGGATGAAACTGGCAAGGAGTGGGCATGGAGGTACGTGGCTGATCAAGGCCAGTACGGGACAGAGGTATTTGACAACGTGGTAGAGTTGTTACAATGGTATGAAAAGCTGTATGTGCCGCGCTTAGAATATTACGCCGGCTGCCTTGAAATTGAGATGAGGAATATCTTCAAGCAGTAGATAATCGATTGTAATAGTCACGAGCGCTTGTTGCATATTATGTTTGTTTACTCGCACTTTAGATGGTCTCGGAGTCTAGACAACCGTAACTTATTATATGATTAGGGTAGTATCGAGATTGATGCTCCGTAGGCATCTACGATAGTAACTATTGTAACTAAAACATTCTATAAGTGCTGACTATATATAGTGCTGTAACTATTTCAGAGTATTTTTATTAATCGAATTCCTCATAATAAGGAGTGGGTCGTTTATAGCAACGAATACACGATCCAGGGGTAATTTCAGACGGTATTAGATTGGCTGATTCGAGTAAATAAAGCATTGGTTTTCAATGTATTGCAGATAGATTAATTCACTATGAACAAGAATAGATGCTAGTTTTTTGCACGATATACATAAGAATGAACTAGCCTAACTACCTCAGCTCCTGGACTTGACCCTTACGGGAAGACCGTCTTTGGGGTGAGCCGTGGAAATAACTTCTGGGTTCGTGATCTGGTACGCTTTGAAGCCCATCCACGAGGGTGCATCTGCTGGGTAAGTCTCCTCGACTTCAAACTCGCGTACTGTCAGGGCGAGGATCAGCCGCACCTCGACAAAAACTAGTTCCTGACCGATGCAATTCCGAGGTCCCATCTCAAATGGTCGCCAGGTGTTTTTCACTGGGTATAAGGGATCGCTTTCATCACGTGTTATAAATCGCTCCGGAATGAACGAGTCAGCGTCGGGCCAGTATTCTGGGTCACGCAATAACGTTGCTGCAGAGGAATGCATCATGAACCCATATGTTGGATAGTGGACCCCAGTTTCGGGGTGCGTAAGGAAGTGTCCCGGCGGTGATTGACGGATGCTACCACCTACAGGAGGGAATAGACGGAGTGTTTCCTTGAGAACGGCCATCGTGTACGGCAACTTATTCAGTAATGTAGGATCGGCTCTAATCAAGCTAGCAGCGGCATTCGGGTCTGCACCCAATACTTCGTCGTGCTCGGCACGTATCTTAGCTGCTTTGTCCGGATGTTTGCTAAGCATGTAGTATATATACGCAAGAACTGTAGCAGTAGTATCGTGTCCAGCAAACATGAATATCTTGATATGTTTGATAACCCGTTCAACAAACTCAGATGGGATATTTCCTCTTGCGGTGTAATCCTGTATCTCATTGATATATTCTTTTAGAGCTAGGGCGACAATAGTTTTGGGCCCTTCGATTTTCTCGTAATTCTGAGCCGTGTTAAGAATGTAAGGGGCCAATTCGTTGCGAATCATGCGATTGTATATCCAGTTTTTCAACGGAAGAATTGGATTTAGTTGCTTGGGAAGGTCGAGTCCAAAATAGAGTAGACTTAATTGAGATTTCATTGTTTCCATCAAACGATTTGGCTTGACCTGCGTTTGTAAACGCGTTCCCCTATTGTTATATTAAGCGTTAAGTTTCGAAAAATAGAATCACATTGTTCACACTTACAGTACAGCGCGCCCAACTATGTCGACGGTTATATTGGTCGTATAATCTTCGAGCTTTATAACTTCTCCAGTGGCAGCAACTTTCCCAAGTCGTTCTCGGAAGATTAATACTTCCTCTATCATATCAGGAACGAGAGATAATAGATTCTTCGCCGAGAAGCCAGGATTGAATAGGTTTCGAGCCTTTTTCCATTCTAGGCCATCTAGATTCACTATGTCTTGACCTCCGGTGAAGCCCTTGAATTCAACTTGGGGCATAGCCCAGAATTTAGGTAGACTGTTTTCCTGAATGAATTGTGCCATCATATTGGGATGATAGACCGCAAGCATCGGGTAGCCGATTGGCCATACATCCATGTAAACAATACCCTGATTCGCAATCTCAGGGTATTCTTGCTTGATGTAAAGAAACATCCATTGACCATGGCCGTCTCGTGGGATTTTACTATTAGATTTTAATTACTATAGTCTTATGTAGTGGGTATCAGGAGGTGTTTTATACATACTATTTAATGCTAATCTTAGCGAGCGTCCAAAGGTGACCAAAAATAAACGAATGGGGCATGATTGGCTACAAATGGTTATTATTATAGGAAGATATGTATAAACTTAATAGGAATATAATCTCTCGACGTCTTTCGGAAGCTTCTAGTGCTGAATGATAGAAGTTACTCACAATCCCATGTTGTTTTTGAACTCGCCGAAACATCATCCGAGCTTGATACAAGCAGAATGAGAAGAACAGCAAGCTAGCTAGGGTTAAATACCCAATCCCTCTCATGATGAATGATGTGATGGGAGGGCCTGAGGGCCCTAGGAATTGTAACATGCTGCCTTTAGATCAATAGATAGGCGGTTGAAAGAGATCAGTAATGAAGAAAGCTTGGAGGTTAAGCCTTAGGGCTCATAATCGTTAGATGCTCTTGTAATGCCTAGCTCATTACTGGCCTGGGCAAATCTAGTGGGGCGAAGGAATCTGATTACTTTCGGAGATAATCCTACGATGTTGTGGTGAAGCAGTGATCCAGTGACAATCTACTATAATTATTGATCCGTCTACGTAGTAGTTTATGTAGTAGTCTATGAAAGCTAACGCTCCGTCGTTTATTATATAACCTATTTATATATATTAATATGTAAGTCCTATCAGTCCTTGTGCTCTAACTCGTAGATGTGGTTCCGTGGTGGCGTATCTACCCGCATAATTGTTAATACGTAGGGTTTTGTTAGTACCTTGGGTTGTTGGCCTAGGCTTTGATCCAATTCCCGCACTCGATGGTTCGATGATCGCCTCACCTATTTGTATGTAGAGTTGCTTTTAAAAACCGAAATATTCAAGACAGAGTTGGCAGTAGAATTCACGTGATATTATTGGCCCTTTAGGTGTTATGTAGGTACATGTATACCTACCTCATAATATGTACCATGTTGACAGGGGTAAAGTTCAATCGTACCCCTAGAAGCTTTACCTTTGGGAACGCGTAATCCTCACCTAGCAGGGCATTTATAGTACATGCGCTGGGTCCGGCTGTTGTACAATGCCAGGTTTTCTTAGTGAGCTTTAGTGGGACGCGGCTGCATTAGTTAACGCTTGGTTGGCCAACTTTAGCACTCCGTTCCGCAATAGCGCCCATCATTTCCCATCTAGATGAGATCAATCCTAGAATTAGCTTAACCTGGACGTCACTAAACCTCCTAATCCCCCGCATATCGAGAGCTCAGTACATCTTTACCTCTCATCTTCAAGTTTCTAAAAAAGTTCTCAGTTCTCACTTTTCCTTTTTTTCTCGTATTGGGGTCAGCATTAGAAACCTGTATCCCCCTTTTCTTAACTTCCCTTACTACTTTCCAACTTTGAATTGTCTACGAGAACATTTATAATCGTTCCAGACTTTCGTTTTTTGATACGCATGTTCTCCGTCTTATCAGCCAGCATCGTTTGACTGCTGGTCTCGGTCGCACGGACATAATCGACAACAGCAATCAACACCCACCATCACGATGGGGATCGCCGAACGAAGATCGATCCGCTCTTGCATTACACGCATGTCTCGCCCGCAAAAAATTGGCCTGGGTGCTTTGGTCTTCCTATTCATTCTTTATAGTTTAACACCATACGACAGTCGACCAAGATCATTCTTCCGGTTCCAACATAATGTCATACAAGATTATTACCAGAATACCCTCCCGAGCGATTCCTGGCTTTTCAAGCCTCAACCCTACCCCATCGATCCTAATAATGATATCGGCATAGTAATAAAGACCGGATTTGGAACGAAAAAACGGGTATCAGCGGCGCTGCAAGCGTTGAGCAGCGAGTCCTTAAATGCGGATACTATCGTCGTTCAGGATTTTCCGCTGTTCCCGGATCAGAAGAATTATACATTGGCTAGTGGAAAAGAAGTGCCGATCATCGACATCATCGGGTGGAATCTAGAACGGGGCTCTCTAAAGGGCCAAGAACAGCAGGAGCGCGTGATGAAATATATCAATCTTGCTGATGCTGTTGACGGCGAAGAGTGGATGCTTGCTGATACATTAGGCAAGGACATGGGATGGGAATTGGATGCGATGAAGGTTCGATATACCTCAATTATGATTCGAGCCACCACTTGCTAACGTGCGGTTCAGTTTCTCTCAAGTCTCGAATATATTTGGCACACCATGCCGAAAAAGAAGTGGTACGTAATGTTGGATGACGACACCTATATCATCAAATCATCCTTGGCTTTACTCCTGGGGCATTTGAACTACGGCAAACCGCAGTTCATTGGCAACCCTGTAGGCGACTACAAAGGTCGTTTCCCACACGGCGGATCATCTGTAGTTATGTCCGGTGCTGCTCTGAGCAAGCTGTACGAAGAACACCCCGAGGTCGTTGCTGAGGGCCACCAGGAGTCGGCTACGGCAATCTGGGGCGATAAGCTACTTTCTACGACGTTTATGAAAGTAGGGATCTATCTTGACGAGACATACCGACGCCTATTTAATGGTGAACCCCCCTGGATGACGCGGATGTGGATCGACAGATTCTGTCTGCCCTTAGTATCGTTCCACGGCCTCGGCAAGGACGACGCTATGCTACATGTAGGCGATACGTTCAAAAATATGACGGAACCCGTATTTTGGAGACAGCTGGGGAAGATTTATGGCGCTCCGAATTTCGCTTCGTTCATCGCCGAACCGATTCGATCTAACGTGGACTACGTGGGACGCCTAGACGAGTACAGCAAGACCATAGACAAGGTCACGGAAGTCGATGCCTGTGTCAAAATCTGCCATGATCACTCAACAGAATGCTTAGCTTGGACATTTGATCCAGGACGTCAACAATGTCACACTGCGCGATGGGCAATCCTAGGAGATGTCGCCGAGGGTCGGTTTTCTGGCATAAATGGGCAGCTAGCCCAGAAGCTAGAAGACTCATGTCACGGCCCAGCATAGGGTCTTCATGTCTCTTTCAATCTCTGGTATTCTGTTCTATATAAATATGGGTCGGTATGACATAAACAAACCGTCTCATTCAGTAGAGACGTACTGTTTAGAGGGGCGGCGTTATACATAGACTTCGCAGAGGGGAGGGGGCATGTGACTTGGAATGATACCCTGGATGGAATGTAATTTATAATGAAGCTTCTTAATCCTAGTTGGATTTAATTGTATAGTTCTATATCTTCTTTATGAACGACGAATGTAAGATATACTCCTATTCCGAGCATATAGCTAAGCAATTGCTGGTAAATATATCGAAATGCAGTGTGACGCTGCAAGGCTAGTAGAATTCTCACGTAAAATACCTTAGCCAACACCACAAGCCTTAGGGCAGGATAAGAAAAGGGCGAGGTACATGTAGGTACCTTCTTCTTCCAAGTCCCTAACGAGTTAGCCGCACATATAAATGAAACTTAACTTTATCTATGTAGGATTTCCAGGGGATATTATAGGGAGTATATGCCCCATTAAGATGGGAAGTTTAATATATTTAACTTTGCATCATGCTATAAGTACCTAATGTATATACGTACTGGTTCATGTAGTTAGATAGCGTAGTACAGCGATAAGCTAAAAAAGTTGGGCACGCGATTTAAGTGGATTGTAGATCCCACCAATCCGCGTATTCAAGCAGGGATAATGTCAAGGTACCAAACCAGTCGAAGGCAGGGTCGATGACGTGTGGGGAACTTTACCTTTGGGACTTTTTTGTTTTTTGACGTCAAATCCCAAAGTAATACTACTTTTCTCTCCAAATTATCATATTACTCATCTATGCTGCCAGCTCTGCTTTTGCACAACTAAAAGAATACAATCCGTTTTTGGTTTGTCATTCCAGTTTTTCCCGTATCTTCCGAAAACAAGACGCCTTATATTATTATTATATACCTAAGTAGCTTTTATTAAGGATAACTAAGGAGTAGCCTAACTTTCCGCCCCTTTTTAGCTTCAGATTGTTTGTGGAACTCTGTATCCCCCGCCAGAATTTATTATCCTGTCGGCCCGCCATCTTTCGCGCACTCGAAACAAACATCATCAGACTTTGAAATACGGAGGGTTCTCCTAATCACGCAGTATATCATCCGAACCACGTCGTGTCCGTGAATTTTCCCTATACGTAGGCGGCATCTTGAAAACGTCGCAACGATGTCAGAAGTTACACCAAATGCCCAGGCTACTGGCTCTAGTTGGGCTGCGTTTCTCAAGGTAAGTTAGCCTGACCTAATGTTCCTCTTTCTGTTCTACTTGAAGCTGACCACCTCGCGAATAGTCTATCGCCTCTTTCAACGGCGACCTCTCCTCTCTCACAGCCCCACCCTTCATCCTTTCCTCTACGAGTCTTACCGAGTTCAGTTCGTACTGGGCTGAACATCCTAGCGTTTTCGCAGCACCAGCGAAGGAGCCGGACCCCGCAAAGAGGGCCTTGCTAGTGCTTAAATGGTTTCTAACTACGCTTAAGCAACAATATGCTAGTCGCAGTGAGCAATATGGCAATGAGAAGAAACCTCTCAACCCCTTTTTAGGCGAAATCTTTCTAGGGAAGTGGGAAGATGACGCAGGCACAACCGAGTTGATCAGTGAGCAGGTGAAGTAAGTTTGGCGCAACCAAACCCAGCAATATCTAGACGCAACCCTTGAAACCTGGGCTAACCCTACGGTTTAGCCACCACCCGCCAGCAACGGCATACAGTATTATCAATGAGACCTCCGGGGTTCATCTCCAGGGATATAACGCCCAAAAGGCTAGCTTCTCCAAGACTATCAATATCAAGCAGATAGGACACGCAGTATTGACAGTTCCTGACCCCTCCAAGCCCGGGGAGAAAGATACCTACTTGATCACACTACCATCCCTTCACGTTGAGGGTCTAATTTTTGGCGCTCCCTTCATTGAGCTCGACGGCGCCTCTTATATCACCACGTCGACAGGATTTACTGCTAAAATAGACTACAGTGGCAAGGGCTGGATAAGTGGCAAGAAGAATTCATTTACGGCTACTCTGTATCCAACCGGCAAGGAAAAGGACGTACTCTACAATTGCTCTGGCCAATGGACCAAGGCGTTTGAGATCCATTCCGGCCCAGTGAAGAGTAATTCGCCTAAGAATCTCATTGGAAGTTGGGATCCTACTGACAATCCCACGACCGAACTCAAGATTGCACCTCTCGAGAAGCAGCACCCGTTGGAGTCTCGACGCGCGTGGGCTAACGTCGCGACAGGCATTGCCAAAGGGGATATGGATTACGTCGGTAAGGAGAAGAGCAAGATCGAGCAGGCGCAGCGGGCAATGCGGAAAAAGGAGCAGTCAGAGGGTCGGGAGTGGGAGCGGAGATATTTCACTGCTCTCACTGAACCAGACTTGCCTCTTGGAGCATTAGGTCCCAACGTGGGACTAAGTACGAGCGGCGATGCGGACAAGACGGGCGGTTTGTGGCGGTTTGATGCGGCCAAAGCGGAGAAGGTCAAGAGCCATGAGTTGAGCGAAGAAGAGAGAATTCAAATAGCTCAAGAGCTGCTAGGTCAGTAATTTCCTACCAGCATCTCTATCTGCAAGAGTGTCCAAAGTAATTGCATAGAGATGGTATACGATACCGAATCATGTAGGTGATGAAGTAATATTGATAAAGGGAAACGCGGATGTAGGCATCGGGAGGGCATTTTGCTTCACCGGTTGGTTACCGCATAAATACCTACCTAATAATGTAGTAGATCACACAGTATAATTAAACGAACCCCTCGTTCTCGCGGCAAACTCGTTCAAAGAAGAACAAATGAAAATGAGACATAATAGACGATAAATAAAAAGTGATAAATGACATATAACAGGAAAGAAAATAAACAGTACAAACATTGCTTTTTACTAAAATGATTGGGCGAAATATATAGATAAGATGTAAGTTAGTTGTATCGTCCAATGGAATATATGTAGACTCTGGCTAACTAGGATAATCGATGCTGTCCGTTATAGAAGTTTATTGTCGTTGAAGAACGAGCTCCCGCCCTAGCGACTAATATATTGTCCTAAATCAGCTTTAGCAAACAGAAAATTTTTTAACTGCAAATGTTTGTTTGCCGATGGTTATATAAAGCTCCTATCGAAAACATATGTTGGTAATTTGTTGCTGTCTCGAAAAATTCGAACGATATAACCACAGCCATTGAGCTGAAGAGGGATATCCTGTAATTCATTAGCATCATGCCTCCTACAGAAACATCACAGGAGTGTGGCAACCCTAAATGCGACAACACATCCAGCTCGGCGTCTTTGCAACTATGTGGTCGCTGCAAAAAGGTTTATTTCTGCTCTAAAGACTGCCAGGTCGCCTTCTGGCCGACACATAAAAAAAGATGCGTCCCTCGGAACTACATTGTGAAGTTCGAGCTATCACCCAAGCAGATCACAGACCTGCCTATCTTCCGCACACTCTCCTGTCCCGCCGACGCTGATTTCCATCGTCTGCACATGGCCCTGCAAATCGCTTTCGGCTGGGCGACTACCCATTGCTTCGAATTCGAGGCCTCCCATATACCCTCGCCCGACATGATAGCCACGATCCAAGAAATGTGGAGGAATCCTAGACCCGAGCAACAACCCGGCTCATATTTTCCAGATCAACCCCTACTCCGCGTTGTCGACCCCAACATGGAGGATGATGAGTCCTTCGGGTTCGACTTTCAGTCATCCTTGGCCCCACAACGCCCTAAACCCATAGAGAAGAAAGCTGGCTCTTTTATGCTGTATAACTTATTCGATAACCCGAAGTACGCCGGCTATAAGATGGTCTATAATTACGACTTCGGCGACAGCTGGGAGCACGAAATGACGCTCTTAGGGTATGGCGGCGCTACGGACAACTTCGTGTGCATCGATGGTGCCGGCCATTGTGCAGCTGAGGACGTAGGCGGTCCAATGGGTTGGCAGGATCTCAAGGAAGCGTACCGTACCGCGAACCCTGATGGAGATCAGCGCCACAAAATGTGGTGGTATGAACATAAATGTAGTAATGCGGACGCCGCAGGTCTAGCGGGTGAGAGAGTCCATGTGTGGGACCGCCTACGCATCAATGAACAGCTCAAGAATGAGTGACTCTTCAAATGCTTCAATCGCATGGAACAGGAGGCCGAGATGGAAATAGTTGCCTTTAACTAGCGTATACAGAGGCCTCTGGTTCGTAAAGAGTAGCCTGGCTAGGACGTGATAGGAAGTTCGGTACCGAGGGGCCAGGCAGATAGATGGGCAACGCCAGTGGGGTACTCGGTACCTATCTTGCGTTGTTTATGGGAGCTACTGATGTAATGGTGATGAGATGGTATTCTTATTTGGCTGCCTAACCAGTGTGTTTATTCAATAACCGCCAGTAAATATAGAATATGATACGAATCCACCTATAATATGTCGAGATGAACGAGAGCGGGAAACGTGATCGTTCCGTTCCTGCAGGTTTATGCATTCAAGAGGCACCATAGTCTTCTCAACTATGGATAGTCTAGATGACTCTTGCGGGTCTTTATGTAATCTCCGATGACTTCCGTATATCTCATCGGTATCCGGATAGGATGCGGGCTTACGGAAACTATGCCAACCCGAGGGTGAAGAAATCTACAGCAGAGGCCCCTACATACTCGGATTGGTTTTATAAATCTACTCGTGTTAAGAATATACTGGGCAATAAAATAGATGGGTTCGATATCGCGAGTTGCGGTTTTTTCTATAATGAGAAAGCCTATGTTTATTAGGTAAAATATTAATTGTAAATGTCGTATGTTTAGTAACCAATACCAGTAGTAACTATAGTATAACTAAGTAATAGTCTATCTGATGTTCACTATACTTATCAACCTTGTTGCTGCCCACACTAAAAAGGGGGATATTCGTCAACTAGAATAACGGGATAATGTACGGGATTCTACCACTCTTGTTCCGGAATGTTCTTGTCGTTGAATTATTCCCCGAGTCAGACAGGGGGCACAAACTGACGACTACGGAAGTTCTACTGCCGATGCAAGTCGGGATGTTATCCACGATTTCCGCGGCTTCGATTGTCAAACCCTCAGGAATTCATCTGGCGGAATTCCGCTCGATAGCGACGTTTACTATTGTACACGAAGAGCTACCCTAGTAAAAGTTGTAACTAGAAACATGCCAATGGACCGTTAACGTTATGATGCTGTGCTATAATGGGGCTGTACCAGTAATAGAACTATAGAGTTGCAAGATTCGGGATTTAACGAACGCTTAGCATGTGGGTATGATGATACAAGAAATCTTATCATCAAATAAGAACTCTGCGTCTGGGTTAATAGCTAGTTTCATGCTGGTTGATAAATCAGTTATGCTATCTTATACCTAAACTTTGGCAGCCTACCGTCTGTATTAGGTACTCATTCGGGTATTGGCCGAAGGGTAAATTCCCGCAGGCTCTATTCTCTTGTGCAGGCTGTTATTATTGTAAGCAAAGAGTCACGGCAGGGTTGTTCAATGGGTCTCATGGAACGATTCTACGTAACCCATGGGGAAATATGATCTGGCAAAAGGGACTGAGTAGCAATTTGTAACAGTGGAGGAAATTATATAAAAGCGTCATGTCCAGACTCATCACAACTATTACTATATATTTATAATCATCAACAGAAGACTACTACTACTGCTATCTAACTTCACGACAACTTCACATTAGACAACTAATTTTCAAAAAAAAGCAAACAAAAATAACATCTTAACCTACAATGGCTGGTAGAAAGTTCAGAGTTGTTGTAGTCGGCGGTGGCCCTGTGGGCTTAACTATGGCCCACACGCTCTCGAAAGCCGGAATCGAATTTGTCGTACTCGAGCGTAGACCGAGTGTCTTCGAAGATGCCGGTGCTAGCCTGGTTATTGGCCCTCACGGGATGCGCGCCTTCAAGCAACTTGGACTTTACGAACGACTTCGCGAGATAAGCGTAGAGTTCACCGACTCGCGGACATGTACTGAAGACGGCCGCGAGTATAACACGATATCGGTTCGCGACGAGTTCACGGCTGAGTAAGTTCATCACTACCCCTATTCTGATTTGTGTCTGTGGTGCTGACAAACGTCTTCTTAATAAGTTTTGGCTGTTCGAGCAGCGTTTTCAACCGGGCCGAGTTGATTCAGGCAATCTACGAGGGCCTAAGTGAATCCGACCAGGCTCGTGTCTTGACTGATAAGAAAGTAACCGATGTTACATCTGACGACTGGGGCGTGACTGTTCGTTGTGCGGACGGAACACGGTACGATGCATCTATTGTCGTCGGCGCCGATGGTGTTCACAGTGCTGTTCGAAAACATATGCGTAGCAATGCCTTGAAGGCTTCACCCAAAATGCAAATCGATCCGGAGAAGCCGTTTTTGGCCGAGTATAGGATGTTATGGGCCTCATTTCCCTTGCAGGGTGATAAACACGACGGCCCACCGGGCTTGGGAGGAAGCACGCATTGCAGTGACCATGCTTGTACGTGTTTCTTTTTCCTTTTCTTCTTTTCGAGTCAAGTTCTTCGAAGGGAACTTCCCAGTCTAAGAAGTTGCTACTGACTTTCACTAAAGTACAATATGTCCTTGGACATAACCGAGGCTGGATCTTCATTTACGAGCGTCTTTCAACCCCGACTAGAGAACCTACTAGGTACACGGAGGAGGATGTTATTGCGTGTGGCGAGCGGTGGGGAGATGTGGCCTTTGGTAAGAAGTTGAAGGTAAAAGACGTTTTCTCAAAGCGTATCCACGCAGGTATGACCAACCTCGAGGAGGGAGTACTGAAGCGGTGGTACTGGGATCGAATTGTTCTCGTCGGCGATGCTGCACACAAATTCACACCGAACCCTGGGCAAGGATATATGAATGGCATGCAAGATGTTCTTGCTCTTACCAACATTCTACATAGTGTCCTGAAACCATACCGCGACGACGCAAACGGAGAGTATGACGGCAAGGGGCCGAATACTAAGATATTGTCCGCTGCATTCAAGCGGTACCAAGACGGGAGACTAGCGGGCGCCCATCAAGGCTGTGACCTTTCGGGCCACGAAATACGAAAGCAGACACAGCGGACGACTTGGCTCTGGTTGCTTGACACCTGGATGATGCCGTACTTCCCGAAGTGGGCGGACTCTTGGATGCTGGAACTTGCCTTCAAGAGGGCCATACGCAACGGGCTGGTGCTGGATTTTGTGGACGGCGAGGAGACGATCAAGGGAAATGTTGCTTGGGCTCATCCTATGCCAAACCCAGCTACTCGGGCATTATTGGCTAAGAAGGCCCAAGGGAACCTAGTGGCCCCTTTTCTAAGTGTGGTGGGTATTTGTGGCATTGCACTGGCGGCGTCGATGGCTCTCACTAGCCGTTATAGATTGCCTATCCTTGAGAAACTACCTATATGGTAGTTTTAGATTGTTGATTTTGGTGTGTAATAGATAGATTGTAGTGTGGTAGTAGTATAGTTTCTAATGGTTAGGTAATGGTTATAGACTTATCGTGTAGCTTTTCTTATTCAAAGACGAAGTGCCGCATAATTTATTGAGTTGAGTTTTGAGGTGCTTTACGAATAATTCCCTCGCAAAGGAAAGTATTTACGAATAGTCACCTTGAGGCATTGTAATAGTCAGTGTTTATTTGGTCTAAAAATAACGCTTGTCTATTTGATAGATGTGATTGGGATATTTTGACATTGCAATAATAAGCCCTACAAGTGTACGATACTTAAGCAAACAGCCTTACTTTCTGGCCGTTTTATCATTTATTGGAAACTAAATGATATATGTCGTTAGTATTGTCATAATAGTAATAATCACGTCGTACTTTTTCGTACGCTTTCACTAGCGATGCACTATATTGTAGACTGCTACTGGCGGAAATGTTTAAGAGATTATGATATATAATTTTGAAGTGCTATTAATTGGCAGTATTGAAAGGCACCACATATTAAAGACAAATAATAATAATAATAATATGTTTGTATTGAGTTGACTTTGTTAATTGTTTCTAGTTGGCAAAGATAGAATTCACCAATAAGGTGACACGTGTGGTTGAAGCTAAGGAACCCCTGTGGCTGTCCGGCATGTGGCTGGGTCTGCTGGGCTGACGAATGCTTTCGCGGACAAGGTTGACTGCTGTATTTCTGTACCTGTCCCGCTAACGTCAACTGCGCCAGGCATCCCGATTTCTTAAAGAACCCCTTGCTTGCAGCAGGCTCTTCCTGCACCTCGACATCGAATTCAAGCGAACGGTGTGACCCAATGACTTGCGCGAGATATCATTGAGCTTTTACGGTATTCCTTTCCTTTGCAGACTCGGCCATTATTATCGACATAATCCTCCAAAATGTCCACCACACCCGTTCCGCCCGAGGACCAGGCGAGATTGCTGGAAGATGCCTTGGTTGCTGTGCGCCAGCAGACTGCACTTATGCGCAAATGTCTCGATACTCCTGGCAAACTCATGGATGCTCTCAAATGCTGGTATGTCTTATCATAATCTAATTACTACGGCACCTTACTGCCCACCCACCTTCTATCGCTCTAGCAACTAGCTAACAGGTATATAATGAAGCTCTACCTTGGTCGCTGAGCTGCGGACAAGTAGCCTAGGTCCCAAGCAATACTACGAGTTATATATGGCCGTCTTCGATGCATTGCGCTATCTTTCGGTACATCTTCGCGAAAATCATCCCCATAATCACCTCGCCGACCTCTACGAGCTCGTCCAATATGCTGGCAACATCATTCCGCGTTTATATCTCATGATAACCGTCGGTACCGCATATATGTCTATACCCGAAGCGCCGGTTAAGGAGTTAATGAAGGACATGATGGATATGAGCCGTGGTGTCCAGCATCCTATCCGTGGTCTATTTCTTCGTTATTTCTTATCCGGCCAAGCCAGGGACTACCTGCCTGCCGGTGATGGTGATGGTCCTGAAGGAAACCTCCAGGACTCGATCAACTTCATCCTAACGAATTTCGTCGAGATGAACAAACTCTGGGTACGATTACAGCATCAAGGTCATTCGCGGGAACGGGAGCAGAGGACCAAGGAGCGCAAGGAGCTGAAGCTTCTCGTAGGCAACAACATTGAACGGCTGAGTCAATTGGTGGATCTCGAGGCTTACAAGAACGGTATCTTGGCCCCGCTATTGGAACAGGTAGTACAATGCCGGGACGTCCTAGCCCAAGAGTATCTTCTAGAGATAATTACCCAGGTTTTCCCGGATGAGTTTCACTTACATACGTTGGACCAATTCCTGGGTGCGGTGTCGCGGCTGAATCCTCACGTTAACGTCAAGGCTATCGTAATTGGCTTGATGAATAGGTTATCTGCCTATGCTGAACGGGAATCGCAAGAAGGAGATGTCGAAGACAGGGCGAAACTAGAAGAAGATGCTTTGTCAAGTCTCCTAGAAAAGATCCGGTTAGGGAAAGAGCAGCAGGAGGCGAAGCCAACGCCGGATGAAGTGTCTACCGATACGAACGGAGAGAATACTAATGGCGAACCTACGGAACCTGCTGAGAATGATGCGCCGGCGGAACCGGAACCTGCCCCGTCAGTTGCGGATACCGAGACAACAGCTGTTGATAAAGAGCCAGACGATGCTCCTCAAACTCCCAAGAAGCAGCGTGGAATCCCTCCTGATGTCAAACTTTACGAGGTTTTCTTTGAACAAGTCAACAATCTTGTTAATGCGCAGCATCTTCCTATCCAAGACACAATCGCGCTACTGGTTTCCCTTACCAACCTTTCCTTAAACATATATCCTAGCCGACTGGACTACGTAGACCAAATTCTTGACTATGCGAATCGCAAGGTTAAAGAGCATGCTAATAGCGCCGATCTCCATTCTGCGCCGGCACAGCAAAGCTTACTCGCACTGTTACAAGCCCCTCTCAAGAGATATATTTCCATTTTCACAGCCTTGTCGCTTCCCACGTATGTGCCTCTCTTTCAGTCCCAAACCTACCCAACTAGAAGGGCTGTTGCAGGTGAAGTTGCTAGGACCTTGCTACAGAATCAGACCGTGATATCTACAGAGGCTCAGCTTGAAAATGTTCTCGAGATCCTTAAAGTATTAATTAAGGAGGGTTCGCAACCCCCTGCTGGATATCCTGGCGGCCCCCAGCGACGAGCCTTGGAAACAGACGAAACAATGGAAGAGCAGGGTTGGTTGGCACGGATCGTTCACCTACTCAACGGTGAAAATAACGACACACAGTTTCGTCTCCTTCAGATGGTACGTAAGGCGTTTGCTGAAGGAAATGAGAGAATCCGCACAACGACTCCTCCCCTAATTACAGCTGGTATGAAGCTGGCACGCCGGTTTAAGGCTAGGGAGCATTATGAGGACAATTGGGAAACCCAGCTGAGTGCCCTATACAAGTTCATGCACTCTGCGATCTCCGGTATCTACACAAGAGTCAACGGCCCTGGTGCTGCCGAACTCTCTCTGCGTTTATTCTCTGCCTGCGGTCAATCCGCCGACATGACGAGTTTTGAAGAGGTTGCGTACGAGTTCTTCGCACAGGCTTTTACAGTGTACGAAGAGGCCATTTCGGACTCGAAAGCTCAATTCCAAGCTGTGTGCATTATTGCCAATGCACTACACCAGACAAGAAATTTCGGGAAAGAGAACTATGATACTCTTATCACAAAGTGTGCCCTTCATGGAAGTAAGCTGCTGCGTAAACCGGATCAATGTAGAGCGGTATATCTAGCGAGCCACTTATGGTGGGCGATGCCAATGACCGCTATCGATGAGTCGGATGAAGGTGTAAGTTTTGTGTCAGTCTTTAAGTTAAAGATTCAAACTAATTTTTCCCCCTAGCTCTACCGAGATGGAAAGCGGGTATTAGAATGCTTGCAAAGAGCTCTGCGTGTTGCGGATTCCTGTATGGAACAAGCGACATCAATCGAACTGTTCGTCGAGATATTGGACCGCTATGTGTACTATTTCGACCAGCAGAACGAATCGGTAAGATGCTCATATTATAGCTTAAGTATACCTGCCTAGCTAACCACGTATTCGATAGGTCACCACTAAATACATTAATGGGCTCATTGAGCTAATCCACTCAAACTTGAACACGAACCAACAGGATTCAGCAAGTGTTGAGAGCAGCAGGCGGCATTTCAAGCACACCTTGGACAATATCGCGTCGAGGCAGTACGAAGGAGTGATTCTGTATCCACAGAAATAATGATACCTGAGATATAGGAATTCGGTCGGGATAAGAGTCCAGGTTCGTACTCAAGCAGTTGCATAGTGTCACTGAGATGCTTGAGTTTGCGTAGTGAGAAAGTTGTACCAAAGGTGTTTTTTTCAGGGAAAAGAAAGCGTCGCCGCCGTCCTGTTTGTTAGAGATAACCGTGTACATATGTATATTTCTGACGGTTTCAAAGGATTCGCCAGGCTTCTCAGAGGAGTCTAGGCATGCATTTAAGAGTTAGTTAATTAGTGCCAAGAGGTCTGACCCTCTGCACGAATCACTGAGGTTTTCCATTTTACTTGCCTTTAATGTTCTAGCTTTAATGATTTATATTTGATTTATATCTATTTTGTCTTGCCTATTGATAACCTAGTATAGGTAATACCTAATTTTTTATAGTTAATAGTGTCCGTCTTTTAGTAGATAGTAGATCCTTGCATGTATGCAGTCCACTAGGTACCTAAGGTTAGGTTCTTGTAGGTAATGCCCCTGATTGTGGCAGTGCTTGATGACTAACCTAATGGATTCACAACTGCCCGCGTGCTCCGCAATTGGTAGTACCTAGCACTAGCCTGAGGGAGAGAGAGAGCGATCTTGAATTCAGAACACCGTTGAGACATCAGAATCCCCAATTACTTTACTTTCGCCTCTTGTTTTTTTGATAATCTCTTAATAAATCAATTCTCTTAGTTTTACCTCCAATGACCACCGCGGTGGTACTTGGTCTTATGTCTGCCTTATTTTCTTGATTTCAAATTCATACTCCAATCAATTTCACTCCTTTATCGTGACTCGACTTTAACCATTCGTTTAATCACTGCGACAAGCAATTAAATAAATATCTACGCGTACTCACCGGACATATCTTATTTTAGAATCCCGACCTTTAAGTCTTATACCCGCGATATATCAATGACGTTGTACTACCAAGATGCCTTCCGAAAAGTCTCAGTATATACCACCACCACCTATACCTACATACGATGAAGCGACCGGTGGTTATCCTGGATCTTCTCGCCCGGACTGGCCCCCGCCTTCTTCGCCCATAGATACAAGACCCGATAATGAAACCGAAGCGCAATCCCTCCTTTCTTCACGTACCAGGCAGGCCGACTCGTCGAGACGTGCGCCCCAAGGGTACCGACCTCCGTATGTAGAATCTGATGACGAAGGGTCGCAATGGACCCTTGACGATGATGAGAGTGAGGACGGCGAAGACGCGCAGGTTCGGCGCGAAATGCAGGAGCTGGAAGTTGAGGACCCGTTAGGCGAATCGAGTTCAAGATCATCATCTTCTTCATGGAGGAAACGGATAGCATCCTCATTACCGCAATGGAAATGGCGATGGCGGCTCCCTAGATTTACTGTTCGATTACCTCGTCAGAGCGATGCCGCAAATGATGCAGATACGGAATCTAGCGAGACTAGGACAAGATTCAGGTTGCCGAGTATCAACAGCGCTGCTGCTATACTTCTGGTCGGTAGGTTGCTTGCGGTTTTCCTCATCCTAGGTTTCCTGTACCTCTTATTCATGAGTGACATTTTCACGAACATGACGAGGCGCATCGGCGGCCACATGTTCGACCCTGAAGCTGTTCGTCAATACGTACAGGGCGAAGTTAACTCGGACATGCTGAGAAATACGTTAAAGCACTTCACGGGCTACGCGCACATCGCGGGGACTGAAGGTGACTACGCGCTTGCGATGGACGTGCGGAATGATTTCATAAAATATGGCCTGGAGGAAGTTACAGTAGACGACTACTATGTATATCTGAATTATCCGAAAGCCGGCGGCAGAGCTGTCGAAATAATGTCCGAGGATGGCAAGGAAGCTAAGTGGAAAGCTGCCCTTGAAGAGGAGGAAGTCGTTGAAAAGACGGCGGGCCGCCAGACGTTTGTGTTTCACGGCCATTCTAAAGCAGGTGACGTGAGAGGACCACTAATATATGCCAACTATGGGTCGAGAGAGGATTTCAAGAGGCTTTCTGATAAGGGTGTTGACACCAAGGGCGCAATTGCACTTGTACGCTATTACGGTACACAGGGTGATCGGGCCCTAAAGGTTAAGGCCGCCGAGATGGCCGGATTTGCCGGATGCATCATATACAGCGACCCGGCGGAAGACGGCTTCTTAAAGGGGGAGCCAGCACCTCTTGGACGATATATGCCTCCGGATGGTGTTCAGCGAGGAGCAGTTAGCCTGATGAGTTGGGTGGTGGGAGACGTACTCACACCTGGTTGGGGGAGCAAGAAAGGCCTTCCACGAATGAAGACGGAGCAGACGGCTGGTCTCGTCAAGATCCCGAGTCTTCCCCTCGCCTGGCGTGATGCCCAGGTGCTTCTACAACATATTCAGGGCTTTGGCGAACCGTGCCCAGACGACTGGCGGGGTGGTATACCGGAAGTTGAGTGGTGGACGGGGAACTCCTCGTCGCCGGTTGTGCGATTGAAGAATGAACAAGATGAAGAAGAGCAACAAGAGATATGGAATGTCTATGGTAAAATTGTTGGCGTCGAACAGAACGAAAAATCCATCATTATCGGTAATCATCGCGATGCCTGGGCTTTTGGTGCAACCGATCCAAATTCGGGTACGGCTGTTATGCTCGAGGTTGCGCGCATCTTTGGCGATCTTCTAGCTAGGGGCTGGCGACCGCTTCGTACGATCGAGTTTATGAGTTGGGACGCCGAAGAATATAACCTGATCGGCAGCACCGAATTTGTTGAACAGAACATGGAGACTCTCCAGAAGAATGCCTTCGCATATATCAACCTTGACACTGCAGTTTCGGGCCAGGAGTTCCATGCCGCCGCATCTCCGATGTTCCGTAAAGTTCTTTATAAGGTGATTGACAGAGTCTTCGACCCCATCCTAAATGCTACGCTTCGCGCGTTATGGGATGGGCGTAATGGGGAGCTTGAAGGACTTGGTGCTGGCAGTGACTACGTGGCATTCCAGGACATGGCGGGTACTAGCTCTATCGATATTCGATTCGATGGGGCCGCTCATCCTTACCATTCTTCGTACGATAACTTTGACTGGATGGACCGTGTTGGAGATCAAGGGTTCATATACCACAACCTGCTTAGCCAAGTTCTTGGGCTTCTTATTCTAGAGCTATCTGACAAGCCGATATTACCCTTTGATATGGGTAATTATGCGCTCGCTCTCGGCCGATATCTAGGCGATCTATGGCAATGGGCTGAAGATAAAGGTGTCAACGGACATTTCAATCTGGAACCCGTCAAGAACGCAGTCCAGGAGGTTGAAAAGGCTGTTTCTCAATTCGAGAAATGGGAGACGGACTGGCAACAAAGCGTAGTGGCGTCAAACGGCTGGGAGCCAGTAGGGTTAACCCAACGGAGAGGCGACTACAATAGCCGCATGGCGAACTTCGAGACTGGGTTACTAGACTTAGAGTTTGGCGGTGGAGTGAGTTGGAGTCCCTACGTTTATCTTGATCTTGTATTAACAGGTTGTCGCAGATTCCAAACCGAACTCAGTTCAAGCACGTTGTCTTCGGACCGCAATTGTGGTCCGGGTATGACGAGGCCTACTTCCCAGCTATTCGGGATGCCGTCGACGCGGAAGATTGGCCGTTAGTCCAAAATATTATCGACAAAACTGCTCGTATCATAAGGGATGCCGCCAAGGGGCTAATAGAATAAGAGGCTCGCGATGCTCACGTTTTAAGGAGCTTCTTGTAGGTCATGGATGCATTGTTCGGCGTTAGTGGGAAATTTGGAAGGGGTTCACCATTGTATTATACCTATAGGTGGTTGAGTCTTATACATCGGCCTATATTACTTCAGGGTATCATCACATAACTCGAGGCTCGGCTGGGAACAAGACTCGAAGATTTCATTAGACAAGATGAGTTCACGGTCTTGGGAATAAAAAATATGTGAATTAACTTTTACAACTCGTCCAGTACAAAAAACTAGAAGCTATCATCAAGGGGGTATAACAGTCCAGAAGTCCGATCTAATGAAGACAGCGAAGCATCGCCGATATCGAACATGTCCACCAAGCGGAAATGATTATTTCGCATTCGGGTAAATTTGCCGTCCGTAATACTCGTTTACCTCCCTTTCAGATAGCTGATCTTCCCAGTTAGCGTCTCGAAACCTACACCCCTTCGTAGCGCAGTTGTAAAAAATCACTCGAGGGTTATGAGACCTTTCGGTCGTCATCTCCTCGCGCGATGGGTACCCGCAGAAGCACTCCGGGTTGTTCTTATGCACCCCGCGGTCATCGGCCCAGCAGATGAAGCCATCATAGCACTACAGTAGTAAGAGTTAGTTAGGTATACAATAAGAGATTAGAAAGATATCGTAAGATTAAGATAATCGAACCCCTCGACGAGCAGAAAATGAGAAGAGAATGATAACAGAGTGAAATAGATAAATTGAAAAGATGTCAGGGGCGGGAACCTACATCGCTACATACGTAGAACCATCTATCTGGGTTGTAAAGGGTGTGGGACTGCTTGAGCTCGAAACTGAGGTGGTCGAAACGATGGTTAGGGCAGCGGAGGGGGCGGCGCAGCGGGAAGTTGGGATGGTAGAAGGGTACGCCGGGAGGCGGTGGAGTTTGGGGCCGAGGAGGGAAGGGCAAGTGGGCGGAGGACCGCCGAAACGGGATCGGGGCTGCGTCTAGGCCTAGATCGTAGTGTCGCTGGGCATCGGGTGATATAAAGAAGCGATTTTTCTCATCCTCCAAGTCGATGTCTTCGTATTTGATGATAGGACTTGGTGGGCCGTCACCAAAACACTCGGGGATGCCGTGAGTTGATGGGTCGTCATCCCAGTACTCAGGGACGGGTTCATACTGGATGGAAACCGGGGCTGCTCCCATGAGACGCTTTCTGGCTGATCCGCTGTTGTCTTCGTCATCGTCCGTGTCCACTGCAGCGATGGTTCTGCTGCGCTTAGGGGTTATAGGAGGTTGCACAAGGGTATTGCTGCTACTGGTTTTCGCCACTGTTGTTCCAGATAGATCAGGTGCTTCCACTTTAACCTTAGTCGACATCAGTACTGATGAATAGGTGCGACAAGGCTCCTTGCCTTTGGGCTCCGAAGACTGTTCTGGAAGCTCCGATTTCACTTCCGTCTCACGGACAGGAGGATTAGGTGTCCCTTCTCTTGAAGGGCTCAAGGTCCTTGAAGACTCGCGTGAGCTACTATCATCTTCAGAGACGACGGTAGCTGAGGGCGACAGAGCCGGCTCAGGTTCCACCAACGACTCCTTGGACGGCTCTGTCGAATCGATGACCCGGCATTCCAGGGCCGCAGCCGCCGAGGCACGTCTAGTGGTCGGCGTCCTAAAAAAATACAAATCAGTGACTTAATTATCTTCATAGGGACGAACTTCGATCAATTGACTTACATGTTAACGAAAGTTCCGATAGAAGATCTGTAGTATTTGCAGTGCAGTTTACAGCTGTAGTGAATAGGGGTTGAGGTCACCTGCAGAGTATAACTGTCGTTCCAACTATCCAAGCACCTAAAATAGGCCCTGGACAGCAGATGATAGTGCTACACTCTGAACAAAAAAAAATTGGAAAGAGTGTATGTTGATGATGAGATCGTGTGTTTTATTCTTGATCATAAGATCCCACTTGCTTTAGGATCTTTAGGGGATCCGTGCGGCTGGAAACTACGTAATATGCTACCCTGCAACAAGCATGGTGTCCCTGCTGTTCATCAGTTAGCTATTTCGTGTTTGTCGCGAGAAGAAGAAGAAAGAAAGAATTTTCCTCGTTTCCTGAGAAGAGCTCTATTCTAGTAGAAATTGGTTGCTATGCAACTACAATTTCTCAGGCCGTTGGGGCGGGGGGCTGCCAGCTGCCATTGCATTCAGTCCTTGAACAAACGGCAGCGATGGGGACAACGGGCTCATACATATTCTGCCTATCGCTGATGCCCAAAACCCCTCTCTTCCTCAGGTCCCTTTAGAGTGAATGACTCTTTTTTAGATAGCCCGTCTGTACGCCTTGCGCCGACAAGCCACTATCTGCAGCGCAATCCTTACCTGAACCAGAGCAGGATTCTACTACGCTAAGAGCCACGCGGCTATTGGTTCCGTGGCACATCCCAAGAATTGGAAAGTTGGCATTGGACGCCACAGCTGAAAACTAAATACCTTAGGTAGGTTAGGATGAATTTGCTGCGAGCAGCCGGTTGGGTTGGAGTTCTGCTGCTCCTGCAAATTTACGATATCCCTGTCACGAGGTGGAACCAAACAGCATGGAAACAACTTCGTTATTCCACAAGGAACTCTAACTACCTAGAAGGTTCTACGTCTATAGTCACCCAAGTCATATTCATATTCCTGGTAAAGAGAATAGAAGAAAATCACACGCCCAGAGTTTTACAAGAGCCTTGGCAGGCTCAATTTCGACATAAAGATAGGAAAAGGTACCTAGGTATTCTTAAGGGAGGTACATAGATAACTATACATACAAACTAGCATTAACTAATTGATATTAATACAAGATGCTCGGGAGTCACGATCTCGTTGCCACGCCGGCTAGCATACAGCGGCGCGGCTACTTGCACTATCTACTCCGCACTCGGCACATAGGAGCCGGGAATATGCAGGCACTATATTACGAGGCGCATCTTGTTGAGAATCGAACAGTGCTTGATACGAGGCAACCATACATAATACGTATGTCGACTTGTGTGAAGGAGTTGACTGCTAGATTGTATCTAGGTAGAGAAGCATATAGAAGCATAGAGAAGCATAGAGAAACATAGAGAAACATAGAAAAATATTTCCTACATTTCCAAACGGAGCGTTTGCGTATTCTCTTGCAACGAGTTACGAGCTAGTTTCCTACATGCAGGTATCACAATATCGAGGACTATTCGTTGTCTTCTACAGGTGGTTAAATATATTCTCAAGTATTATACTTTTAATTACTTTTCTTTATAGACGAATGTTTGACATCTTCCATCCGTAGCCCTATTCAAATAAGCCACAGACTATTATGCAAATGTCAAACTCTTCTCTTACTGCTATTGGTCTAAGTGTTAAGCTAGAAACAGTATAGATGCCTGGCTTCCCATCACGTCATATGCTGTAGAGTTTTCTGAGAGAAACCAAAGAAATTGGCTTAGAAATTTTTGAATTTTTATTGCGGAATACTATTTAGAGAAATCCTCATAGTCACGCTTTTAGCTTTGTCGCAGGTTGTTTTGTTCATCATTACCTTAAACTATTATGAAAAACGGCTCCTTAAGCATTCTTTGACTGCTATAACCTGGAGACCGAGTTCACCAAACAAGTAACAAGGCATAATAAAAATTTAACCCGGTTCATTTATGGCGTAAATGTTTAAGATTTATATGAATTTATTAGAAGTTTTTCTATTTGATGATATAATGCTAGTCTGTTTCTGTGGTTGGCTGGTTAGTGTTAGAAGTCGTTCTTGTCCTCTTACGTCTCTTCGGCCGGGTCGTAAGAGGCTCCGTAAAAATAACCCGTGACTGGCCAGATACATCATCATGCTTATTTTTCCCTTCGAAATAGTTTCTCTTCTCGTTTGGGACCTTTAACTCTAGATATTGCTTGTTATTCCACATAAAAAAGCGACTATTGAAAACGAACGATAGCAAAAGGATTCTAGAAACACGGAGAAATATTGTAGTATGGAATGTGTCAACTATCAACGTTCTATATGAGACATCTAGAACAAAAATCAATGCTAGTGTGTATACCTGTGGGTTCTCGTAGCTGGTTTGGAGTTCCTCGCAGAACTACGAAGTTATTTCCTAGCTTCTTGGTTCACCTCGTGGCATTAGCTACATGAACTTATATTACCAACTGTTCTATAGACTATTCCATAAACCTCGTCAGTTCCTAAACTAATGGAACTGCTAGCTGATGGTTGATTCTAATTTATCAAGTGTTACTACTTGTATGTAACGTAACTTGGTATGCGAGCATTAATGTATTATAACCATTGTACCTAGGTTGAATGATATATTTTCCGAGTAGAAACTGACAATGCTCCAAGGAGTTCTAATTATTAACTAAGCTCCAACTTTATGTTTACAATACGTATAGGTTGTTAGTAAGAATAAGTAAAGCTTTAGTTGACTAGGCATAGTTAGTTAGTTGTAGTTACTTATTTCTAATTAGTTATGACTTATCTCCGGTATTAGTCTACAATATTCGTATGTGGGCTTGTAATTTGGTTTACCTACTAGAACTTAAACTTAAGTAATTGAACCTCGCCTGAAGACAAGCAACCTTGATAATTATTATCATAGATTTTGCATTACTCATAGTTGACACCTAGGGTTGCTTAGTCAACTTAAACTATTTGATAGTTAAACAGCTAGTTAGGAGGTAGTTAACATATTCTTTCAACTCCCAGTCATTGCCAGTGCTTTTATATGCCCAGTTAAGCCTCGGTACAATACCATTAAAGGTTTCTTAACGTAATATTTCTTAGATCAAGGTATCTCTTCGTAAGATAAGTTAAAGATAGGCTATTGAGGATGGTTAATGGTATTGTGGAGTTTATTTCATGATGTAACTCTCTTCGATCCCTACCTTGCACAACATCAAGACCGCCATTTACCCATGATGTAGACCCAGAGTGCTGAAGGATTTCCATAACCATAGTCAAGCAGAGAAAACGAAGATGAAGTCCAGTATGTTGCTTATGTTCCTTGGTGGAGTTTGAGCAAGGTTATGGGATTACGCCTTCTCTTAGGCGCATGAAAGAGTGGAAACTCAGGAGAAGTGCTTCGTAAAGATAATAATAACAAGCATTTTCGTTATTGCATTGCCGAAAGCTCCGCTTAAACCTCCTGAAAGCTCACAGTCTGATAAGATAGGTAGATAGGACGAACGTACTCTGAGACCTAGGTATTCGTTGACTATGCCTTCGGCTCCTTAACTCCTAGTTAAAGCAGCTATCACCGATTTTCATAACAAATCTTCCCTTATCGAAGCTTTAGACGCTCTCCCTGCTAAGCTGACAAAAACGAAACATTAATGTGGGGATTTGAGGCGGTCTACATATGATCGTGGCATGATCAAAAAGAGAACCGTGCCAATTTGTATCATTCTCTGGTTGTAATTATTGCGGTACCTCTCGAAGGGATTATGCAAGACCCAGCTTCATGTACGAAACAAAGGATCTCGAACAGCATCTTTATCAGATGCTAGGGTCTTCTTCCAAGGTTAACTTTTCCTAAGCTCGGAAATACAAAGAGCGATTGGCTCAAGGACTGACGTCTACGGCGATACGGAGGACCTTGTTGGCTCGGGCAATTGAGAACCCGGATGGTCATTCGATTCTTGATAAGAGGTCGGCCCTTAACATCTTCAATATTGATGCTATTATTAACTTTGTTTTCCTTTTTTCCGGACGCGTTGTTGCTCTACAATGTCTTAGATATAAATATTTCGCTACCGAATCGAATTACCAAGATATATCGGATCGCACATTGAGCTCAATTCTTATCGAGCAGTAGGAGATATCGAAGGCGACGAGAAGCAATGGAGGTCTCACCGTTGATGCGCGTTCCAGCAGAAGTACGGCTGATGATACTTGAATACCTATTCGATGATGGCGGACATAAGCAATTGCAAATTCGGAACGCGGGAGTTGAAAAATTACCAAAGACGGAAGACAGACGACGAAGGAGGTATTACACCTTAGAACGGACATTTCATCGCCGCTGTTACGAGACGACCTATCATCTCGAAACCGAGGGTGTTAACTTCTGCGTATCTGCCATGAGAATCAACAAGACGATATACGAAGAAACATCATACTTGGTCTATGGTAGACACACGTTCGACTTCGGGCACGCAATCGAAGCGGTCGAGCCTTTCCTCTCGGATTTGACACCCCAGAGCCGCGGGCTTATCCGAGAAATATCCTTGTATAAGCGGGGGCCCGTCCCACCTTACGACAACGACAGGGGCGAGTGGCAAAGCGTGTGCCGGTTCCTAGAAAATAACGGGTCTGTCAGAAAGCTGCGGTTGGTGGTGCAGAGTGGCCGTCCCAATGCGACATGGGAAGGGCCGAAAGAATTCACCGCGGCAGACTTAAAGCTTCTCTTCGACCTCAAGCACGAGAGCTTAGATTGGGTCGGGGAGCTCGCCCGCGTCAAGGGGATCGAGGAGTTAGAGATCCTACCGGATGTCCATTACTGCCCGCCACCATCGTCTACCAATATGATCATTTTCGCTGCCCTCTCTGCTTCTATTGAGAGGGGTCTAACGGAGTTCCTCAGAACACAGCTATGCTTGCCTCTATGATGTACAATTTGCATGTACGAGTTCACGTTATCATGTATGGGATAGGAAAATTTGGTTATTAGAAATGGAATACTTGGGTTAATTGGACGGTAGAAAATAATTATAGTCTTACGATAAATAGGTACTTAATACAAGACAATAGCTATATTGATATCGCCTTATTCGAGAAACTCGATATTAACATCCAACCCCTTTTTATACACATTATTGACCACATAGCATCAACCCACCCAATAATCTCTTTCCTAAACGTGACACAATGTAGGTACCTAAGTAACTAATCTCTAATCCTGTTAGAGTCAAAATAACATCATCTCAAAGTCGACTGAATGCTATTAATAGATAAATATGTAATTATAGGGCCTAAATATACCGAAGTATACGATACGTAACTATGGGTCTCAATGTAAAGAATACTTCTATTAGTGGATACCAAAAATAAAAATTACGCAACATGAAAGCAGTATATCATAAATTTTCGAAACTTCGTAAAGAGACTACTTAAGTACTTGTACATGTAGTGAGAATATAAGAAGATTGAGTCCCCAAACACACTTATAAGTAAAAGAGAACTACGAGGAAAAGTTTAAAATATTAGCCACTGGGCCAATGTTAATGGTTACTGAGAGAAATAGAAAAGGGGAAGATAATAAACAGTTCAAACGCCCTCAGAAAAATACTGTCTTCCATAGCAGTTTCCCGCTCAGATAAGCCAATGCATGTTATTTGTTTTATCATCGTCATCGGGCAAATAAGTCTGGCATAAACTAATCGACTTGAATTAGTAACCTTGAGAAAAATTGTCTGATACTGGAACAATTCAACCACTTAGTTGCCTATGGCACACTCAATATTATATCTTGGCTTTTTTGAACGCGATTAGCAGTATAGCCTCGACCTAGTCGATCGACTTCCATCTGTCTACCTGGGTACCTAAGGCAAGTATGATATGAATGTGCTCACGTGAGCTAGAAAAGGGGTCGTTCGCTTCATGGTTTTGCTCAAATTTGATAGTTAATTTTCCTTACAGAGAAGTGATAGTTATACTACTGCTGTGTAACGATCTAGGAGCGAAAAGTCCTAGGTTATGAGATGAAGAGGGGAAGTTTCAACAAATAATGAGGCCAAGCAGCCAAGTTATAAGTACACGAAGTTTCGATTAGGTAAGTTGCAGATCAATTCTAGAAAGCCAATCCCGTAACAATATCCTAGTATCAGTTACCAAATAGATATCAAATCGAGACATGGGGCAGATTGTTTCCCTGTAACCTCCCTTAGCTACTCTTTATAACAAAAACTTAGCACTTAAGTCAAGAGTCTAAGCATATTCTCTCAGGCAACTTCTTAATAGACAATCTAGGTAGCATAAGTAATTAAATACATATAGAGAAGAGTTGCAATCAACTTTTCAAATATTTTAATATCAACTGCTCAAGTTCTCGTATTCTCCCCGTTTTATTTGTTTCTAGCTAATTCAATCTAGGTATATATGGTAAGAGCTTGGTAGAAAGGGGAATATGCTAATACATTCTGGCCACCTGCTGCTTATATGGACTCTATAGTCTAAGATGCGGTCTTGCACACTACAAACAGGAGTACTAATCCTTTCGCTGTTCCAGACGATTTATAATGTAAGTTGTGCCAGGTTACTACGATATTATGCTGTGGAAAGGAGATATGGTAGCACGCCACCCATAGACTCTACTGAGATATCAGGCTCACGCAGCTTAATCGCAGCGGTTACGAATACAGGGGGGCGGTTTTTGGTCTACCAGGTCCACGTCCTCTAGATAGTACAAGCTCACCCTAGTCAGGCTAAGGTTATACGGAATCTGAGACATGAAGCCATAGATGGAAATAGTTTCCAGGCTATCTTGATGGCTGATTTTCGTCTGAAGCTAAAGTATGCAAGCCAATGAAAATGGAAATGAGGGGTTGGAGAACTCTAGCATCTTGAATGATTCAGTGTATATCGATTGGAAGCATAATTCAAACTTCTTTGATGATATCTCTATTAGAGTTATTACCACTTAAGACATACTGTGCATTTAGTGGCATTAAATCCTATTAGTTTCGTATAGTATCGTCTTCTATCTCCTTTATCGTCAAGAAGATATGCAATGAATACCGAAGCCTGCCTCCCATTTCTAAGGACCTTGATCCCATCAGTACAAAGGTTGCATGCTAATAGAGGACAAGGAAACGCACATCTTATATTGTCATCCCACCCAGCGTGACACAGTGACGCAAATCCAACACTTTCGGCGTCGCGCTCGAGCGCTGGTTGGCTTAGGTATCTATATGGGTGGCATGGAAGTCTAAGGTCTACATACATCCAGCTACGCGCCCGGCTTACCACTTTAACCCTATAAGGATTATGTTGCTTATCGCCTCTTTGGTGCTATTCGAATAGGTCGTGTCCCCTTTTCTATGCTGTTATCTCAAGGAAGTCCATAACAAACGAGACAAATATATGCAACCTTCTGATTTAAGAAATCCTTTCCTGGTATAACACAATATCTTAGAGTAAGCCTTAGACATAATTGTGCGTGATTCAGATCCTCTCGACCGGGTTTTTGCCTCTGGCTTATGGCCACAGATGACTCCAAATGCCGTGGTACACATGGTTATCGAAGAGCCTGCTGTAAGATGTTGAGAGGGGCTAGTATACATCAATATACACATCGATATCTAGTAGCGAGTGGCATATTGTGGAGGACAAGCAGCTCGGGGTAATATAGCCAGCCCATCATGAGGCTCCGGATACCAATAGTTGTCATTAAATTGTCTTGAAAGGGCTCTTTCCACCCCCCTTCGATCGTTTTTAATCTTATTCCTGCAATCTCTTGTGAGATTCTCAAGTATAAACAAGTAAGAAACATGAATGGGACTGACCTTTACATATCCAAGGGCACATGTTTCTTCGGGCCGGGTCAAGTCGCAGACTCGAAATATATTCCCTGCGGAAATTCTGAGCTTCTGGGCCCTCAGTCTTGTTGTTACGCTGGGGATTTTTGCCTGTCGAGCACGGCCTGTTTTGACAATGACAGTTCGTCTTTCTCATTACCTCACAATGTAAATTACCCAGGACTGACCCAGGTAATACTATAGCCGTTGTTACATACCTCGCCGGATGCACAGACTCAACGTTCACATCTGCCAAATGCACAAACAAGTACGAGTATCCCGATCAGCAGTATGTAGCAATAGCTCGATGCGAAGGTGATGAAGTAGATATATGGTCAGGCTGTTCCCATCATCCCAAGTGGATTGAGATACAGAAGGAGCCGGACTGCGCGTGCAACGCCTCTAAAGCGTTAATCCGCAACCCGAACGGGAAGTCTAGTCTTTATGAGATTGCACATCTTCCCACCTCTGGGAGTACTATCAGCTTCAACCCTACCGCGGTCCCGACCCTTACTTCTACCAATAACCAAAATCCGGACTCAACCACCGAGACGTCTTCTTCCACGGCTTCACCCACACCCACCTCGAATGCTTCACAGGAAGAATCGTCAAATACGAAAGTAATCATTGGCGTGACCGTTGGGGTGGGTGTCCCCCTATTGGCAGCATTAATATTCCTCGCAATTTTCCTTCGGCGCAGGAAGCTCGTAACAAAAGCAGCGGCATCAGCGATTAACACAGAGCCTCAGGATGAAGCACCACGTCAAGACCAGCAACCTGTCACCGCGCAAGAAATCCACGATGATCAAGGCTCTATTAAGCCTGTAAACACCGCTAGCCCCGAATCGCCCCAGCCAGCCTCCTCGTGGTATGGGTACAAATCCGAACTAGACGCTACTTCGGCTCAAAAGCCTGAGCTCGCTGGAGACGAGCCAGGAACATTCAGCACGTCCAGCTGGAACTCTGGTACTCTCGATAGCCACCAAATATCAGAGCTGTCAAGTCACGATGCTGTTACAAGTGCGACAAGAGAGAATTCTTAAGAATAGGGATATTGTAAGAGGCGGAACTTTTAAATACCTGATTATACCACCTATAATAAAACAAACTAAACCGATTTATCCTAATTGTAGACAGGGCGAACGATGTTGCTCTTACCCAGTGACTTTGGACATGGCTAATTTTCTATCTTCTCCAAGTTACAAACTCCTCTGTATCTTGAACATAGATCATATTACTAAGTACTCGTCATAAAATGACTAAATACAACTAGTTATGGAGTTACCAATCCGACAGCCTCATATATATCGTTCATCCACAAAGCAAAATCGTGACTAAGATAATAATCGTGACCATAAGACCACATTCCCTTGCCGTCAACCCCAATATCGATAATAGGGACGATGATTGTCCGTCGGACACAGCAGGATTAGTGCCTTTTACGCTTACTTCCCACTCTGAAGTATCTGCTAGTTCTCCCCCTGACCTGCTCTTCTCCATATTGAAACTTGAGATGCTTGTGCCTTGGGCATCGGCCGGTTCCATTTGGCCATGAATCGTGTCTATTGATTCATTTGAAGCTCTGTAGCTCTTATCTCCCATCGCCCTGTCGTAAATGTACTGAGCAATCGCTTGGTGCCCTGCTCGCCTTGCACGTTGATAAGGCGTTAGGAGACTTCGGTCTCTGACCCGGAACGGAACCCCTCCCTCAATAAGTATTTTGACAATATCGATTTCATTGCAATCGATAGCATAGCTAAGTAATGGTAGAAGCCAACCACCTTCGGGGTTTTGGAAAGTTGCGTTATGTCGGAGGAGCAAAAAGGCACAGTTTTCTCTAGCCACCTGCTCTGCAGCAGACATCAAAGGAGTTCTTCCCAGGAGATCTTCCTCATTGATTTCGCACCCGTTTTGGAGTAGGAACTCTATAGCTTCGAGTTGGCCGAAGTAGACTGCAATGTGCAAGGGCGTGAATCCCCAACGGTCCTTAGGCCCGATACTAGCCCCCCTTTCGAGGAGAAGACGCATGTTATCTAGGTAGGTACCTATATGTAGTAGTCCCCCTCGGTATTCTTAACCATTATTTTCGTAGTAGCAGGTAGTAAGTTGCGATGCATGTACGGATTACGATTTAGTTGGTTGCAATTAATCTTATTAATCAGCGATTGAAGGTAATTGCTTAAAAAGGGGCTGACTTCAACCATTCCTTATAACAGGTACCTAACTATCTCCTAGGTAACTAAGTATAATCACTTCTTAGTATCATCGGCAAGTGAGCATCTTGAATTAATAACAACTAAAGCGAAGACTATGGCAGTAAGATCAATGATGCGCCTGATATTCCGAAACTTCACGGTATGATGGCTTCCATGTATGAATAAATACCTTGCGATCCTCTTATTCCCTTATGGTATATCCCTTTCCAGATTGGTAGTGTTAAGATTGAATTTTGAATCTTAGACCAAATATCATGACAAGTAGAAAGACGTCGGCATGTAGATCCATCCTAAACTGCGAAAGCTACTCTGGCGCTGCGTTTTGGTGGTCGTTCGTGTGCCTCGGTATCGCTGTTCTTACTTGGCGATTCGCTAGTCGTAGATGACAGACTATGCATTCGTTTTAGGCTTTTATTCATCCTGAAAGGTATAGGGGCGGGCCCGCCTATTGATGTGGTGGCATCTGACCTTACTTTAGCGTCCGGACTACCTGTGATCAGTCCCTCATCAGGATGAAGCTCGCGGCCGGATCCTCTACCAAAGACATATTGCGGAGTTTCCAACATCGCAGTTTGGGCAACACCATCTTCTTCGTCAGGCAAAGGTATTATCTTCGCATTTAGGATCCATCGGTATATAAGTCTATCGTCCAAGATCGACTTGACTTTGCTATGTTCGGCATATGTCATCTCCTTTCGGCGATTTATAATGACCTCCTCGATACTATTTCGTAAAACAAGAGTCTCGACAGACACCGGCTTCTGCTGGCTGATCCGTCGCGCTCTTCCGATAGCCTGCGCCTCGACCTGAGGATTCAATACTGGACTGATGAAATATATTCGCGACGCAGAGCGCATATCGAGACCGAATGCTGCTTGACTTATATCCATCAAAAGAACTCGAAACTTCGGATTGTGTGTAAAAGTAGCAACGTATTGTGCACGCCTGTCTGCACTGAGACCGGCCCTTGCATAGATCAAATGTTGAATCTGTAGCTATAATTCAAGTAAGTACCTAATATACTAATAAGCGGACGGGGAAGCAATATCTTACAATTTCTAGCATGCCAGCCAAGTAATACGCAATGTTTTCGTTGTCATAGAAAACAATGATCTGCTCCTCATCTTGGTACTTGACGATAGAATCAATGAGGTAGGACAACTTAGCCGAAACTGTCGAGATAATTCTAGTCTTCGCTAAAGGCTCCGCAACCTTAACATGACCCCCTAGTTCTGTTCCAATTCCCTGCGCATTCTCGATTACCGGCTGTGTTGCGTTTCCTAGTGTACCTGATTTCGGTATCGCGTGATAATCACCCCCAAGAGCGGTGTTTCCCGCCAAAGCCGAAGCCTGGCTTGGTTGTGTTGCGACGTAACCAGATGCATCCATTGCTGCCATTAAGGCCTGAGAGCGCTCGGCCGCACCTTGTTGATCAAGACGACCACTTTCTATCATAAGTTGTAGAGATGTTGGGGCGTCAATGCAGGGATTTAAGAACCTCTGTAGTGCGTGTACCATCCCAGCATCAGTACAAATTGGTTGGCCACCGGCGTCCGAATCATCAAGCGACCAGTTCTTTCCGCCACCTCCAGGAAAGTTGTCGATATACAACGGCATGGCGTGGAATGTGTTGCTTACATCTTTTAACCGGTTGTTCACAGCGATTTTACCGAAGTCAATTGCCTGTCTCAGTAGGTCCTCGTCTTCGCCGCTGATAGGAATGTCCTTCTTCTCAAGAAAGCCTTCTGCGGTCTCCAATGCTTTCGCGATATCTTCAGCTGAGTAAAACACCCCGCCGAAAAAGCAGGCTTGCCTTAAGTTCCTAACGAGTTGGGCAAGACTCTTACGCTGCCTCTCGTGGAAGAAGTAATCCATATCTGTCCGCTGCGACTGCACTGAGTTGAAAATGATCATCATCGAAAAAAGATTTAGAGACAGCTTATCCTGGAACGAGCCGTCGAGTAACACGATCTTTTCTTCTACTGGGGGGAGGAGTGTGCTGACATCCGGAAGCTGATGACGAATGATCAGCGAATTGAGAGCCGTCCTCAAACAATCTTTACGATTATGGCCCTTGGCGTGCTGCTCTGGATGCATCATATACGTGTTCCAATCCGCTACACTATCGCCAGCCTCGTCCTTCGTATTCGCCCATGGGCGAACCTTAAGATACTTTGCCGCAAGGTTGCCAATTCTCTGTAGGTCCTCCCTTTCTTGTCGTAAGGTAGACTGCACTCTCCCTTTTGTGCTCTCATTATTACTCTTATCTTTCGTCTCAGAAGACTGCTGCTCAATACCATAAAGACCTCTCGAAGGAGTTCCTGTGACGACCCACCGGGCGGCAATCTCAAGACGATCGAGGACTCTCATAACATCGCTCTTCCAGCTCCGACTCTTATTCCCCAACTTGTGGCCTTCGTCAATGATACATCGTTTAAATCGAATGTACTCAAGCGGACAATAAATATCTGAAGTTGGCCCCTCCTTATTTGATCGCTCCCTCTGGATCCACTCGAAGCGACTCTCGGAAAAGATGATCAAATCATAACCTAACAAGGTAGTCACCGGTGGAATAGATTGCTTTTCTACAAGCACTAGTGTGTTTAAACCGGTCGTATGCTTCTTCATTTCATTCTGCCATTGTTTAACAAGATTGTTAGGGACAATAACGAGCGTGGCATGGCTCAGATAGACTTCTTTGGGCGGCACAATTCGAGATGTGGTTCTGTTACTTCTTCTTGGTTCTACTAAGGTGTTCTGTACCTTATATAATGCACGATTTTCCAGCCTGGTCAAGGCGTCGATGCAGTTCCGGTATTCATAACCGAATCGAGTAGCAGATGCTTCGAAATAGGGCTTCCATGCTATGGAATTCTTGTTTGCAGTGGCTGCAGCCATGTCAAGTAAGCTTGCACTTTTTAACCTGGGCGCAACTTCAGCTACAAAGGGTTCTGGAGCCTTTGTCGGTTCACTTTTCGTACACAGAATAAGAGCTAGACATATGAGGGTCTTGCCGGTACCCACTATCGCAATAGTCAGTAATTTCCATTTTAAGAAGACTAACAATGGCTTGATAGGCTGTCAGGGATTTATTCACACTGTCACAGCCTCTAAGGCAGAGGGTTGCTAAGACATTCTCGCTGTACTCACTTTCTTCGGCAAGGATCCCGCCACGCACTCCATCATAATATCTAGGTTCTCTCAAAACAATGCCTGAGACATTATCGAAGTACCAAGGCTGTCCTTCTTGGTCGAGCACTGATCGAAATCGGGGATCGACAATCCTGCCAGGATTTTCTTCGCGTTGAAGCATAAGTGCTGCTGACCTGCCTTGGTAGGGGTAAAGCTTCGTAGTTAGACCAGGAACCTGACTCTCTAGCAAGCACTGCATCCCGTCTCGGGTATCGGGATTAGTTTCCAACTCAGGGAGGGGGTCGGGAGAAGGAACATTGTTGAACATGGTTAAGAGAGATGTGGGCTCGCCATTAGGCAGACCTTCGCTCTGGGGCATTGGCTTCTCATAACTATCTTCCTCTCCATTCCATGATTTCAATGAAAAGTCAAGCTGGGATATAAGTAAGGACGTTGCTCTCATCAGCTCATTTCGAAGATCAATAGTGCTTCTGTCAACATCTTGTGGGAGGATATAAACCCGAATGCGGCTACTGCTATTGACACAAGAAGTCAAACTAAAAGACATCTGAATCCATCGACTTTGCCATGATCCTATAAACGGTTGCAATATAGGTAACTTCAGGAGCGCTTCCTGTGCTTGACTTGGAAGACAGGCAGACTCGGGGATATCATCAAGACGCCGAGAGAAGAACTTCCATGACTGTGAATTCGATATTTTCCAGGATTCGGGTGATATTAAATTGGTATCAACCACGGATAACTTAAGACACCCAGCAGGGATGTATTTGTTGAGCCCTGGGATGTCTATTGTAGACACCATTGTAGCAGTTAGTGATACTGGAGCCGTGTTAGTGAAAGCAGATCTTATCCATGGGTGGCCTTGGTAATGGGATTACGACTTGGAAGGGTGTTTAATCCATATTTAGAGTGGAAGGTTATAAAAATGCTATTATACAAATGTATATAGAGATATATTAATGAATAGGTAAATAAATGGTGATCTAGAAGGAAGGTGCAGTCTTAGTACAGGTAAGATTTATTAGTAAGAAGGAACAGGGGATGTTAAACTGGCAGAACTGAAAGGCAGCTGCAACCCCCAAATCTCCAATCTATGCATTTATTCTAGTACAAAATGCGGCCTAATTTACTATTTTAAGTATATTAAACGGGTTAATTCAGTTATTGTAGTTATTAATATTGCATTATTGGTATGCCTGTATTGCGACAAACTTGGCTTCCGCAATTTTACAATCAGATCAGCAAACAGAATCGAACATATTAACTACCAAAACAACTTAGAATTTGTACACGTAGGACTTGAATAATTTATAACCATGCTGTTTCGGTTCAATATTTAGCTATATGCGGATTATAACTTTTAAGCAATAGGTACAAATAGAACGGCTACATATCAGCCGAGGGTATCGAAGAGTTATGCTATGTAAAAGCCATCGCTACTGTGACTGACCCGATGAACTCTCCTAAATTCAATCCATGGACCATATGGATCAAAGAGTACTATAGTGCAGAAAGGGATCTTCTTTTTTCTCTTCCTCATAATCGTAATCCATATGAAGAACTCCTTGACAATAAAAGACACAAGTTACCAAAACATTATGTCCTAAAAAGGGGAATAAAAATGGAAAAGCTCTCGTAGCCTTGCTCCATGAACACGATGCGCCTATCAAATGGTATAATTCGCAAACGCCTGATCAGATGTGCATTAAGTATTACGCGGATCCGTCCAAACTCTCCAAAACTCGTCTCGCCACCTCTATTTTCCTCCGATACGCCCGATACTCAGCCGTGTTGCGGCTGGATTCAGCCAAACCAAGAACACATCGGCCAAGGCTAGCAACTAGACGCTCAACAAGTATTCGATCATCTTTTTGTAGCATCTCGATCGGAGTTGCTCTACTGTCTCCGCTCTGGCTGCTGGAGGCACTCTCGTTTAGAATAACTTCCGAGATTTGCTTCAACTCCCTGTCCGGCGATTCTCGTGGCGTTAACATGCCACCGTTAACCTTCGGCTTATTCACCAAAGGGAAGCTCCTATGTGTCTTATTCGAGTCTAACGACGATACCGAAGGACGATGCATGAATGCCGCCGCGCTACTCTGCGGTCGTCGGATATCTGAGTGTCTAAATCGAATCTTATCGGAACTAGAATCGCTCGCCTCGGTAGAGAATCCGGCTCGTTTTGCCGTATCTGGCGTATGCGTTCGGGCACGTTTGGGTATTATAACACCGTACTCGCCATAAACCTCCACAAAATGTTCTGTCCTCGTACTCCGACCCTCTGTAGCTGTTGCAAATGAGTCTACGGACGAGATTGAGCCGGTACTGCCTCTGCGAGAATGCCTTCCAATCTTACTGGAAGAGGTCACATTGGTGGATGCAACTGGTCCTCGGGTCGTCTCTACCGAGTCTTCGGAGCTAAAACTCTCGCGGCTGCCCTTGCTTCTCATCTTACTTCGGCTCATACTACCCATTGCACTGTGCAGGAAGAAATGCTCATAGTCGAAAGCATCTTCACGATCCTCATGAGAAACCTGGTTTTGGACGGAATCGTAATACGAAGACGCGCCACTCTCGCTTGCACTATCATCTACCAGGTTCTGTTCGTCCTCCTCTTCTAGCTCCACTTGTTCCTGTTGTTCCTCGTCTTTCTCTGTCCCATCACTGTCATCGTAACCATCCTCTGTCTTCATATCAAAATCATCCTCCACTTGGTTGATTATTGGTGACTCGTTATTCTCAGGTGGATAAGAGCTACTTTCGATACCCTTTGACTGCACTGGAACGATTTCCTCTGTGGAGATCTCCTTCGGGACCTGCGCTTCATCCGTTTCGAGTACCATACGTTTCGCCGCTAAATGCCCCTCGTTAACGTCAATAGTGGAAACATCGTCATTCGATCGCTGCGATTGATAACCGCTATGAACAGAACTGTCGTCCTCATATTGTGCCGTATCAGCATACCACTGATCAACTCGAGCGTGCGTGAAAGGACTAGGCGTTCGCAGGTTCTGGATACTTTGACGCTTTAAGCTATCCGCTCGGGCTTGGTCTCTTAGCGTAGACAGTCTTCCTTTGAGATCTTTCATTTGGTCTTTTAGATCTCGCATTTGTGCTGTCGACGCAGATCGCCGCAGCCCTTTGTCTGTATAAGACCCAAAAGTCGGACTTAGGAACGTATCTAATCTCGAACCCTCCAAACTCGGCCTTGACGAATCTATCTCTTGCGAGGCATCATCCTCGCTTAACGGTTCGAGGGTAGACTCTTTAGCGTAGAAGGATGATTTAGCACCCTCATTGATGTAATCTGCGCTACGAGGGCTGTGGAGGGGCGGTCGATATCCACCCGCTGCGCCCAAGGCACTCGAAGATCTCGGCACAAACACACCCGGCTTGATCACATCAAGGGGAAGAGTAGGGATATTATTCTCGCTAGATACTCTTGTGTGGCCATGCCCACTCTTGCGGCGAGTAGAATCATGATCGCGGTGGATTGCAGTTGTAGGCCGAGACATGGTGGGTGAAGCTGTTGAACCTGAATCAGTGGATATGGTAGGGGAGTGAAGGGTTCGTGCCCGGCTCAAATTTCCTTCCATGGTCTATTATGCGTCAGATAAACAAGATCAACTGTAATTCAAGGATACTTACCGTCAATCGTCGTTTAGCATTTGCCAATATCTGCTCCGCTCTTCGACTCAGCGCAGTTGAGTAGCGCTCCTCTCCAATTCTGGCCCGGACCTCACTACTTGGCAAGACATGTCCCTGAATAGATGCATCGTCGATGTAAGAATCGGCAACACTTTCTTCGTCATCGCCTTGAAAGTTACTGTCGTCGACACTGACAGTGTCGTCAAAGTCGGCAAATAATGTAGCTTGCTCGTGGGTGGTAATAGTACTTGTCGAGTCTATTGATGCTCGCCTATCACGAGAAAGCTTCGAGTCTTTCTTCTTCAGCGTCTCGTAATGCATCATGGATGCCGGTTGTATCGAGTCGTCACTACGCGTAGACCCGGACCGTGCCTTATTCGGAGGGCAGGTGCTCTCAACCTCTGTGACCTCCCCGATATCCGATAGCATCGTCCCGTTTCCATATATGATAGGGGTAGTAGGGGTGACGGGCCCTGTGAAGGCTTGAGGAGTAAGATCAAAGCTCATACTAGCAACTTGTGTGTTCTTCCACATAGTCAAAGGCGATTGTGATCTATCTGGAGAAGAATATGAATCTTCGTAATCTGGCAATATCATATCCGGGTTTGTCAGCGTAGGTGATGCTGGCAGAGGTGGATAAGACATGGAGCCAGATCCCGACCCCGAGGCCTGAGCCTGGGCTGGCGGAGTAGTAACCGTTCGCGTTGGCGACATAAGGCCGGTTAATTATCGTATTAGATATCGTAGAGGTTTGTCGTTTGCGCAGGTCACCAACGGAGAGTATTCGCGAAAAACTCTACGAGGTGATGATTACTAGAGTCTAGTAGAAACAGGTGACAGATTAAGACAGACTGCAGACTGCAGACTGCAATTAGCCGCACCGCCTTTCGAAAGCGGATGCGAGCGTATGAATTAGGTTGATGCCGGTGTATCCAAAGTATACCCCAAAGAGCAAAAGAGGCTGTGCAAATTCGTAACGTTCGTAGGACTCGAGAGTAAATCAAAGCGATATTAGGTTGCGATGGGTATGGAATCACATGTAAAGCCAATTCAGATAGAGTAAGGTTCGTTCGGACAAGTAATTGCGAAACCGCAAAAACCTTAACATGAAATTGAAAATCGGTTGGATCGCTTTAGACGTTATAGGCGAATGCGGCGGTTTGACGAATACCAAGGATTATCATAGCGAAAATGATAGAAAAAGCCAATATCAATATTCTTTTCCAATCCCAATATCCAGAAGTATTAACTGGTATGTTCTTTCGCCCCGAATTCGAAGTGCGCCGATGGTGATAGTGATGGTAATGCAGGTGGTGATGTCTATATCGATCGATTCGAGTGTCCTGTTCCCTGATCAAAATCGTAGTCGCACCGGCATTCTCGTCGGGTGTCAAGAGGGCAATTGTAATTCGGAGTTGCAAGCAAAGGAGAGCGAGGTTATTGGGTTTAACCTAGTAAGTAGGGTAGGTACTATACGTGTACGGATCCGTATACTTCACGTATATTAGCGCAACTACTTTAATTGGACGCTTAATGCTGCCTGTACCTGACCAAAAGCCAAGCTAGCTCTGGGGTGGTCCTAGTTGATTAATTGGCTGTCTAACACGGTGGAGCACACCTGAAATGACGAAGCCTCCTTTTGGTTTTCGGATCACCTAGACCCTAAATTTTGTTAGCATAAGCCGGCGTTACACCTGCCGGCTTTGGATTGCTAGATAGATAGCGAGGGCTTCGTGTTTTTTCAACGCTAAGGTTTTCTATAGTTTAACAAAAGCCGGAAAGAAATTCAAATAGAGGAAAAGGACACCCACATTATTATAATACTATAGCTAGGTATCTAATAAACCAAACAAGACGGCCGCTAGAATACACTAAGGTAGTTGAAATACGGGGACGAAGATTACTTAGGTAGGCTAAAGTGTGCTTGGTAAAAGCTCTATGCATAACAAAATGAATAAACCAGGTTTATTCATTCCATCAGCCCAAGGAACGAGCTTCCATATTCATGCAACCCAGTAAGCTAGGATCCTCAAAATTTTGCAAAAATTCCCGCGACGCTGTGATTGTGAATTAGGGGTAGGAAACAGACGTGCAATAGGACGAAGAGATATGCCATTGACCCCTTGTCACGTTTCAATGCGATATATATGTATGCAGAGACGACAAGGGCCATCTTTATGTAGGTATGTATATGCAAGTAATCTATAATCTGGCACGTACAGTTACTATATTCTACTATGAAGTAAGGGGATCACTGTCACATACCTTATGCAGATACTATGTAGAAAAGATGTGCGACAACGAGGCTCACGAGACCGATCATCAAGATTATGGTGATCAATCTACACTAGGTATTGATAATGCTCATCACGCATTGTCGATTGTCGATGAGACTTAGAAGATGCAGGCATTGAAAAGAAGCCTAGAATGGAAACCGGCGGAACTCCCGACGCGTTGGGACGGACCGCTTGGACGCACTAATAATATCGTACCAATAAATGCAAGATTAGTTCAAGGCTCTTTTTACCTTTACGCAAATCGACATTTGCACTGTTTCATGTTTCATGAGTGGAGAGTGGATATTCAAGACTACGCTACTCTATAAACAGGTGAGATACCTGAAGTGCAACTAGATATCGCTTTAAGAGAGGAGTTTATATAATAAATTTCCGAGTGGAGCTAAACTGTAAGCCCCATATTTACTTGACTGTAGGAATTTTCACAGCAATTTTCACATTGATCCAAGTTTGACCTCTTCTCATGATTTTTGTATAAGTCCCTTCTATCGACTTAAATAGGTCATAACTTGCTACGATCTACTCGATATGCTAAATAGAACATATCATGTTCCATGCTAGCATAGGCAATGAAGAGCAAACACTAATTCGATGAGGTTGAAGAATGTTGCTGATCTAATAATATTGCTGTGTTGGCTCCTTATGGTTCATCACCGACGAGCATCTTGACCTAACGTATCTAGGATAGGTACTCACGAACTACCAACTACCAACTCACATTCTTTCTAACGTAAGTACATTCTTAAAGTCATCTGATTTTACCTCCTTCTTTAATCACTAAGTGATGAGCAATACCAAGAATTCTGCAATGCTTAATAGCGGCCTTTCCAGGCTTGCTAATCTGTCGAGACTTTCTTGCCTGATAGTGGTATCCGTCAACATATGAATCATATTATTATAATATTGATTAACTAACCATAATAATAGGTCTCTAAGGGTGTTGAGCTATTGAAAGGTGAGAAATTGGAAACATATACAGCATAAGTCAACTCAAGTAGCGATTAAGCCCTTGAAGATGTAGGTCTCTATTTCAATAAAACAAAACATTAGGAAATTCTCTAAAGACGTGCAAATGGCAACGGGCGTGAACAAAATAGTAGAGAAAAGAAGTAACGAGAAAAATGTAGCCACCAAGGGAATCGAACATTGATACTCAGAGGTAAATGTACAAGTTGAATACACTACTAGAACACGGCTAGTGTGGCCTTTGTTAAATCTTTGGAAGTACAGTTGTTATTATGGCCTATATGCACAGGTAGGTAGGCATGTACAAACATTTAACTACCAATATAATATGTGATAGAGAGGTGTTTGTCATTTAGCGTTTACCATTGTAAATAACAACAGTATTCTAATATGAGCAACAATCCCAGTAACGCTCCAAATCCCTTTCCACCCTACCCTTCTGAATTTACGTGTTAACAGGAACAACGTCCGGGTACCGGCCGCCGCTAGGCTTGAATTTAGAGAGCGTAGTATCGATCTGAGCCATCTCCTCGTCCGAGATATCTACCTGTACGCCGTTCTCGTCGATACGGGCCACCGTCGTGGCACCAGGGATCGGGATAATGGTCTTAGGGGCGCCTTTACGCCATGATGACAAGCGAATGGTCCAGTTGATAGCTAGCTGGGCTGGTGTCACACCCTTCTTCTTGGCCAGCTCCTCGACCTGTGACGCCAGCTGCAGATTGACCTCGAAGTTGCCCGGCTGGAACCACGGCCAGGACCGGAGCTCCGGCTTCACGTCATCTAGCGACTTTATCTGGCCTGTCAAGAAACCTCGGCCAACGGGCGAGTAAGCGATTATCGGGATATCGTACTGTGCGCATGCGTCGGCTACACCGTTGTCGAGGATTTCCCTGCTGAATCTTCATGGGCCAGTTAGCTCACTGTTTCTGTTACGCTTCTGAGGAACATCTTGGTAATATATTGGCAGTGTATACTTACAGCGAGAGTTCGACCTCAACCCCCACGATCTTTGTTACCTTCACGGCCTCATGGATCGTCTCAGCTCTAACTTCGGAAAGCGAGATGCCTCCAATCTTACCCGTTTGGATATCTAATACATGTTAGTATGTTAGAAACTCTAAATGTGTACAGGGGTAGTTAACAGAATTGCCGATTTGGAAGCCGGGAGGTAAGCAAAAATATAAAAGGAGGTCGAAGACTTACACTCCTTCTCGATAACTCCAAAGGTTACACTTAAAGGCACCTTGGGGTCACGGCGTGCAAACTCGAAGATGTCAATCTTCTTGCGGCCTTTGAGTTGGGCAATACAGGTGTCGATAGACCGACGAGTGCCCTCCGGTGAACCATCAGGTCCAAGTCCGTTGGGGTCCATGCCGCCTTTGATACTAAGCACGACCTTTTCGGCGTCCTCGGGGTACTTCGCGAAGTAACGCTCCAGCAGTACGAGGGAATTTCGTTCGAGCGGTCCGTAGAACTCGCCACCGTTCCAGAAGTTCATCCCATTTTTCAGCGCGGCCTTCAACGCTTCGAAAGCCTTCTCGTCCGAGACGGGTTCCGTCCTCCAGGTCAGGCCCATCAACCCGTACCCCGTAGGTCCGATTTCTTTTCCAACTAGCGTAGGCATATTTGCTGTTTCGTCTGTTCTTTCTTTTAGGGAATGTCGACGAGTTTCTCAAGAGCTTGTAGGTTAACTGTGAAGGTTCGTGAGTTCGATATGGTTTGAATCTTGTCGAGTCATTGCGGCGGCGAGGCCTTATATATCAAACGTACCTGCCTTCGGGACATTGAATAGATTCATACCTGGCGCAATATGGTAATAGTGATGGCGTGTGCATGCTACGTCAACGGTACGGTTTTTGCGGGACGGCTTTAGCATCTCGGCTTTCTAATACCTCCATACGTAAAACCCCGACGATTCTAGCCCCTTACTCTAGAGTGAGAGCTGATCAAACTACGCATTTTTACAGATATTAAGCTTCCGTAATGTGTTCTAGTTTGCTAAGTTGGTCACATAGATCATACCGAAGATCATGCACCCTGACCACATGCAGTTACTGCATATGGCATCACCACCACGATGGTCCTTGCGGCTTTAAGAGAGTGGGATTATTCATCACTACATGCGGTACCTTTACATGCCTATCAACCTATTACTCAAATATTATCAAGCCCCAATTTTACAAAAGTTCCTATGAACCTTTTACCGACTTCGCACTAGAAGGTACCTAGATATATCGATATGAGACCATCCCAAATACTCGAGTATGTTTTGTCAACTTGTTCGGCGTTAAGGATGTCGGGCCCCGACCACGGGTTAACGGGAACCGGAGACTATAGATCCTATATACGGTTTAGCCATAACCTTAGCTACTATAGTTGACTTGAACCTTCAATATAATCACGTAATGTTAATATGTAAGGTTACGCAAAATACTCTTCTCAGAGTCCTCATCGTTCAAGTGATCCAGGGCGTACGAAGATCGAATACCTTCTTTGACTACTGTGTATAACATCATAGGTTAACCTTTATTGGTTCAGAATGTTCTAAGTTCTGCTCTGAGTTTTGAAGCCTAGTATATAAGTAACTGAGTCTCATGTGTATGGTCTAAGTAGTAATCACATGAAAGAAGTGTGTACTAATATAATGTGAGGTAGTAATATATCCAATGATATTCCTCGTGAATCCGACTATGGACGAATTTTACGCCGACGGGGTTCCGAGATCCACACTGGGGCCGCCGTAGGGAATCTATGTATAGCTCATTTTTTCTGCATACCCTGTAAATATTGCTGCCAGCCCACAGATTGTATCCTCTCGTCTTTAGCTAGCACCTCGTTTTTCATATTGTCCTGGTAGCGTTTCATGCGCTCCGCATATTCTGGATATGCGCTACCTAAAATCCGGATCGCGAGCAGCGCGGCGTTGGTTGAATTCCCGATTCCGACTGTAGCGCAGGGTATGCCCCTTGGCATTTGGACGATGCTGTGCAAACTATCGACACCATCCAACACCGACGCCTTCACAGGAACGCCTATTACTGGAATATGCACCTCAGACGCGAGCATACCCGGCAAGTGTGCAGCACCCCCTGTTTCCGATATTAGTAAAGATCCCATTCGGTGATTTCGGTGGACGATTAGGGATGATGAATGATGAATATGTAGGTTATACTCATTAGTTCTGCCAACTAAGGCAGGTTTCACACATCGAGAGTGGTTTATAATAAACACGAGAAATTTTCTAGGTACTAACCTGCTGCCGCAATGATAACCTTACAGCCAGATTTTGACATTTCCGCTGCGAATTTCATCATATGATGTGGTGTTCGATGCGCCGATGTTATACGGACTTCGTAAGGCACATTGAACTCATCTAAAATCTTCAGACCGGCTGTCATGGTGGTTAAATCCGAATCGGACCCCATAGTTACAGCAACTAGAGGGACGGCTTTCGCTCGTGGCGCTTTTGTCTGCGCTGAGCTCTTCGAGCCGATACGTTCAGCTCGAATCTCATCCATAGCACTGATGAGAGGGGTTATGGTCTCAGCTAGACGTTCAACGGAGGAGAACCCCGTGGCGGTTATATGACCAATTTTCCGCCCCGGCTTCGATTCCTTCCCGTAGAGATGTACATATACATCCGTGAATTCATCATACGCGCTCTCAGCAAGCTCCACGAATCTATTGTGAGAACTCGGCTGAGCACCGCCAAGAACATTAAGCATAATTGCGGAAGACACTCGCGCGTTGAGATTTGCGCCTGTCTGCGGGATAAGGTCTAGTATGGAGTATAGTTGAGCCTTATATTGTGACAGTTGAGGTACGGCTTCGACTATAAGGTTCATAGTTAGTAACCACTCGCTAGGAAAGCCCTGGGGGAGAGTAAGGCTAATAAAGGGAGTTTAAAAAGCTTCCAGGAGTGAGTAGCGGATAGGAAATGCATACTAGTAAAATGACCAGAGTTATGCGGACGAGGAGCGACTTCGTTCACCAGAATCTGGCCGTCAGCAAGTAAGAACATCTCTACTGCGAAGACTCCTCGACCCCAAAGACTAGCTATGACATCGCTTGCTACATTTTGCGCTCGCTTTTTGACGTCTTCTGGTATGCTCCGTGGCGGATAGAACACCTTGGTGCATATGCTATCTTCGTGTATAGTCTCAACGACTGGATACGGATAGACGTGCTTTAAGTTGCCGTTGTCATCCTCTGTCCGTAATACCATGACTGAGAGCTCCATTTCGAAAGGCACCCACTTTTCCGCATATAACGGCTGGTCTCCCATCTGCTCTGCGACATTCTTCAAATCTTCCGGACCGCTAACTTTGAAGTTTCCACGGCCATCGTACGAGCCTTTACTGCCTTTTAACATAAAAGGGAATCCATACTTCCAAGCTGCCTCATCCAGAGAATCGGCTTTGCCCTCTCCAGACTCTATAGCCATCTGTTCAGTGACGGGAATACCATTTTGAGCAAAGTATTCCTTCTGGCGATACTTGTCTTGAATTAAGCGTATGGTCTTCCATGACGGATGCACAGGTACTTTCTTCAATATTGTACCATTCCCATCAGGCGAAGGCACCTCTACACCTTTCGTTGCTATTTCTTCTAGCACCTCCGTCTCCACATGCTCGATCTCAACCGTGAGGAAGTCAACACGGGATGCTAGGAGTTTGATCTTCTCCGCGTCCTTGAAAGATCCAGTAACGTGAAGACTGCTCTGGTTAATCTGTTTTGCCGGGCAATCTTCAGCATCGAGGATAGCAATTGGTATTCCTAAGGGTCCAGCCGCTTCGCAGAGCATACGTCCAAGTTGACCACCCCCTAAAAGCCCAATAACAGGCTTCTTTGCTGCCATTATAAGAGAAAGATATAAGAGATTGGGATAATTAAGCGTCACTTATAAGTGATGAATGAAAAACTTCTTCCCCTTAAGAAAGTAAACTTTCCAATGATTTATTACAAGGGCTTAATTGCATATTTCAGCTTGCTACCCCTCCATCCCACGTAGGTACCTAACCCCACCAAGATCATATCTCTTTTTGACTTTTACACTTAGCTTCAGATTTCAACTATACAAGAACATACATTATATTATATATCAGCACATACCAGCGTAATGCAACTCCAATTCATAAATCTGTAGGCCATGATAAGATTTTTGACATTTGTATATTAGAACCGCGCCAAAAATTGCAACACTATTGGAATATAACCACACAAAATATATCTGTCGCAACATGTTCCACCTCCAATCCCAACACGTACACAGGTGACCAAGATGGACTTACAAGAAAACGGAGGTCAGCTCCTCCAGCCTAAGATCCAGTACGCCCCTATACTACCTCCTTTCTAAATCCGATCTAACATATCTCCCTAGCCCTCTCAAGCTCTTCGATGCAGCCAGATCCCAGAAACGACTCCTATACGCCTGCGCGCCCATGGTGCGGTACAGCAAGCTCGCCTTCCGGCAGACGGTGCACCACTTCGGCACGGACCTATGCTGGACGCCCATGATCCTAGCTAAGGAGTTCAACCGGAGCAGTGTGGCGCGCGACAGCGACCTAACCGTCTCGTCGACCGGCGCCGAGGTCCCGACCATAGCCCAATTCGGCGCCAACGACCCCGTCGAGTTGTCTCGCGCTGCCTCCCTCGCCGCCCCCTTCGTCAACGGCGTCGACCTCAACTGCGGGTGTCCCCAGAGCTGGGCCTGCGCCGAAACCCTGGGTGCCGCGCTGATGGGCCGCCGCGAGCTGGTGCGCGATATGGTGGTTGCGACGAGGGAGCGGCTCGCGCGCGACGGGTGGGATGTAGATAGTTTCGCCGGTGCCGATTCCGATGTTGACGGTCGCGTAGGCCGTAGCGTCAGCGTTAAGATTCGAGTACATAAGGACCTGCGGCAGACAGTAGACTTTATCACTACTGTCTTAGGGGACGAGCACCACCGGAACATCGACTGGCTTACCATCCATCCGCGCACGCGCAACACTCCTAGCAGTATACCCATTAATGTCGAGGCGCTCGAGATGCTCACCTCTATGTTTGGCACGAAACTGCCAATCCTCGTATCTGGCGACGTTTTTACCTTGTCTACACTCCCGTACACCTCTCACCTCCTAGACCCCCAGCCCACATTCACTACCTCTAGCGATTCGTCCCTCGATACCACTGGGAACAACTCCTCCAAGCCAAAACTCCACTTACCCAACCTATCCGGCCTCATGTCCGCACGCGCACTTCTCGCAAACCCGGCGCTCTTCGCCGGGTACAACGCCTGTCCCTGGGAAGCCGTCGACGTATTCATGAACAATGTGGCACGAGCACCGCTACCCCTTAAACTAGCGATACACCATCTAAATGAGATGTGCGGGCCAGGCTTCGGCCCGGACCGTAACGCCGCCCTACTATCGAAGAAGGAACGCATACGTCTTAACGAGATAAGTAACTGGATCGACGTGATTGACTATATGGACGAGATCAAGAGTCAGCGTGGAGGGAAAGGCGGCGTCGTGCGATTTACTTGAACATTTGGGCGGTCTAAAACGGATAGATAGGATAGATACATGTACATTTTTCGGAAGGAATCGATACCCATTATGGCGGATGTTGCTCTATAGCAACCGAACACATAGTAAGCATAGCATTAATAAACTTGAGCATTTGAACAAGATGAAATACGATGATTATGACTTATGCATTCAATAGTTCGAAGCCTATCAAAAAGTCCGGTATCACTTAGCCACCCCTTCCCCCTAAGGAGATAGATACCTCTGCTACAAAGCCCCTCATAATGCAATGCACCTTATGCGTCCATTCTACTGTACAACAACCTGACTGTAGAACGTAATGTAACAGAGGTATCGTAGACCTAACCTAGAAGAAAATAAAACGGCACCGCGCCGCCCCCTCGCCTCGAGAGAAGTCAGAATGTGCCGTGATTAACTCCGCTGTTGCCCTTGAGCCGAGAACGCCGCATGCAGCCTTAAGGCTCTTGTAGGAAACAAGAAAAAAAAGGAACCAAATCAGGTATTTCCGAACGTATTGCCTTTTGCTCCCTTAGACCGGCAGATTTATCCCTATAACCTTAACCAGTGCGTGAATCATATTACAGGTTTGGTGGTAGTAATAGTAGAGACCGAAATCGCGCCGGCTATCCAAATGTAGAAATCTGAACCGGAATAGGTAGGCCTATTTCGTGATATAGCGATTTGGAAAATAGCTGGGTTCCATGATACCCGAAAACGCGTAAAAAGCGTCTTAAACGTTATTCATCGTCCGATGCTGCATATCCTGAGTCGGATTCACCTACTCCCAAGGCTACGGGCTCGGGTTCAGGCTCAAACTCAGACTCAGACTTAGGTCGTTCTACCTCCCCTTGATTATCTCCTTCCGACTCTTCGTCCTGGGATGATGTAGTTCCCTATTCATACACCTCACCCTCGTCGTCATCCGAGCTAAGACGTTGCCGTTTCGTGTCCCGGCTCTCTGGTGCGAGCGATTCGACTTCTTTCCGCTTAGTGCCATTAGTCCCTGGGTGGAGACCAGGATTATTCGCTGCTTCCTTTAAGACGACGTCCGAATCACCCGGGGCAGCCTGGGAGGCAGACTCGGCAGCAGCCGTGTCGATTTCCCTTTCTGCTGCCGCTTCGTCAACACTGCTAACTTTGCCTCTGGGGCTCTGAGTAGCACTATCGGTTCTAGGGGTGCCATTAGTTGAACGTATATCGATGTCCTCGCCTCTTCTTCGAGTACTATCGAGAATAAAGACAGGAGACTGCGAATATGGATTCTCCTGCTTGCGTAGGGGATTCTCGATGTAGAAATCTTTGAGGACAAGTATTGCCTTCGCACAGTTATCCTCGTTGCCATTTAGCGCTTTCCACCATGCCTCGCCGTTCATGTCTTCTATCCGCTCCCCAGTGAAAACGCTGGAGAAGAAGATAGCTGCGATGGCGATATCCCGCGCGTCCATGAGAAGTGGTAGGGTGGTTAGGCACGAGTCGTTTAAGAAAGCCCAAGCGGCATGTCGCAGGTTCTTATTGTGAATCGACTGTAATTGACCAAGGAAGTCGTATAACTTAAAGTGCGGGCTTTCAATCATGAGGTCGAAGGTTAAGTTCTCGAGCATAACCTCCTCAAACATGAGGATACTGTCACGCCATCTCCAGTATTCTTTAGACTGCTCATCTACGATAAGCTTAACATTCTTCTGTGCGACTTTTGCAACTGCGATAATAATGTCTTTAGTTTTGCGGCAATTCTCTTCCGTCTTGTTCGCTAAGAAAAGCGCAGTCGCAGCGATGTTCTGTACCAGACACGATTAGTTATGTCTTTTTTTTGTCGGATGGTTTGGCTTGGTTTGTTGGTAGACTCACATAGTGGTGTATCCCATGTTTTTCCTCAACCATGCTGCATCTCATGAAGAATCGGTGAAAGAACACGCCGGCAACGTAGAGGGTAGTCTGAGGAAGTTCGAGCAGAATGCCAGCTTGGTATATAAAGTTGACGCCTTTTGCTCGCCTTAACCTCTCCTCTTGTGGCGACAATCCATCCAAGATGCTAGGGCTGCTAAGAACCTCGTCCTGACTAAAATACCATTGATTTGGCATGGTGAGGGGTGTTCTGGTTGCTGAGCGGGTAGGAGATGGCGCGCTTCGTCGCGACTGTGGTCTTGGAGGAGATGTGCGCGAAGAGTTCGTAGGTGGTGAAGGAGCCGGGGGAGGAATGTCGCGTCTTCTAGATGGCGACTTTGAAGAACTATTAATACTGGTTTTGCTAGAAGGTGCAGGTGGAAATTGATATGATTCCCGTTGAGGAGGTCGGTATCGATCGATGCTCGCCATTGCGTTGTGGCCCGTGGCCCGTGGATTGTGGGGAGTTGAGCGAAGCAATTGAAAGCTTCAAAGTTCCTACGGCGATTCAAACCTTAGGTAAGTCGCCTAAAGGAACCCTTTTTTTAAGTAGTGTTAATTAACGAAATCATCTCTTCTGTTGTTTCTTATTGTATTTTTTTTTTTTTTGAGAAAAAAAAAGTTGAGATTCTGATAGATACCTACGCAAATGTAGAAGTAAAAGAAATAATTAATACAAAGAAATAAGTTGGATGGTAGGATGGCATGGCAAGATGGAGATGGTAATCTGAATGGTTGCTATCAGATCGCCCTTGCTTCTCAATCGGATTCGTTACTGAACCCATAGGCGTGGGTCTAACCAATCCTTTGATATGAGGTAGGTACCTCTTACTCTTATACACTTTAAGGTTGGTACCTGATACAGTATGTATATACGTTATACACAGTATATATACGGTACATAGTATGTTAACGTCTTGCTCTGGAAAAGCACATCGTCTTTCTCCTCGATATAGCAAGATCATTTTATTGGGTATCTTCCGAGCTTTACTTGTATTTACCTTCCGTCCTTAACTATTCCCCCAATACAATTTACAATTTACTAAATTCCCTCTCCATCATTTCGACCCCACAACTTAACTGTTCTATCGTGTCCACCACTGACTATCCATCTCGCATCTCTGCTAATATCTACACTCGAAACTGGCCCAGTATGTCCTTCCAAGGTCTGTATGAGAGTCCAGTCATCGGCAGAAAAGATGTTAACCTTACGGTCAAATCCGCTGGAGACAAAGAACGTGCTCGACTTCTTAGGGAGCTGGTTTCCCTTCTCGTCGAGGCCTGGAGGGGTACCTAGGATAGGATCATCTAACCCCTTGTACCATCTGAGGTCCGAAACTGCACTGGTATGAGCTCCAATACCGCCGGTCCTTTGGACCTTCCTTACGTCCCAGCATTTGATCCAGCCGTCTGCCGATCCGGTCAGAACTCGATAACCATCTGAGCCCCAATCGATGCCATGGATAGGTTTGATGTGCCCGTCTCCGTGTCCATCTAGAATCATGACTGTTCTTCCAGACCTCAAGTCCCATATTCTACCGATGCTATCTAAGCCTGCACTAGCCAGTAGCGAACCGTCAGAATTAAAGCTAATAGCAAAGACACCCCTCGAGTGGCCTTCTTGTAGTAATAACTCCGTTGTCGACTCGACATCCCATAAGCGCCACGTAGTGTCTTCTGATGCTGAAGCGAGATACCGCCCTGAAGGGTGAAACTCGACTCGACATACTCGTTGACCGTGTCCTTCTAGTGTTGAGAGCGGCGTGTCCTTGTTTAAAGACCAAAGGTTTACCTGGCCCTCAGCTCCTCCTGAAGCCAGATTAACCGATTCTGGCGAAACATTATTTTCGGCAAGAGTTGCGCCAGGAAACCACGAAATACCACTGACTCTGTTGGTATGCCCCCGTAACGTCATCTTCTCCTCCAACGTCGGTATTCCGATCAGCTTGATAGAGCCTCCCCAATTTCCGGCAGCAATAAGCTCGCCATTAGGAGATATTCTCGTCATACTGACGTTCCTATCTCCTGCGGTCTGGCTGCCTTGCAATTCGAATGCTTGTAGGCGCTCCTTGATCTCTTTGCGAAATTTGACGTGCGTTCGTAAAGGTATAGATGCTTCCTGCTTTTGAAAAGATAGCCTTTGTTTCGCCCGTGGCAGGGAGAAACGGGCAATATCTTGCCGCGTCCGTAACAATTCATCGCTACCGGTGGTGTAGAATTCCTCTTCTTGATCTTCCTGGTCCTCTTCTGGCGCATCTTCCATAGCAACATCTGGTGATTCTGTAGGTGCTTGTTCCGCCTGTAGGGTCAAGAGTTCTCTTAATCTGTCTCGTCGGTCTGCTGGGCCTTCGGCAAAAAGTGTGATAGGCTCCCCAAGTTCCCGTAGCCTAGCACGTACTCGGCCATCATCTGTAGGTACTGCCATTGTTGCTGCTCGCCTCTTCCGTTCAAACTGGGACAATATAGCTGATGCTTTCTCCGGCGCAATGCCGGCGGCTGCCGAGGGAATGTCATAGTCGCGATCTACGGGGACCTCGTCCAAGGTCATACCACGATCCTAACGAAGAAAAGACGTTAACCAAACGTCAGCGCGAAAAGACATTGGATATGCAAACTTACATCTTCCGCCTCCTCCACATACGCCTGTCGCGCCGGGTGCATCATGATGGGCAATAGGTCACAGGATGTTGGGCTTGGATCTGATGCGCGTACCTACTCGAAAACTTGGAACGGTAGTAGTATAACGTATCGCTTGATAATCGAAGAGTTTCGGTCCCCTATAGAAAATGTATCCACATGTCTTCCGTAGATTGATAGCTTTTTTGCGAATTCTTCAAACCCGCGTTGAAGGTGAATATAAAAGTGGAGAAACACGCTATCAGTGGTCAAAGCTCCAAGTTTTTAGCTTTAAGCTTCAAGCCGAATCCGTTTGGAATTTGTACATTTGTAACCTACATTTGTACGTAAAAGGTCAGAAGACAGCAGTTGCTTCCCAATTTTGACTACATTCTAACTATTACCCAAGTTTATCCATTTCACGATCTTTAAAGTATCACATTTTATATTCAAATAGACTTACCCCTTTTTCCAAGGCTGACTTGAAGCGGGTTATTAAATCAGTCATACCTACTTGTTTTGCGAATTAAACAGGGCGATTCACGTACTAGTTATTCTTTGTGTTGAAAACATCAATACTATTCCTAAAACACTGGACTTGGATTGGAATTCTTTGTTTTGACCCAACATTGTAATATTATCCATCTTTTAGGTCTCCAAAAGGCACATGCAGCATACCGATCTATCCTAATGCTACGTTTCAAATAATGCCGACTTGTCCTGCAGGTTTCCCTGTAGGACATAATTACCTTACTGCAAGTTATAACTCGCTTACAATACTCTGCCCCTTGAGGCGACTTTTTACCGATTCTAACCCTCTTCACATTACCCAACCGCAATATCAAAGTACGAGTCATCATTTTACCTATTAACGGATCTGTATCCACAATCCTCTGTATCATAAGATGAGCAAGCACACCAAGCCAATGTTGGTAATAATTTGCTTTCAATGTCTCTCATATTGTCGTAGCGCAATATGACAAGTAATTAAAATATCTACGATTATATAACGATAGTACTTTACAAAATGTATACAGTTGCTATACAGTTGCTATACATACTGTATTAATATTCCGTGTGCGTTCTTTGATTTAGTCATCCTATTGGTTCAAATGTTATGGCAAAGGTTGCAGGAAAAAGCATAGTGCCTGACAGTCAGCTTATATTTGAATGGCAGAATGGCTAATCGCGGGAACGCGGGACATGGATTAGTGGTGGTAGGTACCTAGGTATCTAGGTAGGATGGTAGGGTGGATTAATGGTTGGGGCACCTGAACAGCCTGAAGGAGCGTACTAGGAAGTGCTAGGGCGTACTGGGGGTCTGGGGGTCTGGTGTCCGCTTAGCCTGACTAACCCCCCTTGACTACCCTTAGCACGGGGCTTTCCAATCTGCACAGCTGAAAATAGAAAAGATTTGGTTGGCTTGTGAAAATTTGAGGTCCGCTCACTACACCCCGCCCGTAAAAGAAAAAAAAAACCCTTGTTGTAGGCAAGAAGTCGTATAATTCCATTGTCTTAGAGCAGGTGGTGGCCTTATTAACAAACACCTGCCCTGTTCGGCTTTCACTTCCTTTTACCTCTTCAACTTTTCTCAACCACCGCCATACGGTGAACCCATATTTTACACCAAACAAATCTAAGACGCCTCCGCGCGATTAATTATTCGACTGCCAATGCATCAGCAAACCGATTCCGACAGTTTCTCTTCGTCATTAGTCCGTAGCCAGATGCTCGCCCGGACCCTTCAGCCAGCGCATCCAGATTACCTTTGCGAAGCACGCGCCGACGCCGAGCGACGACGTGGCTCCCGCCTACCTTGAATAGGGGCGGGTTGAGAGAGTCATATCGACGGACGACTCTATTTTACTATTCCTTAGTTAATTAATTAAATATTATCAAGGATCCAAAACTTCTTCACCATGTTACCTCCCGCCGCTCCAGCCCTTAGCACCGTTCGCGGGTTCGCGCACACCCCAATAATGTCCGGCGACGAAGATTCGGATCACTGCCAGACGCCACCTTTATCTGCGCGACGTGGCCGCACCTCTCGTCTTGACGACGTTGTTAGCGCCAACTGTAGCCCTATACTTCGTGGTCATAACTCTCCTGCTATCAGCGGCATCGCTAAGCTGCGTATGCAGCTAGAGCCCCTTAGTCTAAGCGGCTCTCGCTCCAGCTCTATGGTTCGAACTCGAAGTAATAGTCGCCGCCGCTACATGAGCGGAACCACCAGCCAAATGGGTCGTAGTGACGACGAAATTTCAGAGGGTGGATCAACCAGTTACGAAGTCCAGTTAGAGCATGACTTCGTGAGTGAAAGCGTGCACGAGAAGAGATATGGCGCGATTGAAGGTGGGCTAGTGCCCCGAAAGATGCAGGCCGACGACTTCGAGACATTGCGTTGTCTTGGAAAGGGCACATACGGAACCGTCTTACTAGTTAAGCAACGTACTACAGGTCGGCTTTATGCGCAGAAGCAGTTCAAAAAGGCTTCTGTTGTCGTACACAAGAAACTTATCGAGCAAACAAAGACAGAAAGGCAGATACTCGAGTCCGTCAACAGACACCCCTTCGTTGTCAAGCTATTCTACGCCTTTCAGGATCAAGAGAGGCTATATCTTATCCTCGAGTATGGGCAGGGTGGAGAACTATTCACTCACCTCAATACCGAAAAGATGTTCCCCGAGCCAGTTGCCGCCTTTTACATGGCAGAAATGGTTCTGGCTCTATCTCATCTCCACGACACGCTCGGTGTAGTTTATAGAGATTTGAAGCCGGAAAACTGCCTCTTAGACGCACAAGGTCATCTCCTGCTAACAGACTTTGGCCTGTCTAAGGTAGCGGTGGATGATGATAGCTGCAAGTCCATACTTGGAACAGTTGAATACATGGCTCCGGAGGTCGTCTTGGGTCAGAAATACGGCAAAGCCGTCGATTGGTGGTCGTTTGGTGCGCTGGGTTACGACCTTATGACGGGTAACCCACCCTTCCGCGGCGGCAATCACGCCAAGATCCAGAACAACATCGTTAAACAGAAGCTTGTCTTGCCGTATTTCCTAGGGCCTGACGCCAAGGATCTATTAACAAGATTTTTGAAGAAAGATCCTACGAAGCGCCTTGGCTCGAACATGCCCAAAGACCTCCTAATCATCAAGAAGCACAGGTTCTTCCGGAAGATCGATTGGAAGAAGCTTGCGGCCAGGGAAATAGAGCCACCAATCCAGCCGATGATCACGGACCCTGAGCTGGCAGAAAATTTTGCTCCCGAGTTCACCGATTTACCTCTAAGCCCTATCTTGGCCAAGTGTCCTTTGGATGATATGCTACTAAAGGATAGCTTAAAGGAAGATCCCTTTGGCGGATTCAGCTACGTGGCTTCCAGCAGCCTGCTAGATGACCATGGGTTTATATTTGTCGAAGCCTAAGCATTATCAGCGACACACAGCTTCGAATGTAAGCAGAGCGGGGGGCGTTATAGAAAAGATTGTGATTTGAAGCCGGCTTATATGCTGTTTGACTAACAGAAGGGATAGGAGGAGATGGGTTTTTAAAGCGAGGGCTTAGCACTACAGTTCTAGACAGGTGCTTAACGAATTCGAAGTGCGAATGGCGTTCAGGAGGCCTCAACTAGACGACAGCAATTGATCCTTTGCTTACCATCTGTGACAGGGTCTGCGTGATGTTACAACTAATGTGGACACTGCCACGGCGGGAAAAAGATTATTGCAAATTGACGTATTCGGATCAAAATGAAGCCTATGTCTGATACTTTCTTACATGATACTAACACCGTTTGGTCTAGGATAGTGACCGAAAACGTCCAACTTATTCAAAAGACACACAAGCGCATAGCCCCGAATATTACACCGCTATAGTATGTTGCGAATCAAGCCGCCTTCACGTCGCCCAAATAGATGATATCAAAGGTTAAGCGAGTCGGTTTGCATCTATAGTAGCCTTGGTCATGTTAATAAATAACTTTTTTACTACCGTGGTCCAGGTGAAGGTGAGTATTGTGCAGAAAGGTAGATAGAAATTGATTACAATACACGAACTTGAAAAGTACATACTCCATCCATCTGGTCAAGCTTCTATATACCGTCGTAAGCCTCATAGAAAGTAAATAAACAATATACACCTTATACCTTATACCTTGTATGTTAATAGATTAGCTTTAAGATCCATAGATGAACCCTACCTAGGTACCTAGCCGACTTAGCCGACTGCGGTACTCGAAACCAACGTGTCTCAATGTTGTTCGTCTATTCATAAGCACATCCTATCCAATAGTTATATCCGTAGTTGCTGACGCGGTCGCTTCCAAGTCATTAGTTAACTTGGTAGAATAGGTTATCTTATATGAACTAGGAATCCCCTGGGTCTTAGCTCGTGGGGTTGCATGCAGTCAATATGGTACCGCGTCCATGGCTAGGGGCCAGGGGCTGTGGGCTATAGATGGGAATACTACGGGAGCGTCTCGGATAGATAGAGTTTTGCTGTCTATTCGTTTACCTTGTTTGCATAGATGCTTGATCCTCGTTGTTGGTCGAGAATGGTGACACTACTATCCAGTGATAGACGATTATATACTGCGTCTTATTTAACACGTGGGAGATATTTTCCTCTTACGCGAAGTTATGTTGGTATGTAAAGTCTTATCTCATATCATCTAAAATAATCATCGCTTGGACTAGGCATTATTTAGTTTACCTATAGTTTGACGATACATATGCCCGGAGGGTTCTGATTCGACCTATTTCCCCGCTCTGGCATGAATTAACTTGAATTAACCTAGGTATGTGATCTTATCATATGAGAAAACCATACTGGATCTAAACAGCTTGAAGATAATTCGTGATTGTGACCAAATGACGAAAATATAAATCCTTAATATAGCAGTTTTCGTTCTCAAGTCAAGGTAGAAATAATATCTACAAATAGATCATCACCTCTAGATATTTCAGTTAAGCTCATTACTAAACGCTGCACATCGTTGACGAAAATAAAATTTATAGTAAGTTTCGCCAGCCAAATATAAAGCCAAGTGTAAATCAAGTATAAATCAAGCTGCTTATGATCGCCAGAGCCGAGCACCCCTGAAACCTCTTCCTCCCCCACCCCGCCGCGTGATTCGATGCCGTCCCAAACAGATTGACGAATCATCACGTCCGCGATTCTAATAACGGCGATGTTGGGGTTGCGTCCGGTTCCCCATCTGCCGGAAACCCTACCGTACCTAAGGGCACTTAAGCGGAACTTACATATAACACCGAATCCGCCAAGTTGCACTGCCTCCGAAACAAGTCACTAAGCATCGGGTCTTCCAGATTCCGGGGTTAAGAACGTTGTCGTCAGCGACGCCAATTATCCCCCCTCCTCCTGCCCCCCAAGTTCGAATCTCAAAACATGACAGCTTCATCGGGGGCCGACAGGGGTTTAACCTATGATCTACAACGTGACAAAATAGATCGTCGGTCCTAGCATGAATGTATGCATAGCCTGTCCACTTACCTACCGTTTCTGTCTAGGACGAAACGAGATCATTGGGGCTCTCAGATAGCATACGTAGGCATAGAGGCTTTGATCTCTTAGCCCAGGACGATATTAGCGGACGACAGAAAGTCTCACGCCGTCTAGAGCGTGAATATACCAAGACGCCAAGTATGATGCGCATATATGTACGTATCTACCTAATGATACAGTAAGGTTAGGTATTTAGGTATATATGAAATTGGGAAATAGACTTAAGATCCATGTACGGCATCAATGTACATAGCAAGCAAGGTATAGTACTATGAAATGACTTACATCTTGATGTCTGTAAGATCTCCCTTCTTAGTTCATTCACATATACTAAGAAAGCCAAGGGTTATCTACTTGAATATATATTCTCCCATGGAAGGTCTATCTTCATATTTTACTACGTACCTCTTTTCTGTTCGCATATAACTATAAGAAGTATATATCATAAATTTCCAATATATCTCAGTCTCGAGGACCCGGAGAATTTAACTTCGGTAAAGCACACCCTCAAAACGTTAAAATACGATAAGGACTCGAGGCCGAGGGCCGCATAGCCAGCGCGCAAGCGGGTTACATCATTTAGATGTTTGAAGGAGCTTAAAAGCGAGAACGTAAGAGGGGGGGGCTTCTCCGGATATATCAGTCGAACTCAGACCTCGGAAACGAATCGAGACATAATACTAAAAGGTGAGCGTTGAAATCCGTGCATTTACACACCTCTATTCCTCGAGCTATCATATCGCAAAACCGCGAATCTACCGCAAGGCTAAATCTTTTAATAGGTCTGATACCGATTATACGACAAAGAATACCTAGAGGATAGCTTCTATGATGGCGCGAATATCGTTTTTTACCATTGCGGCGTTGTGTAAGTCAATGCCCACCAGCAATAGCAACATTCACGTTCTTCTTTAATAGTCGTACACTGGGGGGGATTCTATAATTATAGCGATAGCGTACTAGAAACGATATATTCATTAACATATTTCACCTTTCCTAGATGCGTTCATATACACCGTCCTCGCTTCCTCCGTGCCGGTGCAATACTGCCCAATCGCGGAGGTATGCTACCAAGTCGCGGTACCAGAGGTATCCGCCGCCAGAGATGGAGGCAATATATACCTACAGCTACGAGCGCCGATATCATACTCGTGGGTGGCCTTCGGTACAGGAGATGCCATGAAAGATTCGAGCATCTTTGTCATGTATCAAGACGGTAACGGTAACGTGACGGTGTCAGCACGTACTGGAACTGGACATAGCAGTACGTAAAATCGAGCCTTATATTCTATCCTCATCCACTCCTTTTTAGTCCATCGTGGGACTCAGTCAGAATACATTAACCAGTTAGCCAAAATCTATCACTCGGGATATACCTACTCCTTTGACGAAATAGCGATTACTAACACCTATCAATCACAGTGCCACGGTACAACTCAATCGTACAGTTAGAGCTTCTCGACGGAAGCGGCCTCCTCAATAACGAGCAGACGATGGTCGCCAACGTCCGATGCGGTAACTGCGGTACATGGCCGGGGGGCTTCATGAGCCTAGACGACAACGCGGCGCCCTGGATTGCGGCATGGAAGGTAGGCGACGCTATCAACAGCGCAGACCCGGACGCCCAGATCCGGTACCACGACGCGCACGACGAGTGGACGTTCGACCTGACGGTAGCCACCGTGACTGACGATGCGAACCCGTTCGTGGGCGTAAGGCAGTTCGACAACAACAACCGTGGCGTGGACCGCGGCAGCTTCGCCGACCCACGCATGTTAATCTTGTGCCACGGCATCATCATGACCGTCGTCATGATCGTCCTATATCCGTTGGGTTCGGCGCTCATGCCCTTATTCGGCAAGTGGGTAATTCACGCCGTGTGGCAGCTCTTTGCCTTCATAATAATGTGGGGTGGCTTCGGGCTGGGTATCGTCGCCTTGCAGCGCATTCAACTTGTAAGTCCTGTCGATATGTGATACGTGCATTGCCCTACATAGATAACCCAGCAGAGTGAAAGAACAAAACTTTACCACAGCTAATTTTCTTAATAGGATTTCAATTCGACACATACGATCCTCGGCACGGTCGTGGTTGGCCTATTGGGGTTTCAACCGATTCTGGGCTGGTTCCATCATAAACACTTCATGAGACACCAACATCGAGGTCTCGTGTCGCACGCTCATATCTGGTACGGCCGCGCCCTAATAATTACAGGCATAGTAAACGGCGGGCTCGGTCTGAAGCTTGCAGGTGCTTCCAGAGCCTTCGTAGTGGTATATACTGTCTTCGCTATCCTTATATCCGTTATATACATCGGTACTATTTTGTTTGGCGAGTGGCGCCGCCGCCGAACCGGAGGTTATGAGCAGAAGAATTCCTGATTTGTATCTGATTAGTCAGGAGTATTTACACACCTACTTGAGTATTTCATTATAGCGCTTTGATACGGGATGGGTTTTATGAGTTTAGTTTAGATGTGGTATATGTGTAAAAGAGCAGACACTATAATAGCGACCAGTGTTCTATAAAAACGGAAAGGACTTGTTAGACCGAATTCATAAAATTTAATGATATTTGTTAACGACACTTTGGCATAATACTATATAGGTACCTAAAGTGATTATCGATATAATAGAGAAATAATTAAAAGTACATAGTATATTTTATATTTGAGATCCTTGAGTTGAAGACTGTTATTATGTAAATCCGTTTATGTAAGCCCATTTATGTAAGTCGTAGTAGGTAGAGTAATCACGTGATTGACCAATCGGAAGCTCTGATACTCCACCTTTAGCCACTTCGGCGCTAAGAATTGAAGGACGAAATGCAGCGGCGAAGGAAAAACCTCAATCGCAACTCTCTCCACGATCCTCCGTCTTCCCGTCCTGCACCACTATCATACCACTACCACCATCACCACCACCACTCATATACCGTCAATTGAGGCAATCCCCATAACAGACGGACATCATGCTCGTGCAATTAAGGGTTTCGGTAAGTACCTATTTTATATATTCTATTTTTAATATTCGGTATAATATCGTCATTAAGGAACTATTCGCTAACTTGATCTTTTTTTTAACGCTCAGACTGTTCGGTCGGCCACTTCGGCTATCACCCGTGTGGCGAGGGTAAACGCCGTCAGAGGATTTATCGCTCCTACCGTTTCGCGACGAGGTAAGACTCGAATGTTTATTTATCGTATACCAAGTGGATAGTAGAGACAATTGAGAAGTGCGCTATGCTGGGGTATATGACCGGGACCGGAATGGTAAGAGTTGGAGATGTACGGCGGGATGAGATATTATTATTATCCGGTTCAACAGCTCGTACCCTCACCAACTCGACTCGACATACGGTTGCGATATATCTGAGTAGCGTAGAGCTAAAGGATATCTCGTACATCTATCCAATTCTTCTTTTTCGCAACTCGGAATACATGCCACATACCAATTCTCGAATATTCTACATATCTAGGTACTTTGGCAAGATCCTATACTAACATGAACCCGCAGCCGACTTCGTACAAGAGCTCTACCTCAAGGAACTCAAGGCCTACAAGGCACCCCCCGTCAAGGACTCTGACTCGGTCGGCCAAGTCCAGACCTTCACAGTACCCAAGACCCCCAAGTCGCCCGAGGAGGCCGACCTAGCCAGCAGTCTGAAGGAGTACGAGAGCATGGCCGTCGAGGTCGAAGGCAACGAGGGCGCCGCTGCCAACTCGTCGACACCCGCCGTCGTCGAGGACTGGCTTGTCGATGAGGAAGAAGAGGAGGGCGCTGCTGCTCACCATTAAATTCGTACCAAGAGACTTAATTACCTACGCGAGAGGAGAGGCTGAGCCGAGAGGAAAAAGCTATACCGGGAGGATGAGAGAGAGAGGGAAATAGAGAAAGCAAGCGAGGCATATACACATACTCCAGTGTTATGTTAAGTCGTCAGAGGTGGTAGAGAAGACAGATCCCTAACGTCCATGTACATTTATTCCTAGGATCGCTGGTGCCAAATCACAAATAGATCCTTCGTTATTGAAGAACTTACACTTATTACGCTATCCTTTCGCAGTAAAATTGTATAGTTACGCTCCAATTGTAATGATTGCTGTGTAGAGTCGAGTCTACTTCGACTTGTAAAGTAAATGGGTTACTATCGTCTCTACCGTCCCTAGGTTACATGGTATTCATATACCCCTATGTATGCGTGTCTCGTACTTTATGTTAAATATATGGCTCGCTTTTAAGTCTTACTAGAGACGGTTTTTACAAACTCTTAATTCAACGAGCGTCATCTCGTCCGTGTCTTACGTCTAGTCTTCGTCAGTTATCCGGGAATATCTTGATAGTTCATGAATATTCCCCAGCATTGAATTTATAGAATAAAATTATAGTATAGGTTTATCACAAATTGACATGTTTTACACACACTCCTGTCTCCTTGATGTCTACCCAGACTATTCCCCGTTCACCCCTAAGAAGATATGTAACTAGGTGTTGTGCGAGCGGATAGAGCACTTGAAAATCCCTTGATTGTAGGTTATAGCTATATACGTAGGTACGCATTTCACCTGCTTGCCCGGTCTAGTTAGAACAAGATCAAGTAGAGGCTCAGTGATTTATCGACCACCATATCTGAGATACTTAAGGATAGCAGGACAAAAATACTTGGGAGGAATACTCGCTCAACCAATATTATTTTATCTACAAGCGTCCCGGCTAAGTAGAATAGTCTGCAACCTTGAACGGTCTATGTGAGGGTATTCACATGCCCATGGTATCCTCACACCGTTGATCATCCAGCACATAGGTAACACCGCCAAACCCGGGATCTCCTTTGATCGACGAGCCAACGGTGAAGCTAGCAACCCTATACAACCCCGGACGGTAGCCCGAATACCTAGCCGCCTCCATGACAGACGAGGGAGGCAAAAAGGAAGAGAAGCAAAGCCAATACAAAACCAAAATAATAAAAAATAAAAACGTACAACACCAGGGATTCGCTGGTCGTCACCGACCCAACTACTAATCTGGCGGTATCCGGCTTGTCTAAGGGGGAGAGCGGACGGGATCCCGAATTTTCCGAATCCTATGGTCGTACGTGACATTTTCTAGCGTTGCCCGTGTTTATATGCCCTCCTCTCCTATTCGACGTTTCCCCCTCCTCCTCCTCCTACTCCCCCCCCGTCGTTCTCAACGTTAATCCCTCTTACTTCATCATGACGAGTTCTGCAAAACCTCGTCGCATATCAACAGGGTACGATTAGATCCGCGAAGAAGAGAGGGTATGGGTAGGTACCTAGGTAGACATCAATAATCAGCTTATATTAGGTACATATATACTACAACCCCTCCCCCCTTTATCAAAAGTCGTACCACCCGCTTTGTGTTTCCTTGGACAAGGGAAATTTCTTCCCTATGCAAAACTTGGCTTGCATATTTCTAGTAAAAGCTCATCTTTAATGTGATCCTACCTAGTTACATACCTAGGTTAATATCTTGTCTCGGTGGAAAGAGGGGGAAATGAATCATGACTGCATAGAGAAAAAAGGGGGAAGACATGGGGATTCAACATAGACTTGTCAGACTCGTCCTACATAGAGTCAGTTACACAGTTTATAATCTTACATGTATCCGAATGTAACGGCTGGGGTAGGCTCCGATGAGATGAGCATTCCCTCAGCATTACGACGTATGATCTTCACTTTGACTAAGAATAACGGGCGAAATCACGTTGCGACTTGAATTAATTATCATAAGCAACCTAGGTAGTTTTAATTGACTTTTGGTCTCTTGCTCCTCATTGGGAGTAAGCCTTTCAAATTAGTACGCTATGTACTCGTGTGCGTTATTTGCATTCCAGCCCTGCTTACATGCCTCTCAGGCTCATCATTAGAACCCACAAAGGGGCAGCAAACAGCAAGAACTCAGCTTAAATCAAACGCCCACACAGCTCGCTCGCTTCGGCAAAAGCATTGTTAGCATACTAGTAGCCACCTGTCATACCAAGCAACCAAGCAAGAACTACCAATTCCTTCTGCGTTTTGAGATTGTAATGAGTACTTGGCCTAGATGCCCAGTTTCTCAACAATAACAAAGGCATCACTATCAACCCTATAGCCGGCATCCAAGCCTGCAAAAATTCCAAACTGAAGTGACAAAGGAGTAGGATCATAGCGATCTGTACTGGTCCCTCATGACCTGAATAGGTGATTTTGGTTAGGTATTTCCGAAACTATCCCGCGATTTCGTGTACGTATGTGCCATGATTCCAGACTATTTGCAAATGCCAAACGCCCTACCACTCCGTAGTGACTAAGTAACCTCTGCCAACCGCCGCCTCATGCAGAATGCCGCCCTATGCATGATGCCATGGAGAGAATTTTAAGAGTAATGGACGAATCCACTCTAGATGCCAAGAACGAGCGGATGAGGTCATCCTCGTGTCGTAGGAATCCAGTTAAGAAAAAGAAAAGCAGAAAGAAAAATCCGTGTCATATATCGAAGTGGGATTCACCAAACGGTTCATCGTTATTGCCCGTCTTAACGATTCCACTCATCCTATTTGATTTTCGGAGATCGATGTCGTCAAGGTCGTCCCAGTCGTTATCTCGGCGATCTACGTCATCCATGTCCTCGTCAATGTACCTTCCCTTCATATGATCGTCTAGTGAGCTCTCGTCGACAAATGTGAAGCCTTGGAAATTCGCCTGTGTGGTCGGAGAAAGGGGAGTTGACGTGGCAAAACCCGTGGCTAACTGCTGTGCACGTTCGTTCAATGATCCATTCGTGTTCAGCGCATTTGTGAACTCCGGGTCAAAGTAAGACACATCCGTCTCAGACTTCAACTTTGGCTTGAAAGGCGGGGTTATGAGTTTCTTGGCTAAGATATCCCAATCCACATCGGCAAAGAACGGATGACGCTTCAATTCTTCTGCGTCGTCCATGGCACCCAGTCTATGTTTCGGGTTCCTGTTAAGTAAGCCCTTCACAAAGTTTCTGCCTTCCTGCGAAAGTGTGTCTCGCGGAAATCGTACTTTGCCGAATGCGATGTTCTTGTACATCTGCTGCGTATCTTCAGCGTAGAAGGGACTCCATCCGCAGCACATTTCGAACACGAGGACGCCAAGGGACCAAAAGTCTACCATTTTCGTATATCCAGCTTCATCCAGTAAAACCTCCGGGGCCAGGTACTCGGTAGTTCCGCAAAATGTGTTGGTGGTGTCGTTTTGAGTTAAGTTTGCTTTGGACAAACCGAAGTCGCACAAGGCAATATGGCCATTCGCATCGAGTAGAATATTCTCGGGCTTTAAGTCGCGGTAAACGATGTCGTTGTTATGAAGATGTTGGATAGCGAGGATGAGCTCCGCAATGTAAAATTTGGCTCGCTTCTCGTCGAATCGTCCCTCCTTTTGAAGATGCCAGAAGAGCTCGCCACCAGACATATAATCTGTGACAAGGAAGAGGTCATTCTGGGTTTGGAAGGAAAACTTCAAACCGACGATGAATGGAGACTCTGACATGGCTGTCCGGACCAGGATATTCCGCTCCCCAACTGTATGTGCCACCTCTTTCTTCTGCACAATGACCTTCTTCGACAAGACCTTCATGGCATATATCCGGCCGGTATCCTTCTTCCGCACTTGATAAACTTGGCCGAATGTACCTTTTCCAATCAATCGTAAAATTTGGAAATCATCCGGACCATAATGCCTCTTTTCTGTTCTCTGGTAGATGGCCTCAACGAATATCTCGCCCGTGGGTGTCTTATCGGGTTTCGTGTCGGCATTTCCTCGTAACGGGAACCAACCTCGCACAGGTTCATCTTTTCCAGGAATAGCTGCTTGAAAGTCAACGTGGCCTAAGAATTCTTCCCCCTGTGTACTGTGGTCGTAAATCGAGATATCCACTAGCATGTCTTTATCAACAACGTCACTACTGAAGTTAGTCGATGTGCCCAAGGGACGCGACCGATCTACGATACTTACAATAATGCCTCGGCATCCCACTTTGGACTTGTAAACGATCGCCGCGGACGATTGCGGAAAGTATTGTAATCCGAAATACTAGTATTACTGCTCTGGCGACTGCGCATGGGGATTGCCATCGCACGACCGGGGTCGCTGCCTTGACGCTGGATGGGAATACCGCCCATCGCAACCGGCTGAGGTACTGACTCGTCCTCGTCCTCGAATGTTCGCGGTCCGTGAGAGATCAGCTCGCTCCTTTGGAATACGGCAACGACGTAGGGGTCGCGGCTCTTTCGTAAGCCCCTTGCCTCCAGAATCTTGATAGTAAGCTTGCCCCTCTGAGGTGGCGCGGCGGCGCCACCACTCGCGGAGGAGACCGGTGTCTGCCTGCCACCTGCATCCGAGCCATCTCCACTAAGCTTTGAGGGTGACCTCTCCTCGGGTTGGGACGAGTGGGTAGCCGAGAGCGTTCTAGTAGGCGTCGAGGGACCGCTCTTTTTCGATCCATCAGTTAGCTTCTTGAGTCGATCAATCGAAGCGGACTTAGAGAAAAAACTGCCAACATCGCCTGCAGGGGGTTGGGTATCCGAGGGAGAGCTTGGTGTTGTTGCAGAGGTACGGTCGCTAGGGATAGAGAGGTGACTCGCGAGGACACTAGATGTAGTGACAATACTCGTAAGGGGGGATGCCAAAGTGGCCCTCCGAACTTTCAGCTGCGAGAGATCTGTGGCGCTCTTATTGTTCATTGAAGAACGATTCGATGAGCCGCTAGCGGCCGCGTCGGAATCGCCACTCGAATCAGACAACTTGCCTCCCCTTTCTGACGGTGTTTG